ATATGTTCCCTAGTATGCTAGGAGTATGTGTCCTAGCATGCTAGGCGAACATATGTCCCACCAAGATAATTTAATCTTACCTATTGCAGACATATACATACATATACATACATAATCGAGTAAGAAGGCAATAAAGTTATTATAATAAAACATTTCCTGCACTATCTTTATGTGATTGATTTATAACAAAAAGTGTATCGCGTATTTATTAAGTAACATATACAAAAAAAAACATGTATAAAAATTATACACTGGTACAACTGTAATGTTTTACGTATCATACAATTAACTAACTTCATATATTATACTGTGCTCGGTTTAGTTTATAAAATACAAGATATTACAAAAGTAAAGTAAAGATATAAAAATTCTTGTAATAACCTAACTTGTATCACAAATTTCTCGAAACGTATAGATAATATATTTTTATAACAATTTCATTTTTAATTACTCATTTACAACTGATTTTATTTCGTGTCATCTAATTTCTTTTGAAAGGATCTTGGAACGTACTAAATCCCATGATATAAAACTAGTATCCGATTTAGTACACAAATCCATTATTACTTGAGCGCCCTTTGCTGCCAGTGACGCTCCTAAACACGTACCAGCTGCCATATTGTATACAGGTGTACCTTTCTGGATAGAAAGAATAATTTATTTTAGTAATTAATATTTACATAACTGAATCGTTAAATACTTACGGCACTTTTGTTTCGCCACTCTTGATTGCCACCCATTTCGTGACATTTTCCAAGTTTTGCATATTTCTCTGCTGCCTCCATGCATAGCATTTGACCTAGTACTAATTCTTTCTTATCTGTTTCGTACCACATCTAGACGAATTAAAATACGAAAAAAAAAAAAAAAAAAAAAAAAAAAATTAACAACAAATCAAACTTAAATACCATCGAAACACAAATTACAGTTATGTTTTGTCACCTGTGATTTTATCCTTAAACATGGCATTAAAATAAGTTTCGCACCTTTTGTTTTGATATCTTTTTCACTTTGAATGCATAAGGCTGTATTAGAAAGTCTGATTTGATACTGATCGGTATAACTTCTTTTTCTGGAATGCCAAGGTTGCATTGCTTTTTGTTCTACTTTTGCCCATTTATCTTTTAATCTACTCTTGTTATCATCTGGTAATGCTAACTCAGGATATACCACTTTTAAGTACCATGAAAAATTTTTGCATTTCAATTTTTCTCGTAAATTTAGTCTGTCTGTAATGTTACCGTAATCGATTCTTTTAACGTTTCTTAAGAAGTAATCTTTATATTCGTCTAACCAAACGTATGCCACTCGCAACGAATTTTTCAACATAGTATCGTGCTGATCATCTGTACCGTACGGTCTTCGTTTTCTAAATACATGCCCAACTCTTGAACAAGGTATTAATTCGATACTCCCACCGCACATCCAAATCTAATAAATATTGCAACTTGTTAGTAAAATGATAAAAGTACACGGAATTAAACAAATCGATATCTTACTCTAAATGATATTTCGAGATTTTCACCACCCCAAACATCCATTCCAGCATCGTATTCGCCAAGTTTTATAAAATATTCTCTATCCATTGCGAATAACCCTCCAGCCATTGTGGGTGATCTGTTCGGTAGTAAATACTATATCATATATGTACACGTTATACAATATTATTGAAACATATCCACCCGTATGTAAATGTACTTATAATCTTACTTTATCGGTTTTATAAAATCTTCATCGTGTACCAGTGTTCCAACTGGCAAATTATCCCATTTAAAATGCAAACCCCAGTTGAAACCGCCTCTTACTAAAGGACTATCTGTATACTGAAAGGTATCTGGATTAATTATATCGATAACTGGCATGGCGACGACAGTTTTTGAACGAGCAATTGGTGAGAGGAGAGGTTCTACCCACATTTTGTTCACTTCTATGTGACTATCTAAGAAAATTAGAACCTCTCCAGTTGCCTTTCTTGCACCAAACATTCTTGCTCTAATTAATCCTTCTCTCTTCTCTGTTTTGAAAAATTTTACTTTCCCATCAAAATTATTATCAATGTACACTTTCATCTTTCCGTGTAATTCTTTGCTGTCGCTCCAATCGTTTACTAAGATAATTTCATGTAAAAGATGTTTAGAGGTTCTTTCGATAATACTATGTAAAGATCTTAAAAGTGTCGTGTAATGTTCGTTATAAAAACATATAACGATGCTAGCATTTGGCAATTTATTGGAATATTTTTGCAATTCGCATAATTTATGTCTTGTATCTGGCAATTCTCTATGTAAGCCAATATTATCCGATACTAGTATATTAAAGGAATAGTTTTTATATCCTTCCTCTCGTTTTCGTTGATCATCGAAATTTCTTATCATTCCTAATTCGTCTAATCCTGCGAATATTACAAATAAATTGTATAATTAACTAAACGAGGGACGCAACATTTCTTTGTTCTTTGCTATAAATGATGCGTTTTCAAAATACCTTGGCCTGCTAAGGTAACAGCAGACTTTATTGGCACAGGTTGTAGCTGTTGTAATAGTTTGTCACTGTTTTTAAAATTATTTCCTTTTAAATTGTAAACACCTTTATCCATCCAAGACTCTTTGTCGCGATGTACCATTAAATTATTGTGCGATTTAGCATTGTACTTCTTACGATCATATGTAAATTCATCTAACAATTTTGTATTTTCTGATATTAACATTGTGGGGTTGACAGCATCGGTGTTTTGTGACAACCTTGAATAGAGATACAAACTGAAAGCCCACGTTAACGAGGCTATTACCATTCCAGATATGAAAGAAACGTATCGTGTTGACATCATCTATAAAAATACGTATTAGTTGTCAAGAATACAGTATATCATAAGTATAGAACGTTCATTTAGTAAACAATGTAGTAAATAACATTTACTCACTGCTAAATATTCTTAACCTGTAATTGGAAATTTTAACTGTTAATTATTTATCAACAAAAACTATATCCATATATCGCCAACTATCGCCTATATTAAACAAAGAAAGATAGCAAGAGATAAGTCATTTTGTCGCTTTTTGGTAAGTATTATAACTTTGACGGGCATGACCGTCATATATATACATACATATTGTATTTTTCACGAGAGAATAGTACCATGGGATGAACGATTTTTGATTTTGTTTGCGCTTGTTGGCTCTGATTGGTTTTGCCACGCTCCGCTACCACGGTAATACACATGCGCCGTACAGCTGTATGACATGAGCCACGCTGGGCAGAAAGTATATCCGGTGATCATAAACTTGTGAATTATGATTAAGGTAGTGATCTTTGTCCTGTCCTGTAATAAACCGTTCCTATATTACTATATTTTGCCCACCGTGTATATGGCGGATGCAATGGGAAGTAAATCATGGTGGTGTAGTGCTATTGGTGGGGGAACTTTCTGAGCTCAGTCGAGCTGCGCGAAATGATACTATTCTGTCGTGAAAAATACAAGACATATATATATAGACGACTATATCTCTGTCCCATAAGTTTCTTTGCCTTTTTTTAACACAGTGATTTGATTGGGCAAATATTATACATATACATATGTACTTATGTATGTAGTCAATGATAATTTTGCTTGCGATTGATAATGTAAAAGACTAAGTTGCACTGATTATTTCTTTTTTTTTTCAACAAAGAAATCGAATGTATTCTAACGTAAAACATTGATGTCGAATCATGTCGCAAATTTTGAAACAATTTTACAACTGCTGCATCTTGCGTGGTGGTAAAATTCTAAACGAGGATCTATGGGTTCGTGATGGGAAGATTGTCAATCCTGAGAAAATCTTTTACGATGAAAAAATTAAGCCGAATATTAGAGTTGATTGTAACGGAGCATTAATATCACCTGGTTATATAGATCTTCAGATTAATGGTACCTAGCGTAAATACAGTTTAATTTTATAAACATCATTGCTAAACATTTTAACATTCTTTTCAGATTGTTTTATAGGTGTATTGAACATTATAATTGTTTATTTGTTTTATTTATCAGGTGGTTTTGGTATAGATTTTACACATAATGTTGATAATGTACAAGAAGGAATTAATAAAGTAGCTAAAAAATTAATAGAATTTGGTGTAACATCATTTTGTCCAACGTTAGTAACGTCACCTAGTGAGACATATTATAAAATATTACCAAACATTAGAAAAAGAAGTGGCGGAATACATGGGGCATCTATATTAGGAATTCATTTAGAAGGACCTTTTATTAGTCCAAGCAAAAAGGGAGCACATCCAGAAAATTATATCGAGCAGTTTGACAAAGCAAGTCTTCTAAATGTTTTCAATGCACACACAGAATATATATACTAGTAGTACACAAACGTCAACTTATACATATAAGTAAATATTTAAAATACATGAATGTGTAATTACATGTTATTTATATATAATCTATTAACACAATATCGTTTATGTATCTTAGCTGTTTTTAATAAGTCTTTCTAATGTGTGTTTTAGGGATTCCAATCGGTAATTAAAATGTATGGAACTTTGGAAAATGTATGCCTTGTTACAGTGGCACCAGAGCTTCCTAATAGTAAAACTGTAATTAAAGAATTATGTAAAAGAAACATTAAAGTTTCTCTTGGTAAGACATAACTATATATTATCTTAATTACATCATTATATTCCCCGCAAACAGTTGTTTTCATTTAATAATTTTAGGGCATTCCATAGCAAATTTACATGAAGGAGAAGAAGCTGTAAAAAGTGGAGCTTCCTTTATCACCCATCTTTTTAACGCTATGTTACCAGTAATTATACAAAATATAAAATTCATTGTCCTTTGCATGAGTAATATAAAACAGACAATTAATTTTTATTTATAGTTTCATCATAGAGATCCAGGGCTAGTTGGTCTATTAACATCTGATAAAATTCCTTCTGAAAGAATTGTTCATTATGGCATAATTGCGGATGGAATTCATACTCATCCAGCAGCATTACGTATAGCTCATAGAACACATCCTGAAGGTTCAAATATTTTCTAACGTTACTACAAACTATTTTCTTTTTTCAAATCACATTATTCGGCTTTATTTTTCAGGGCTTGTTTTAGTAACTGATGCATTATCAGCCTTAGGATTAGAAGAAGGTGTTCATCAATTAGGTCAACTTAAGATCGAAATGCGATCAGGATGTGCATATATTGCTGGGACAGACACTTTATGTGGTAGTACAGCGGAAATGTCGAAATGTGTTCGTCATTTTAAGGAAGCAACAGGTAGTTCATAATGTCTTCATTTACTATAATTGGATTATATATGATTTAATGTAATAGCGATTACTTATTTTTTATAGGTTGTTCGGTAGTAGAAGCTTTAGAAGCTGCAACGCTTCATCCAGCAAAGACTCTCGGTATTGAAAAAACCAAAGGAATTTTAGATTATGAGGCAGATGCTGATTTCGTAATGTTAGATAAAGATTTGAAACTGTTATCGACGTGGATATCGGGAGAATGTGTTTATAGTACGTACAATTACGTCGAAAGCAAGTAAAATAAACATTACGAAATAATATGTATTTAAATGGCTGTGAATATCGTTCTAGCCATAATAATGACCATTTACGTATTCATACTGTTATATATTTTATGTACAAACATTTTTATAAGAAGTTTTACAAATTTTTATACATATAAAAATGTTATGTACTTTCAGCATTAGTACGTATAAATCAGCAAAGTTTTTATATGTGGTTTATATATATGAATTGTTGTATTATGATAAATAATCACTTTGTAACATTACCATAAAGTATTAAATAAATGTTGATGAATAAAAAAAAAATAATTGTCACATGTTTTTAATACTGCATCTTCTTTTAAGTCTACAAAACACGAATTGTATACAACAGCTACATTTCATTCATGGAGTGTTGTTTATTTCATTACTTTTTAGAACTTAGCACATACTTAGAACGAAATGAAAAAAGCCATTTGTTACTTTCGTAAACTTTCTATAAAATAATAGCATATGCTACTCAATTAGCATACAAGTCATTGCTTGTACTCATAGTATTACAATTTGTAATACATACACAAGCAGTATAATTAAATGCCTAATCACTTTATTTTGTAGCGTATCTAAACAGCAGTGCCAAGCTTTTTAATTATATCATAAAAAAAGATTCCGCTATTACTTTAGAAAAGCGTTAAAAAATTATTTAGTCATGCATCGTATTATCATTTTATAATTAAATATTGTTACAATTATGTCAATTTGTATATAATTTATGATTTCAAGGTAAATCAATGATGAAACCCACTTGTTATGTTAATAAACGACGTCCTTCAGATTGCACATATATGGTGAATGTCTAATGCCAAATGAGTGTGCTGGAGGAATATCAAGAATTACCTGTAAGGAGTAATTTTATACAATTTTATAAATACGCCATTAACTACACTCCTTATTCAAATGAAATTTTCTAATAATAAAATTCTTGGGTTTAATGAATACAACTAGAAATTAACTTTTTAATACACTGAATTAGAAATTAAAAATACTTTTTCTGGACAGTATGCCCCAGGTCCTGGAATTTGTGAATGATCGTCAGGCAATTGATATCGAGCACTCATGCTGTAAGCGGGACTTTTCACTCTGATTGCATCTGGTTTTACAGCTTCATATGTCCCAGGTCCGGGAACCAAGACACGATCATCTGTAAATACTTTCTGTCTACCCGAGATAGAATAAGCTGGTGCGGCTTTCTTGTTGCCTTCCTTTGTTCCACCAAGAGCAGAAGGAATATTGTAAAGATTTGGAGCTGAAACAAAAAAAAAAAAAAATACCAAATATGTATATAGTAGATAATAGTGTAATTATTTAAATATAATTCACTGTGAAATGTGAAGTAAACGGTGTTACTCAATTTAATTCTTTTAGTTTACCTGGAATATCATTTGGTCTGCTTACATTTGTCCTTAAACCAAAAGTAAATTGCAATGCTTTTTCTAATAAAAGCATAGCTTTTTCTGGACTGTATGTACCTGGACCTTTAAAGAATATATTTAATCTAATGAACAAATGCATAAAAAAACATAATAGATTTTGAAATTCTACTGTATACGTACCTGGTACAGAATCTATTCCATGTACTTCTGTCTTAATTCCAAAACTGTACTGGGGAGATTTATTGAGATTTACCTTCTCAGGATGATAACTTCCAGGAGCTATATTTTGAATACGTCAAAGTACAGTTTTATATTCTTACAATAATAAGTTACAAATTGTAACAAAGTGTTACTCACCAGGTGTATCATTGGGCTTCTCGACAAATGTCTTTAAACCGAATGAATATTGTGGTGATTTATCTAAATTTACTTTTTCTGGAGAATAAGTACCAGGAGCTATAAAATAAAAATAAAAAAATACTAATATAACTCATTAAACACATAGAGGCAAATGTATATTTACTGATATATATATATACAGTTATTATACTTTGTACTGCAATCAGGATATATGTTACTGATGTCTTTCATTATAAGTAATGAAAATGGTAGTGATGTTATATTGGTAAATAAAGATAATATGAAAAGCTTCAGCATGCTTAAAAGTTATGGCAAAACATAAAAAGCATACCAACTTTTTATTAATATTTTTATTGAAAATTGCACTGGAACCGTTATTAGTAATCTGTTAATCATCACCATTACCTGGTGTATCTCTAGGACTATCCAAGGATTTTCTACATTCAAAACTGAAATAAGGTTTATGTTCCAAATTAAGTATTTTCTCTGGATAGTAATCAGCAGGGCCTACCAAAGCAATCAAAACATTAGTAGTTGCTCTTATAGAATGTTAAACCTATACCAATTGAATTTTCTAAATAAAAAGCTCCAACAATGGTCAATGTAAATTCACCTGGATTATCATTGGGTTTTTCGACTATTCCTTTTCCGGATATACTGAACTGAGGACCTTTATTTAAATTTATTTTTTCAGGGCTATATGTTCCAGGTGCTAAAATAATGATAGTTTAAATAAGAAAAGCAATATACTGATATGCTGATAAAAAAGAAATTAACGAAGAATTCACCTGGATTGTCATCTGGTTTTATTGACATTCCTTTTCCATATAAACTGTACTGTGGTCCTTTATTTAAGTTTACCTTTTCGGGACTATACGTGCCTGGTGCTAGGATAAAAAATACATAAATAAATAAATAAATAAATAAATCATTAAAATAATGTAATAACTAAAACAAAATATACTAACCAGGTGTATCGCTTAGTTTTTCAGAAGGTCTCCTACCACTTAAGCTATATTCAGGACCTTTATTTAAGTTTACCTTTTCTGGACAATATTCTCCAGGTCCTATAAAAAGTAATAGAAAGAAATTTTTTGACTGATTTACTAAACAATAGAACAAAGTTTTTTAAATTGTAAAAATGTTTTGTACCTGGATTATTACTTGGTTTATCAAGTGGTACTCTTAATCCAAAACTATACTGGGGTGATTTATCAAGATTTACTTTCTCAGGAGAATATGTTCCAGGTGCTGGAAGTTGATTTTCTCTATTTAGACATAGATCAAGTAAAATAGAATTTAATGACTAATTATTATAAGATACCATGCTTCATTGTTTTTTCGATAGAATTCCAGCACCGATAATTTAGAGCCCACAATTTCTCCAAATTTCAAGTAACTGTTACAAACCTGGATTATCATCTGATTTATCATAAAAAGTTTTTCCACTTAAACTAAATTGCGGACCTTTGTCCAAATGAACTTTTTCCGGACTGTAAGTACCAGGGGCTGTAAGAATAACTCATGTGTATAGAATGACTATAATGAAAGAAAAAAAATATTTGCCCTGATTAATTACCTGGGGTGTCATTTATTCTTTCAAGAGGTGTCCTCGATCCAAAAGTAAACTGTGGTGCATTATCCAATTTCACTTTCTCTGGGCAATACGTACCTGGTGCTAAGAATCATTTTTATGTGCTAACAATATTTTTGCCAAAATGTTACCTCGATAAAAGAAATTTTCATACCAGGGGTATCGTCAGGTTTCCCTTCACGGCCCTTTCCTGTTAGACTATATTGAGGACCTTTGTACAAATTTACTTTTTCCGGGCTATAGGTACCAGGTGCTATAGGTAAAGGTAATTATATCACGTACCAATGGTAATGTGTTTAGGTGAATGCTATTTTTATTGTGAAAGAACGATAAAGCAATTACTTGATAGATTTATTTAGTAATTACCTGGGGTATCGCTCGGCTTTTCAATAGAAGGCCTAAGTCCGAATGTAAATTGCGGCGCGTGGTCCAATCTTACCTTTTCCGGATAATAAGTGCCGGGTGCTAATGTCGTAATCAAAACGAATAAATTAATTGAAAAAATAAATGTAATTACTACATTTTATTTTAAACATCTAATCTAATTACTTGGACTCTTTCCTTAAATAAAATTCTTAAAAAATCTTTCAAAACACTCTATTTTACAATTCTGAGTTAAAAATCTTGTAAATTACTTCTATCCTTTTATAGTACAAAAACAAATAACACGAGTGCAAGTAATAACAATGTAACAGAATGATTTGTTGCAAGCGTCATCCAGCTACGCGTCAATTTATTTACATAACAATCTACATAACAAAGAGATAGAAAAAGGTAATCGAGCAACGAATAATTAACAAGCAAAAAATGCTAAATAATAAAAAGAAGTAAGAAGCGAAAAGAAGGAATTGTTATACATATATGTATAGTAATTGAAAAAGTAAAATGCAATACCTAAGGTTTAATAAAGTTTATGTCTCGAAGGAGAATTACGTCTGCGTTCGCGAACTTCTCCATTTTAGGTGATCACTAATACCTAACGATTAGTAGTCGTTCAGCATGACGTCGATCTTCCTATGAAATCATTTTCTCGTCACAGAGAATTCTATCGTTTAATTCTAACGCGTTGTTATTTATATTTATTCGTTTTTCAACCTATTAACTATGTTATGATTAGTAATTTATCGATTAGTAATTGGACAGGCATAATCCTATTATGATGATGATTTAATTACCAGGAATATCGCTCGGTTTCTCCAGTACAGGTTTCAATCCGAAACTGTACTTGGGGGTATTGTCGAGATTCACCTTTTCGGTGCAATAGTCGCTTGGTGCTACGATTAAGAGTCACGAATTTTTCAATTAATTTCTTTTTCAATTTGAAAATATACTCACCAGGTGTACAGTCGATCTTCTCAGTTTGAGTTTTAATGCCGAATGAGTATTTCGGTGAACTGTCCAGAATGACCTTCTCGGCCTTTTCCGGATTGTAGTCGCAAGGTCCTGGAGTTATTTCCGGTTTTGTGGATTTCGTGCGACCATGTAAAGACGATGCTGGTGCTCCGTCTTTTCCTATATCGAATTGTTAAGTATAATTTCATGAAAAAGATTTTCAACGCTTATATTTATTATCATTTCTAGGCTGACAATGAAATGTTCTTAAAATATAGAGTAAAATAGAGGTCAATCTTAATTAATTCCAAGAATCCTATTTTGCCAATAAGATAAAAGAAGTTATTCGGAACAACCGATAAATTGCTGAACAGACAGCAAAGGGACATTTTCGTGAACAAGGGAAATTATAAATTCTTGCGGAATATTACTGCTTTCAAGTTTGATCGATACGCTTTATCCGAACGTGGAATACCGCTATGTCTGCAGCATTCTGTTTCTGTTTCTGTTTCTGTTTTAATTTCAATCTCTGATTCGGAACAATTGATGATTCAACTTATTATTTTTTCTTACTTTACAATAAGTTCATAAATAATATTTTACCTTTCGCACTAAGACCAGATACATTGTATTGACCCGGTCCAGGTCCAGGACTATCATTCTTTGACGAGTGTCTGTATATAACATATATACATAATATCAAGTCAATTACTTCATGTTAGAAATTAACACGCCAAATATTTTTACCTGCTTCCAAAAGAGTAGGCTGGTGCTCTGCCACGTTTAGAATCGGGGATAGTTTTTCCTAAACAGTGGATCGCCGTATTCGAAATTTTAATAAAAGAATCTAGAGATAAACAGTTTAATATAAAACATAAAAATGATATTGTACCAATCAATGGTGGCAAAGTTACACAGGCAGGTCCTGGACTGCTGTACTCCGCAGCGATGGGACCTCGCCTTTTCGTCGGGGTCCATGGTCTTTGCGTCATACCACCCATCTTTTTACCGATTTACTTTTACTTTCCCTTAAAAAGGAATTAATGTATTATTACGTATGTATGTACTGTCCAAGTGAAATTTACAGCCGTACATATACGGTTCCCATGTGGTGTGGTAAAATATTAAACTCATACGAGTATCGTATTTGCATCGAATCTAATTCTTATTATTCTAATTTATTGCTTGGAATTAAGTATATTAATGAATTAATTTAACTTCAACTTCATCACGACAGGTACCTTCGAGAATTGATACTTTTTTCCTGCAAGATAAGATTCCCTCGGAATTGTGCAACGAACGCGGCCTCGAAATACGGACCACAGAAACAACTCACCAACAACCATATAAGAATATGTCCATGGTGGGTATCCAGAATCGCCCACCATTCGACATTGGGGACTGAATAATAAAAACATGAATATCACAAATTGTATGGCGTTTAAAACAAGCCAAATAAATGCAGGTCGTACGAATGACTCACATGACCTACTTATAGGACTTTGCCTCGTATAACATGTTTGTATCTCACGATTTTCAAAGGAACTTCAGTTATGATAAAAGTAGTACAATAAAAAAAAACAGCTGTGTCTCTATTATGATAGGCCATAATATTTGTGTTGCTCTTGTTTTCTATTAACGCTTCCATGTCCATATATATTGGGGACATATTGAAACGCTTTAATTTTGTGTGGACACGCAGAGACTTATGCAAAACGATATTTCATTTGCATCCTGGACGTACTCGCTATTGTTCCGAGCTCGAAAGGACTCGAGTTTCGAAACTAATGATTCACCACGTCGAGATAAATCTAACGCGACTGGAGAACAGAATGATTCCATTTTTGTTTGTACTATTGATATTATTCCATTTAAATTCAAATGAATAAACTACAATAAATATTACAATTCTACGTTCAGAGATCTTTCTTTTTTATTTATAATGAAAATGAAGTGCTCATAAACGGCATCGCGTTTTTTCTCATTATCTCCACAAACGTGACATAAAGATTATTTTTAGATAAGGCAATCATCTATATGTTTGTCTTATCAATTAACAATCTCTTGCCAAATATTCAACACTGTTTGCCCATTCGAAGTTATCGCGAATTCTTTCAATGAATCATTGAAATTATCAAAACAATAATACTACGGGATACATTGCGCCTTGTATGCCTTAGAAATGTCGTATAGTACAGGAATTCATTAATACAAGACGGTGTGACATAATGTTTGTTTACATGCTCGATTACTCAGAAATTACTCATCGCAGTTTCTTATGGTACAGGTGTAATTGAAACTGAAATATCCTTGGCAATTTTCTAAAGAAAAATTGAAACATAAATTATCCTGCATCATCGATAATATATCTAATTCAATTACACTGTAAAGATCTTACGCATTGCGCATGACATATTTGTCAAAAGTATTTTTTATAATAAAAGCATTACAAATTTATAGTAGTAATTAATCACTTACCTTGGTTTCAGAAAATACTTCACGAAGAATGTGGTAATAAGGGCAATAAGATGACTCGTCGAAATGCAGATGAGTTTTATCGAAGACACGCGTAAGCACCAATCTGTTATAAAAATATCTGCACTTGAGGCGCGTTCCTGAGCGACTGAATGCGACTGAAGATTAAACGCCGCGCTATCGCAACATGTGCTCCTCTGCCCCACCGCTGCTGCTGCTGCTGCTGCTTCGTCTTTGATCGCGGACGCATGCGCCCGCCAAAGCGCAATTATCCTTTGAAATGAATCACCTCCGTGTTTTATTTTTCAAAATTTAATATAATTATTTAATAAACAATTATAAATTGCTAATAATAAATATTACCAAGTCCTTGAGACCTTGAAATTTTTAGAAATTCACTTTCCAGTTAAATTATAAATTTCTCTTCACGCTACATTAAATTTCAGTTCCTTTTTTTTTCATGCTTACTTGTCTCCTATAATATGCCTATTTAAAGTGTCGTCACCATCCTTGTGTAATTTCCATTTTTAGATATTCTTCTTAATTCATTCTACAAAACAATTCGTTTTTGATCGGTAAAACTCTCATAGTCGAAGCAAATTATTTTCTAAAAAGCAAAGATGTATTTTAGAAAGTTACACTCGAAATGTCGTTCACTGACATAGAAAAAAAAAAAAAAAAAAGTATCTCCTTGACTCCTTTATTGGATATATGTATAATATGTACTTGATTTCGCAACCCACGCACCCTAACGTTCTTGGTACCTCCATCCTTGGTTCTCTTGACCTTGTTGTCTTGTGTGCTCAGGGCAAAAGTCAGCTAAAATTAGGAACTCACGTTATCCTCTTCGATGACAATATGTAAAGGTGAATATTAAGATCTACGCACTGGCCGTCTAAAATATACCTCGTTAGATTGTTGACGTAATCGTTTAATCCTGTTTCAGCGTTTCCTGTCGAATCGAACATTTTTTATGAAAGTGGACATAAAATGTATATAAAAATACAAATGATTGCCCATTTAGAATTCATAAAGTTGACTAGACTTTCATAAAGAAAAGAATAGAACAATATGATCATTCTTTATGTGCGCGCTAAAAGGGTTTAATACTGTAAGTCGAATAATTAACACGACGGGAAACATGCATTCGCTGTCTAAAGCAGCAGCACTGTTACAACCACTGTCTGACACTTGATCGCATGGTGGTCCCCTCTCTTTCTCTGCTGACATCACGATACAGAGAACTGGTCAGCAAGTGTAGTTCAGTCCATTGGGTGACAGACGGTGTACGTCGTGGGATTTTCATTTCCTTTCTATCATCGTCGCAGGGGTATGTACCTATAGTATTATAGATTAATCTTCTTGTCATTAAAATTGCTCGTACGATGCCGTCATCAATTTATACTCTTCATTTTTAGAAACGTATATAGATTGATATACTCTCCTGGTGTGATCCTATAAATTGCACTCTAAGGTGTGTCGTTTAATATGAAACGATTAAAGTCTCATTACTGTAGTTGCATATTCAGCATGCATTATTTAACGATCTCAATTGATAATATCTTAGATCGTATTATCAGCAATACGTACTGCCGTTAATTTTCCATCCATTGTTTTAACACGAGAAAATTAATGTCCCGAACAAAAGCATTTCTTTCAGGTGTTAATTTCGAATTTGATATTTTACCTTTGATAAGAGCCCATTGCAATAGAGACCATTGAAATGATCCGAGAATAATCTGATAACAATGGTATTCACGCTTCTCGTTTGTCTGAATTTAAATGAATGCTAACGACAGGAAACGCATCCGGATAGTATATCTCTGCTTCCGTGCATGATAAACATTTGTCTTGTGTTTTGGAGAAAACAAACGAAAACTAAACTACGTGAATATGAAAATATTCGAATATTAATTAATTATCGATGATAAAATATTTCAATTGTAAAGTGACTGCAATGTGCAGTAACACGATATTGTACATCGTTTCGGATAACACATTCCTCGAACGAATTACCTGTAAAAAGATAATGCTTAAAATATTAAACATGTTTCGGTGACATCACTCGCTGAAACTGTATCATAATGACCGATACACCCACGTTATATACTCTATACAATATTTTAGGTTCGGAGTTTGATTCTCTTTGGTCCGTTTTTTGCCAAATTTTCATAAGCTCGCTATGCTGTTCTTCACACCAGCTCTCATTGTATTATGTATCTTTGCATTTTCACTTCCTCTCAATCTAAAGCACGCTTTCTATTCTCCTCCACCAAACACTCTTCATTCACACCTAAAATAATCGTCGCACATTAGCAACAGACGTTCTGTAAATATACACTTTAAGGATAGAACTTCATTTTTTGCTGTACAATTGTTTTTGTTTTTCAGATATAAAGATGGATCCTGAGGACGAGTCTGTACAAACCCACCTTTTGCACAATTACACTGCCGTTCCAACGCGATCTCAAATTATTTATAAATTATTACTGGATAGTTTGCGTTCAAAGGATATCGGATCATTCAAGAATTTGGTCGAGCAAAGCTTGAAAAAACAACCATTCAGTATCGACATAAACTATCCTTATCCAAGTCGATCGGACGAAACTTGCTTGGACATTGCCTGTAAAAATGGCCTGCCAGAATTCGTGAGATTTTTACTGGAAAAAGGAGCTAAAGTAAATACGATTAACGAAGCTCACAATCGTGGACCAATTCACTTTGCCACGGAAAATGGACACGTCCAAGTTCTCGGTGTACTCCTGGACGAGCCAACGTTAAATCCCAACTTGGAAGCGGGACAACAAACTGCTCTGCATATGGCTGTGAAGAAGAACGACTTGAATTGCGCAGAGCTGCTTATAGAGAAAGGCGCTAGTCCGAATATTCCAAATAATAAAGGGTTGACGGCTCTCCATATGGCGGCTATGAAGGGTCAAAAAGATATGGTGAATCTGATCCTGCAAAAATCAAAACACGGCCTGGACTTGGATAATTATAAAGATTACAATAATCAAACGACAAGAGACGTTCTACAGAAAAAGTTCACCGATATTCCGCTTCCTGCCGTTCAGAAAAGAGGTGTAAATGTTCATGATTTGAAGTATTACCTGAACGCAAACGACGAGGCTAATTTTCTCAAGTCCTTGAAGCTCGTCCAGGACGACGTGGTGAACAACGTAGCAGAAGATTTGATTGAAATGGCTGTCCAAAGGAATTTCAAAGACACAGTTGCTGCGTTGCTGGAAAGGACCAAAGGGAACGGTTGTAGTTTGGAGAAATCTGCAATTATAGCGATACAGCAAGGTTTGCCGAATATTCTTCGGCAAATATTGAATATGGACACTGAGATCGATAAGAATTTGTTACTTTTAAATGCTTGCGTGGAATTGGGTATACCAGGAAACGAAGGATCAGAGAGTATGTCCAATCGTCTGGAATGTCTAAAGATAATACTCGAGAGAGACGACGACGTAGACGTGCGGTACGCAGACAGTGAGTATTGACATTTTCCACTCCGGTTAAAATTGTAGCACAATATAATCGAATTTTAAATATAAACGTAATTTTTCAGGTAAAGGAAACACTCCGTTACATTACGCAGCCAGAGCAAACTGTCGCGAAGCAGTGACACTATTACTCGAAAAGGGAAGTTACATCGGTCAGATGAACAACTTTGGAGTACCGCCTGTTGAAGATATTTCCGTGTCCATGTTATCCCAATACTTCGACGATTGTATTCAAGCTAGAAAAGAACGAACAAACGAATACACGATCGAATTCGATTACAAATGTCTGATGCCTCACGAATATACGTCTTACCAAGAGAAGAATTCGATGAATCAGGGGAAACGAGAGATGGACATCTTCCGGTACATCGCTGACAATAGTGGTTTGAAACATTTGCTGAAACATCCTCTTCTATCTTCATTCTTGTACCTAAAATGGCATAAGATTAGATATCTTCTTTACCTAAATTTTGCCTTCTACGTTCTCTTTTATCTATCTTTAAATGCATATATTTTACATGTAACTTACATAAAGGATCCAAAAATGGTAACAAACTCGAGTGACTTAGATGGATCAATTCCATCAACATCTGTCAACGTTTTACAGATACTCACAGGAATTTTGTTAATATTCTTAGCGCTTAGAAAGATCCTTCAGCTGATCTCATCTCCTTGTCATTATGTATCTAGCTTTGAGTACTGGTTAGAAATGACGTTGATATTCCTTGGATTTGCTACGTTATGCGATGCAGGCACGCAATTCGCCGTTATAGCAATACTATTATCCGCTTGGGAGCTGATCATCCTGATCGGACAGCATCCACGAATGTCTACTGGTATTGAGATGTTCAAAACAGTATCACTCAATTTCATGCGTTTCCTCTTTCTCTACGCCTTTCTCATATTCGCCTTCGCTTTGGCTTTCTTCACTCTATTTAAAAACGGTGACGATGATAACTTCCCCGATCCTGGACACTCGTTGTTCAAGACGATCATTATGCTCACTGGAGAGTTGGATGCCAATGACATACCCTTTCTATTGCATCCAGTTTTGAGTCATCTGGTGTTTGTTCTGTTTGTTTTCCTCATCGCAATTGTATTGTTCAATTTATTGAATGGTCTAGCTGTGAGTGATACAGCGGATATTCTTGGCAAAGCAGAATTAGTCGGGTTGATTTCTAGGGTACGAGTGCTGGCTTACATTGAAAATGTGGCTGTTACTGTTCCTTTTATACACGGGCCACATTGTTGCATTTGTTATGGTATTCTGCATGGCTGGAAGTGGAATCCCTTTGCGTTCCTTCGTGAAAAGGTACTTCTTTTTCCAAAGTATTTGAAAAGTGGCAAGCTAAGTGTTAAGCCGTATGACAGTCTAGAGGCGTTTAATAATAGGAGGTATTATAAAGTACGTTCAAATGAGAACTCAAAGGGTAAAGTGTTTCCTACCTTCAAGATGGATCCTCATATTATTAAACAAGCTAAAGAAATTTTGTCAAAGAGAGGCCAGGAATCGGATAGTGACCGGGTGATCAGACAGCTGGAGATGATGAAGGAAAGATTAGCTTTAATGGAAATTACTTTAAATACCATAAAACAGGGAATTGAAAATAATAATTTTAATGTTGCCAGAGAAGATGATTAAAATTGATTAATGTTGTAACATTTATTGATACGTAATTAGTACCTGTAGTAGAAAACTGAGATGGTAATTTTACATGCTATTAGCTTCTGTCGATATATCATTTATATTTTAATACACTTGCACTGTTTTTTAAATTAAATTTAATAAGCTATTTAATTGTATGCAAAATGGTTCGTATATCAAGTTCATTAAACAATCTACATATGCATATGATACAACTTTTAAAATCTTTTAAAAAGACTGATATTAAGACTGAATCGTACAACAATAATTGTAATGAACACAAATATGGTTTTATTCAAATACAACATATATATCTATGTGTATAATAAACAATTCGTCACATTATACAATTAATTCAAAAGTGAACAATTAAATAGTTTATCAGATTACAATAAATTAAGAATAAGATTAAATAATTAAAGAATTCACGTGAAATAAAAGATTGAACAATTATAGCTTTAAATGAAGTAATACTGTTATTAAATTGACTCTAATATAAAAAGGAATTTCTTATTTGGAATGTAAATTTTATAAAAATACTTTTAGTACGAGTATTGTAGCATAAACGTTGTATCTTTATAAAATATATTTTATTTTTTAAATGACAAAATAAATGGTCGTTTTTAACAATTTTATAATTTCACGAAGTGGTAAATATGAAAGATTAATGTGATTTTCAGTTAAGGTAAGATGGTAATTTTAATAACTTAAGATTAAATTGAACCTTTTTTATCAATCAACAACTTTCAGTACAACTCTTATTTTTTGTGGACGTTTTAACGTTATATACAAATACCATATGAAAACTTGTAGAGAGGTTGTATAATATACCCATAATTATGCAATATTCTACTGGATATGGATCATTGATATTTAACCCGAAACATCTTCTTGTGTTGTCTTTTCTCTTCCACGTTGTATCAAAATGTCGGTATAAAATAAATTGAAATCTAGCCTAATTCAAAAGTTGCACAAATACAGTAGTAATATTAAGTAATTAATGTTTTGTACTTTTACTTTTAATACTTCATAAACTTTCAAACACTTACCTACAAAAAACGTTGAGAAGCTTCTCGTTATTATTATCGCATCCCAAATCACAGATTCTGTCTAGAAGACGTATTAATACTTGAGTAAATTTCTCATCTAGCAATACGATCATTTCCTCGAAACTAGCAGCATTTTCTTTAGACGTATCACCCTCTTCGTCCTAAAAAATTATACAAAAACAAAACTAATACACTTGTATTTCATTTAATATATCTGTAAGACCCTTTGAAGAACTAAGATTAAGAAGCATACATTGTTGAAAATGAATATAACCGATAGATAATGATATTTGTAATACTGTATTAGAATGTATGATTCTAAGCTAAAAATGTGTAACGCAATGTTATCATTTAATATACCTGCTCCTGAAAATAAAATTGTTGATTATTATACATACAACATTGTAATCACTTAATATTTTATCATGTAAGGTATCATGCTATATCTCAATGGTTTTCATTAGCTACAGTAATCAACATATATTTGCACTAAAGAAAAAAAAAAACAAAAAAAAACAAAAAGGAATATTACATAACGTTGCCGGAACCTATACTCCTATTCCCATGCAGTTTGTATAAGACATTTGAATATTAAAAGTATATTCTATAAATAGATTATTCTTTAGATTATGTGTGCTTTAACTCATATTGTAAAATGACTATATCATTTAATAAAAACAGCATGCAATATTTCCATTCGTTAAAATATTATATTCAAAATGGAATATGCAGCATCAAAATAACAACACAAAAATTGTACACAAAAAAATGTTACACAATACATTAACTCTTATACCAACCTACATTTTGAAGAGTACAGCATATTGTTAAAAGTTAAAAGAACACTTACATGTTCATCTACAATCAATAAAAGTTACTTTTTTTTATCCATTGAAGAAATATTTAATGAATTGAAAAACAGATGTTAGTAGTAATGACTGTGGCAGTGCATTATATTAGGTGGCCGATTGTATGTAAAATGAAAAAACAGTGATGTTATTAACGACTAAAGGACATCAAATTTAATCGATTATTTATACAAAATCAAATCTACCTCTTTCTCTTTATTAATTGGAGAAAATTGGAATAAAAAAAAAAAAGTTGAATGTGTTCGTATTATATATACAAAACATGCGAATTTAAAAATATACATATTTCTGTATGCACGATACAAAAATGATTGTTATAACGACTTTTATTTTACTAAAAAAGGAAAGCTTCATGATACTATTAATACTATACAAATGCATGGTAGCAAAGTTATAACTTGGGGGAATATACCTCAGAATCATAGACATCATCCTGATAGGCGCCAATCATGGAAGTCAATTCGGCGTCAATGTAGTATGGGCTCATACGCTTAACATCAGTAAAATATTAAAATTCGTTTTACAACAAATTTTTATGCTTGTTGTGACATAGATTAACATAAAACGTGTTATACTAAAGCCATCATCAGGTATCAATAGTTATGTCAGTAACAAACATCATGCAAACCTACTTAATATTTTTGACAATGTTTCATTTAACACTGAGACAATGATTTTCACTTCTATTGCATGTAGAATATAAGAGTATATTGGGTAGCAATATTAAATAAAATGCCATTGAGAAATACCGCGATTATATTCACACTTTAGTTCAACATATATCATTTTATTAAAGAAATGTATACCACCTATCTTATGACGTTTTACGGGTATTAATATATAATATCAGATAAACAATAGTATTTAAAAGAATCCGAGTCAAAATAAAGTATGCAACTTAGACAGAATATTCTTTTATATGTGTATATTACATACACATTTAAGTATTCAAATTACCTGTATATATTTATTGATATACATTGTATTTGTAAACTAAAATTATATTCCTTACCTCCATAAAATTACAAAAATCAAGACAGGCAGCACAAATGCCGGTTATGCAACCAAGAAGATCAGGATCTGTTAACATGCATTCTTTTAGGTAACTGTCCTGTAGGTCTTGATGCACACTTAAAACATCGTCTACGTTACTGACCTGGGTTAAAATTTCAAAAATGCAGTTAAAAGAATAAATTTTAAATGTAAACATTTAAATATATGATCATACCTTGCTCATTTTATTTAGAAATGTAAGCCAATTTGGTTCTATAACTTCAACCATCATATAATACGCCAAATGTTGAATGCAATCGAGCATTCGTTGCCGTAAAGAAAATGCTTGTCTATATGACATTGCTACATTGTGAGTAAATGTTTTTGCAATTTTATTACTGACCCACACCCTAAAACGTAGTATCATCTTTATTAGTAATACTGACTTACAGGTGTAACAAATCAAATTCTAAATAAGTATATAATAACCTGCATAAACGTCTTTCAATATACTTGCAGTAAAACAAATGCCTGAATAGCATTTGATAACAAGCTATTGCTTTTCTGTTAAGTATCAAAGAAACCGGCCACTTAACATCATAATTAAATACAAACGCTTCCAAACCAGTTAAAGTTTTATCAGTTTGGAAACAATATTCTACAAGAAAATTTAATTTAAAATAATTTCAAGAAATTTTAACTTAAACGTAAATATATTAATGAAATATACCTTTTTCATCTCTGGTTTGAATGGAGAGTATTCTAAACATTTGAAACTGAAGATCATATGGTAAAAGTTCAGGTTTCAGATCATCTTTATATGGATCTGAATCTGCGGTCGACATACGCAATGCTACTTCTAGCAGAGACGCTAATCGATGAATGACAATATCATACATACTTTTATTCAATTCCGCCTCGCATAAATTCATAAATTGAACCTAAAATTAAACGATATCATACGTAACTATACAAGAATATTATACAACTCATCAATAAAGCATGCCACTATATATAAACTTACTACAAAATCTCCTTGTGCAAGAAGAAAGTAACTTTTCACACTACGAAGTCGACCCATTAAATCATTTTCGTGAATAAGAACTTCTAATAAAGTTTTTGCAGCTTCAGAATATGCTCTATCGATGGCAGCTATGTATTTTTGACCCTGGTGTTGATAAATTAAAGGTTCTTGTTTTCCCCATTGAACTGTTTTACCTATAAATAATTGTAATCAACTTTTTTTTAGTTATTTATTATGTTTCAGCATTTTTTATTCGAAGAACATAAAAGATGCTGTTACTTACCACACTGCCTAATTACATTAAAATATTTTCCAGTTCTTAAAATTGTTTGTGCATGTTCGTTTAAAAATGTGGGAATTCTTTCTGGTCTCATAGTATATCTCTTCTCCCAGTAATCCGCTGAATAATCAATAGGTAATTCTTCTCTATGAATTAATTCATTGTCTTCTACAAAAAACTAAAGAACACAAAAACAACGTTTAATAAATTGCATAAATATGCATTTAAAATTATATTGTTACCTCTTCATATGGATCACATATCACACCCTTATATACCCATTTTTCCAATATTTGCATGTATGGAACGCTTGCCGTTTGTATAAGGAACAAACATAATTCTTTAAATTTTGCTTCTCCACTGATATTATTTGCTTGTTCATGCAAAAGACTAAGTACTTTCCCACCTTTTGCATTTGCCTAAAATCGGATATCCTATTAGATATCAATTAATTGCATAAAAGATGAACACGAGATAAAAATCACAACTGACCTTACATATAGTAGATGTAATTTGAAAAAGAATGGACATTGCAATCATTGTGGGTTGAATATAAAACCATAATTTTTGCAAATTTAATTTACCACGTACGTGTTCCATTTCCAACTGGACAACAAACAACTGAAAAATGTTATATATTAAATGATTTTATAACAAGTGCTTAAAATGAAAATACGCATTCACATATTATACATACTAAATAATCTTTTAATAAACATTTTATAGCTCCCCTCAAAGCATGGTTCACTTGACCATCTTCTGGTAAAACCTTTTCTTCAACAAATCTAGCTGTCATGGAATAATGAGAAGCAAGAGGTAATATTTGTTGTGTCATTTGTTTATATGATATACCTATAAGTTAGAATGATAATGATAATATTGTACATTAGTATAATACTTCACACTGTATATTTTATATCCTTTTCGTCTTACCAACATCTGGAGATATATTAAATGTTTTCACCGCATATAGACCTGTTAAAGGTTCAGAAACAATATAAGATCCATCTATACCTTTTAGGCAATATAAAATGTCCCACAATAATATAGATTCTTGAGAAACCACTGGTACAACTTCTGTAAATATTTTGTTTTTTATTAAATTAATTATAATTGTGTATATTGATTAAATAATGATCTTTACTTTGACATGGTGTCACATTTGGCTCATTATAAAAGTCCCAGGTTATTCTAGGTCTCTCATGAACCCAATTATGCTTTATCACAGATGGTTCTGATTTCTTTGCAACTGTGTTTACTTGCTTGTTTAACTTTTTCTCTCCCTCTACTGCAGCTTTAATTACATTCTTACAAATCTGTATTATATATAATAATAATAATAATGAATGTACTAATACTGATTCATTCAATCATGTTTAAATTTGCACTTAAAAGATTAAAAATACCTGTGGTAAGTCCTCCGTAGTAATAGCAGAATTTTTTGTAGAGCTTGATGTTAATGTTGATGCTTGTTTAGCCAAATAACTTTTTAATTCTTTATCTTCGGATATAAGTTCTAAAACCTGAATAAATAAGCCTAATAAATCAACCCTAAAAAATAAATGTTGCTTATTAATAAGTTAGATTTTATTGCTTCATTATTCAAATATATAAAAATATTAACTTTTTTGCTTTCAATTCTTCATATTTTTGAAGAAATAATTCAGGGACAGGAGAATTTCTTGCTAAGTTACGAATAGAACTTTGTGATGCCACAACAGTTAAAGCACTTGCACTTGTTGGTATCCCCTCTTTTTGAAGTCTTTCTACATGTTTTTCTGGTGCTGAAGATGATCTAATTATAAAAAATAACTAATTAGGAAATATATTTCTTCTACTTTTATATCATAACATAAATACACTGTAATCAACAACTTTAGTAAGTTTTATATATTTATTTATACGTTTTTTAGCAAGAAACTAATTTTATTGATACTTACCCCAATAATCCAATTAACTCAACTACTAAATGATGTAATTTAAATTCACTCATTATTTTAAATTAATAAATATATTATATGTATTTATATATAGTACATTCATTGAAGAAATACTTATTACGTGTATATCATTCTAATTGGGATCATAATTGCTAAAATTGTCAGCATATTTAAATATGTTTTAAAAATGTTATTTCACTTATCATTTGAAATGTATATTTACGTTCAAAACTATTGTATTATTGGTTATAATAGATAAAATACATTATAGGTTAGATTATGGGTAAGAAAACCTAAAATTTAAAATGTTACTAGGCCCTAAATATGTATGTATGTATGTATGTACATACATACATACATACATACATACATACAAACATACATGGTTCAAATCAAATATTTTTGGAATATTAAATTTCAATTTAATAGTTATATTCATTAGTTGCAAATATCAATTATTAATTTAAAATTATGATGCATACATGCAAGTTTATCCACGATCATTTACACCAAATAACCAATCACGTTTATTTATTTAAAATATAACAGCATTATGATTTTAAAAACGTATGAAAAGCTTCAACTAATTTAAAAATATAAAACGCATAATATTTACATAATAAGTATTAATATTATAAAAATGTAACTACTTAAATATTTCATAACTTTAATAATTTTATTATGAGTATGTCACAAAGTATTCAACATGAATTTTATCAAATAAATATGTACATTTAAAATTAAGATAACTTTATATATCTTTAGTTTAATCTTTTTCTGATAATAACTTTTATATTGTACTACAAGTTTCAAATCCTTCATTATCTTCAATTGAATTATTATCTGGAGGAGTAAGAAACATTGCAAAAAATAAAGATTCTTCATATTCTTCCTTAAGAATTGTTGTTTCAACAGTGGGGAATGGCAAAACATTCTTTTGTAACTTTGAAGCCATTTGAAATACATAGTTTTTAGGATTTCTGAAAATACATTGTACATTTAATATTTCATCTATATGTATATTATATTTTAAACCCATAAATATACCAGAATGAAGATTTTTGAATAATACAAGAAAAATGTATTGAAAGTTTGATGCATTTGTTTAACAGATACCTTAAGTTTGTAGTTAAAACATTGGAAGAAAACATATTTGTTTCTTGTATAATATTTTTATTAGTATTGATATTTGTTATTATATCATGTATTTGTTTCATATTGTTGTCAACATGATTAGATTGTGGAATATTTATATCTCTTGATGTTTGTAGAGTATGTATTTTATGGTTCCTCTCTTTTTTAAATCTCTTAATTATATTTTGAGTTTCTTCATCAAATATACATTTTTTCCTTTTCAATGATGTACCTTGATAGTAATTATTTGGTTTGTAATTTTCTTTGGTATGTCTGTATTTATATAATGAATTAAAAACCATAATTAAAACATAATTAACATAATTTAATAAAAATTTTCTTACGATAGATTTCTATCAATATCTGATTTTATCTTTTGAAAAAATTGATCATCATCATCTAATGTAACTGAAACAATTGGTTGTTTATTCAAACTCTGCCTGATAATATTATCAGAAAATATAATTCCTATAAGTAATTAAGAATAACAATAAAATTATTCAATCTTATTAATAAACAATATTAAAATTCAACAATGTTCTGTATGTATGTACTTGAGCTAATGCTTTTTAAGTCCATTATTTGAGTTGTAATTGTACTTATATAAATACACTTTTATACAATGTTACATATATTATACATCACAAATTAATAAAGTATCATTAAGTATATTAAACAACAAATGAATATCACAATCTTTCATCAACCGTGTTACTGTTTTGCTTGCTCAAATCTAGTAATATTATCCATACAAACACAAAATATCAGCCTGCGTTAACATATATGCACCAACTCAATGATTATAGTATGATAATGTATACAATATTCATATAGTCGGCACACGAATTTCTTCTAGGTTAGCGGTGTTTCATCAGACTGATCGGGAGAAGTGAATTGTAACCTCTCACAAGTTATAAGTAATTCTATCGAATAAATAACATTTTTGTGCGTTGTGATCAAAATTGGAAACGATGCGTTTGGCGACAGCGATGAATTCCAAGCTTCTGCCTGTTTTCCGACATCGAATGACGAATATTCGATCTTACTCCAGAAATCACCGTGTAGATCATGACGAGTTATCGGTATATTTACGACCGCAATTTAGAAGAATAAAAATTATTGAATCTCATGGAATGTTTGCCAGAAATATTCACAGTCGTCGACAAAATGCAGCTGTTATTCCAGTCAGATTCTTTGCAACTAAAAGATCTGACAAGGATGCAACAAAGTAAATTCTTCATCCTCTTCAAATTTGTTCTCTTTAATCATTTTTAATTAAAATAATTATTATTTCATAATTTGGTAGTCTTAACGTGTTTTTACTCATATGATATCATATTCTGATTTTTAGTGGAAACAATGAAGATTATTTAAGTGATCCACCGTCATTACCAGCTACCGTTGTTGTACCAGAAGTTTGGCCTCATGTACCTGTTATTGCAATTAATAGAAATCCAGTATTTCCAAGATTTATAAAACTTATTGAACTGACTAATCCAATTCTCATAGATTTAATTCGTAGAAAAGTCAAATTAAATCAACCTTATGTTGGAATCTTTTTAAAGAAAACAGAAGAGTGAGTAATGTAAATACAATTTAATTGATGAACATGAATATTTTTTATATGATTGTAAATATAATTTTGATAGAAATGAAGCAGAAGTTGTACAAAATTTAGATGAAGTTTATTCTGTTGGAACATTTGCACAAATACATGAAGTTCAAGATCTAGGCAATCGATTAAGATTAGTTGTAATGGCCCATAGAAGAATTAAAATTGTTGGTCAAATTTTAGAAGACCTTGAAAAACCTGCCTCTGGTAAGTAGTAAAATTTAATTTAACATTAAGCGAAACCACTATATTATGTTATATTCGTTCTTATAATAATCGTTATTAACGCGATTAATACGGTCGGATTGCTAACCTTTGCCCAGAGAATTTTTTAGAAACTTCCAGAACAATTTTTCTAGACACATACTGTTTATACTATAGATCGGCTCCAACTGGCATCAAATATTGGACAAAGTATAATAAAATTATGTAGCTAATAAGGGGATGATACAAAGAATCAAGAATTAAAAGAAAAAAAATTTGTTTTTTCTATACTTTATTAAATACAAACATTTCTGTTTCCATAGACGAATTAGTTACGGGTGCTAAACCAAGTCGTAGATCTCTTCTACGTAAAAAAATGGAACAAAAGGTGGTAGAGCCAGAAAGAGTACAGAAAGTTGAAGCAGAAATAATTACTCCTGAAAACAAAAATACTGTTCCTGAAAATAAAGAGGCAGTAACGGAAAAAAGTGGGGAAAAAGTTGGTCCTGTAGAAACTCCACCTCAAGCTAATTCTAATTCTCCTCAGCCTTTATTAATGGTAGAGGTTGTAAATATTACACATGAGAAATTTCGGCAAACTGAAGAAATTAAGGTAATTTTTTTGTATATTTAGTAAATAAATGTAATTTATTGACGAATATCATATTGATCGTTTAAAATTAATAGGCTCTAACTCAGGAGTTAATTAAAACAATTCGGGATATAATAAGTATGAATCCGTTGTACCGTGAATCCTTGCAACAAATGTTACATCAAGGTCAAAGAGTTGTAGATAATCCAGTTTATCTAAGTGACTTGGGTGCAGCTTTGACAGGAGCAGATGCACAAGAGTTACAACAAGTATTGGAAGAAATGGATGTAAGGATTTGCTTTTTACGTTTATCATGAAAATAATCTATTCTAATCTCTTTGAACAATTAATGCAACAGTTTTACTTGTAGATATTAAAAAGATTAAGATTATCACTTGCACTTCTAAAGAAAGAATATGAATTAAGTAAACTTCAACAAAAGATTGGTAGAGAAGTTGAGGAAAAGGTTAAACAGCAGCACCGAAAGTATATTCTTCATGAACAATTAAAAGTTATTAAGAAAGAATTGGGATTAGAGAAAGATGATAAAGATGCAATAGCAGAAAAGTACCGAGAACGAATAAGAGAGAAAACAGTTCCAAAAGTAGTAATGGATGTACTTGAAGAAGAATTAAATAAATTAAATTTCTTGGAAAGTCATAGTAGTGAATTTAAGTATGTATGAATTTTATAATTATTTCATAATAAGATTTCAGTGTATACAATAGAAATTTTATCTTCAATTTAAACAATTTCACTAATTTTTTTAATTTGGTAGTATAATTTTGTTTCCAGTGTGACCAGAAATTATTTGGATTGGCTTACTTCTATGCCGTGGGGTGTAACCAGTGCTGAAAACTTAAATCTTCAACAAGCAATTGAAATTTTAGATAAAGATCATTATGGAATGGAGGATATAAAAAAGCGAATTTTAGGTAGTGAAATACTTTGTGAATACATATTTGTTTAATGCTAAAAATATATGCCTTTCATTATTTTTTTTATCTTTCAAATCCAGAGTTTATTGCTGTTAGCCAGTTGAAAGGATCAACGCAAGGAAAAATATTATGTTTCCATGGTCCACCGGGTGTTGGCAAAACGTCAATAGCCAAATCAATTTCTCGTGCGCTTAATAGAGAGTACTTTAGATTTAGCGTTGGTGGTATGACAGATGTAGCAGAAATCAAAGGACATAGAAGAACTTACGTGGGTGCTATGCCTGGCAAAGTTATTCAATGTTTAAAAAAAACCAAGACTGAGAATCCATTGATTCTTATAGACGAAGTTGATAAAATTGGAAAGTATGTAGTTGTAGAACTTTATAAATTGAATCTATGATCGTCAAGTATTGTAGTATTTTTTAATATTATTTTTGGTTTTTCTTGTTAGAGGTCATCAAGGAGATCCAGCTTCTGCTCTTCTTGAAATGTTAGATCCAGAACAGAACGCAAATTTCCTGGATCATTATTTGGATGTACCCGTTGATTTATCTAAAGTTCTTTTCATTTGTACGGCAAACGTAATTGATACTATTCCAGAACCTTTGAGAGATCGTATGGAGATGATAGATATGTCAGGTTATGTAGCAGAAGAAAAACTTGCGATCGCTAAGCAATACTTAGTGCCGCAGGCTATGAACGATTCGGGTCTTACTAAGGATCAAATCGAAATTGGAGATAATGCACTTCATTTGTTAATTAAGTCTTATTGCCGTGAATCCGGGGTACGAAGTCTTCAAAAACACATAGAAAAAGTTCATCGGAAAGTAGCATTCAAAGTAGTCAAGAAAGAATCAGAAAAAATTAATGTGACTGCAGAAAATTTACACGAGTTTGTAGGAAAACCCGTATTTACACATGACAGAATGTATGATAGTACACCACCTGGTGTGGTCATGGGTCTTGCATGGACTGCCATGGGCGGTTCTACTTTATTTATTGAAACAACAATTAGAAAACCATTGATATCTGGAAAATCAGAAGGCAGTTTTGAAGTTACTGGTCATTTAGGTGATGTAATGAAAGAGTCTATCCAAATAGCGCTAACAGTTTCAAGAAACTTTTTAAAACTAAAAGAACCATCTAATACGTTTTTGTATGATTCTCATTTACACTTACACGTACCTGAAGGTGCCACTCCAAAAGATGGTCCAAGTGCAGGTATTACAATTGCGATAGCATTAATTTCACTTGCTAAAAATAAAGCAATTAGGCAGAACGTTGCAATGACGGGAGAACTTAGTCTCATGGGTAGAGTTCTTCCTGTTGGTGGTATTAAAGAGAAAATAATTGCTGTAAGTACCATAAAATTTTTCATCAACAATAAACTGTATGTAATATGTAGAATATATAAAATAATTAAAATACATTTTTCTTTTTAAGGCCAAACGAGTTGGTGTGAACTGTGTAATTTTACCTGAAGAAAATAAGAAAGATTTTAATGACTTAGCTAAATATATCACGGATGGTCTTGAAGTTCACTTTGCTACAACTTTTGAAGATGTATACCGTATATGTTTTGAAACAGAACAAGCTGATCAACTTCAATATCCGAAATTAAATGTTAATATTTCAACTGCACAAAGTGCACCACTTCTGAGTAAAAAAGACTGAATTGTTCAAAGATTGAGTACTTACATATTTTAAAAGCTGATTAGCCTACAATTTTACACATCTATAGCCCATTTGAAACATCTGGATACATAAAACGATTAAACAATTTATTTTCACAAAGTTTTTTTTTTTTTTTATATATATATATATATATAGTATTTCTCAAATATATGAGATATTCCGAAAAGATTGTACAATCTTTTTGGAATACTCTGTGTGTATATATATAGAACTAATCTATATCAAACTAATAAATTAAACTATATTGCAGAATGCATTAATGCTTATTTTATAAATCTTTTACTAAGAAAGACATTGTAAATACAATATAATATTTTTTGTTATCTTCATATATAATGTAATAATTCAGTAGTTGCAATTAATATTTATGGTGAAATGTAAATATGATCTATTGTTTATATACAGGGTACCTGTTGTTCTGTATTACACAGTGCTATTTACTATATAAACAAAAACATTGTACATAATTCATAGTCTTAAAAACTTCTGTTTAATAAAAAAATGTTTTATATGATTATGTGTTTACAAATATCTCAATTTAAAAAAAAATGTTAATTATATGAAAATAAATATTTTTGTGAAATAAGTGCCTGTAATAACGCAAATACCACATTATTAAACTGCTGTATAAGTTTTTAGTTCGAATATGTTAATAAAGAGCATAATTCAAAATTAAATTATAAACATGTAACTAAAAAAATATTGGAAAATTGTTTTTGTACAGTTTTTTATGTTACAATTAATATTAACTTGGAACTTCCATTTTGCTTAGTCTAATTATAAAGTCGCACAGTCTCATTTGTACTTGGATTTCTATTGGATTATTTGTGACATAAAATCCAGGTACTCCAGCTTTTTCTAAAATACTTTGTTGGTCTGCTACTTTTTGATCTAATTGTAAGACCAGTTTCATATCCAGTTGTTTTAATTCATCCTTGTGTTTTTTGTATAATGATGTTTTCATTGCAGTCCTTTCTTCTTCTGTGGATATTGATGATAAGGATTCTTGCATTTCAATTTTTTGTTGGTTCAATAATTGAAGACGCTGTTGGAAAAGATGTTTTTCCGTAACATGTTGAATTTCCATTAGTCCTTTAACAATTTCAAAGATTGTATCATTTAATAAAGAATTAGCTAAACCAGATAATAATTCATACGGAAGACGCATTTGATATTTTGCAGGAAGTTCACCAGCCATATGTTGAAGCTGTTCTACTAAAAAATAAAGTTTTCTCTGAAGATCCTGTGGAGTTGGAGCAGGAACATCCATTGCTATGTCATCAGGAAACACAAAACCTAAGCAGCAAATTATACATATGCTAATATCATAAAAAGATAATTATATTTATTTATATATTATATATGTATTTTATTATTAAATAAATTAAAATATTGTTTACAATCAACGGTTCGTGGATATTAAATGTAATGCATATGCATTTAAGCATGTTTTCTCATGGTATATTGTAATAAATTAAAAATGAATGAAACACGAATAAACAACCTGTTATTTTCAGTTAGTAAATTAAATTTTCCCAATTTTCATCATGGATTCAAAGCGTTTTATTTGGCAACACTGTTGCGTAGGATTTCCAGATGATTTTCCTACCTACACGACAATCATAACTAAACCATATGTGCGTGTGCGTATGTATAATTGTAGTAAACTCCGTTTGCAGTTTGTGGGAGGTTTTTGGAGTTAGGTGAGGGCGAATGTCGAATTTTCTTACTGTGGGTCGAAGATGCGCGTGTCAGGAGACCGCGGGAAAATGAATAATGACGAAGTGGCCAGGAAGTAAAAAATGATCGAATCAAAATGAGGAGAACGTACAACACTGCAGCAGATGTCCGAACCACTGATTGTCTCGAACAAACGAGACGTTTACACAAGTAATATTTAGCTACAGCCGCCTTAGGATGTTTTCTCTCATACATATTAAAACGAATTAATATTTAGAAAAATTCTTTCCGATGTTACTAGAACGTCTGAATTCATCTTACGAACATAACCTATATTTACATACCATAATCTTCCATTGGCGCGCTTTTATACGAAGCCTTTCTGTACTAATGAAAAAATTTATCCGATAAAATATTGGCAGTTTATATATACATTATAAATAATTTATTTAAATGTTAAACTAAATAAACCATACATATGAAAGCGATTTATACATACGGATAATGTATTATAATATCAGAAAATGTGAGAATTTTCATAGTGTAATTTTAACCACATTTCTTACTTTAATGGTTATTTGCAGGATTAATATATTTTTGTAATTTGTTATGAAAATATTTTTGTCATGAATTTACATTGAAATATGCTAATTTATAATGTATTAAATGTTATATAGAAAATATATAATTTTCGATTTATATAACATGTGCTTGAATCAGAAACAATTATACGAAATTTTGTAATAAATGCAAACTTTTTATAAAGATTGTATAATTAATAAGAAATGTTTGATTAATAGGGGTATAACAGATATTGCCAAAAGATTAGATGAACAAAAAAGTCGTGCATTAACAATAACAGATTTATTTACCCCTTCAGGGGAAACGTTACGTGGAAAGTTGAAAGATTATTGTGTGAGATTGATAATCAAAGATCCTGTTGGATATGCACGTAAAACCGAAGAATTATTATGGCGGAAGGCATTTTATGATATTGTCTATGTATCTAAAAAATTGCGAAAGGTATTAGTTTTGTACATTGATTATAATTTCTGTTCCATTGTCATTTTCATAAAGGTTGTATTTTCAAATTTGATTACAGGGCAACACGTGGACTGAGGCAGAAAAAGCAATGTTATGTGTTCATTTGGCAGTAGGGATCGGTTTTTATCATCATTTAATATTGAAGGTGCAATTAGAATATAATTTAGATCTAGTTGGTACTATTGATTTTGCATTCATGCAAAATGAAACTAGATCAAATGTAAGTCCAACATCTTTACTATATCACGTGTCAATTAAAATGAATACCACGTTTAATGAAGCTAACTTTATTCTTTGTTTTTTGTATTTCATATAGGCAAAGGGTAAAACAAGTCAATCTAAGCATCACACAGAAGAAGTGAAACAGTGTGTTATGCGTTTAATTCATAGAAGTTTGGTATGCCTTGGGGACTTGGCTAGATACAAATTAGAATTAGATCCGTATTGGGATTCAATGATAGCAAACAGATATTATAAAATGGCTATAGCAATTGATCCAAATATTGGAATGCCGCACAATCAATTGGGTACTGTAGCAGGCAATAAAAATTATGGCCTTGATGCTGTGTACCATTACATGAGATGGTTGGAATAATTTTTTAATATTTCATACTTTCTGCAGTAACTAGAAAATATCATTACAGTACTTAATAATGACTTTTTTTTTATAGTGTTTTATGTACTGAACCATTTGAAGGTGCAGAAGGAAATTTAAAAAGAGCTATTGTTACACACTCCATTTGTACAGATGAAAAATGTCCTACACACATGTGTGTATCCAGATTGTTTTCTTTGCTACAATTATGGGATTATGATGTACCAAATTCTGATAGAATAAATCAAGAATGTCAGGTATGTGAATTAATAAATGTTAATAATTGAATTTTTTGGCACCTTATTTATGCACCCGTTTATAAAATTCAATACTGTTTTATTTTTACAGGATCTTCTGACTAATATCGAAACTTGCTTAAGTGTAGAACAATCTGAAGCTGGCAATACAAAATACAATGAAAAGGAATGCAACATTGAAGTATATCTTCAGAACTGCAAAAATGGACAAACAAATTACTTAACAGATGATATGATATTCAAAATTGTAGCTATATGCTTAATGTCTATTTCAAGATTAAAAGCGAAAGAATCAAGTGAGGTACAGGGTGTAGTAGCTATAACTTTGGCAATATTATCTCAACTAATGCAATTTACAATAACAAGATTACAAGAGTCTTTTATAGACTTGCCATTGCCAAACATAGAATTAGATATAAACTTGAAGGATAACGAACGCAATAGCGAATCTATAAATGTTGAAGAAAAGATTAATCTAAAGCAATCGAATTCAAATGAAAATAATAATAAATCAACAATTATAAATGACAATAAAACATGTGAAAAAGGAAGTGCAGAAGATAACGGAGATGTTCATAATGGTACACGGAAAATTCGGGACAAACCTAAAAGTTTACTCACGAAGCTTCGACGAAGAAAACGAAAAAATAGCAGTGAATCAGATGCGAGTGACGTTGATCATACAACTTCTAGCGACGAAATAAATTCTGATATTTCTGAAACGGAAGATGATATATTGAGCGAAGAAAATGTTTTATCGGATGATGCGCTGTCTGAAGATGTTACGGACGATGAAGGGACGTGTGTAGAAAGAAATGAAGAAACTGCTGAAAATTTTGAAACAAAGAAATTAAATGGACATATAGAAAGAAAAACAGAAAGTGAAATTTCTGATACAATTAATGATCGTATACAAAATGGTGAGCAAATACCCGATGATCAAGTAGATAAAAAACTGAATGATAAAGATTCGGTAACTAATTCCGGCAGTACAGTAACAATTAGTTCGAACAATATATTGGAAGAAAATGGTGAATCATCGGATAGAATCATGTATGTTGCTCAATTAAAAAAACAAAATTTGAAACCGGATGAAGTATTGAAAATTTTAATTGGAAAAGAAATACTCGCATCTATTAAAATATGTTGTGATTGGTTAAGAAGTAATCCAGATATTATTAGAATATGTGGAAAAAGCTCGCGTACTTTATTGAAACGCGTTACAATTTTATTAAATTTGATTAATATAAATGCGGATGCGTTGTTGAAAAACTGTAAGGATGACAGTATGATTTTATCAAGTGTTGATAAATTAATGGAATGTGTTAAAGTAATTCCATTGCCGGAGAACATTGATTTGAGAGGGTTAAATCTTTTAGAAGAATCCCACAAATCTCTTAATTGGAAAATGCTGCATAAACATAAAATTAATAAACGGGAAGAAACTGTATTAAGAGTGCTAAAGTTGATTGAATTTGGGCATTTTCTTAGCTCTGTAGAAGATGCTGGTGTAAAATATGAACAGACAAAACAGTTATTTGTAACTATTGATTTAAATGCTTCTAATTCAGCAAAGGGTGGTAGTGGCAAAGATTGGGATATGGACCATTCACGAGGAAAATTAATGAGACATATGGGAAAGTTATGGTTAAAAGCAGAAGTTAGCGCTTTGGAGACTCGTTTAAGATCTCGACTGATGTCTCCTTACCTTGTACCTGATCATGAGGCTTTATCCAAGCATACACCAGCTCTTAAACGTTTGGTGTATGCTAAGAAATTTATCGTTGTGATTCCTAGCGTTGGTAAATATGTAGAATAGAAGTTACAAAGATTTACATTTTATATGTTTTATGCGTGTTATTTGATTAATGGTTGTTTTTAGTTGTTTCTGCATTGGACGAAGTAAAACGCGTCAGTGGCCGGGCAAGAGAAGCAACACGCTGGTTAGAAACTCAATTAAAACGGGGTTCGAGATTTTTACGAGCTCAAAGACCTCACGAGCGTTTAGCTCTACCATTTATAAAAGGACCAAGACCAAAGGATAAAGAAGCGTGGTTATTTTTTCAAATTATAGAATGCTGTCACTACCTTACTCAACAAACAAAAGTTGGTATGACGAGTGATGCAGAAACACCAGTTGTAACATTATTAACCGGTTGCAATCCAGATGATAAAAAAGTTCTTACCTTCAGCCCTGAGGGATTGGCAAAAAGTGCAGGTATTTCTTTCATGTCATAATTTAGTTACTTTAGTTACATATAATTAATGAAATATAATTGATTGTATCATCAATTGATTATAGGTGTCAATATTGAATATATTGAGTCATTTCATACAAAGTGGAAAGCATCAAGTAAAAGTCATGGTTGAGCATATTTGGCTAATGAAGATGATCATCTGCTGCTTCCTCATACTGAAGTGAAGGTAAAAGAGTTGGGCCCTTCTTGAGAGCTGCAAATACGGTGAGCTACAGCATTAGCTGAGCGGGCGAGTCAGAGAGGGCTGGAAACCCAGAAAGGAAAATCGACGGTTCTCCTGCAATACAGCCAGTGGAATTAATATTTTTTTCCATGGACGAATTCTTAACAATAAAATGGTTTTCTTTTAATTACTCGTATGGTCTTTTATGTTTAAAAAAAAAAAAAAAAAAAAAAAATTGTATTTTTAGGTAAATTTTTTTCAATAAAACTAATGTCATTCAAGTTTTTTCAAATGTGAAAGAATTCCATGGGAAAACAAATGAAACTATAAACTAAATGTGTGTAGCGTTAAAAATGTGTTTGTTTAATTATAATTAATTTTTATTCAGATAAAAATAAATCGTGTTATCAGTTTGTCAGAATAATAAATTTAAGGCGATGCTAGCGTGAAGAATCTGAAAGGCATAGTTCCTGAAAAATATATAAGACAGATTAAATAGAAAAAAAAAAAAAGCATAAATTTCGTAGCCAATTCACTCGTATTATTTGCTGCATAATTAATAAATGTACCATAAAAATAATGATTATTCAAATAATAACCATAGAACACCATAAAATATTTGCAAAATTATAGTAAAACACATTGGGCACCACTCCATAAAACCCAGTAATAAATCCGTAAATATATGCCAAAGCACAATATAAAACACGATAAAGCACATGCAGGTATATAAATACATGGGGTACCACACCATAAAATGCACTAATATATCCGTATAAATATTCCAAAACACATAGCAAAACACCATAGGCACACGCAATAACACTTGTGGTAATACACTGATAAATCCATGCACGAATATCCATGGAGTGTCAATCCGTACCGGTATATGTTTGACAGCTCGATCCATGTTCTTCGGCGGTCGCGATAAGAATTGGGTGTCACCCAGTGTCACCGAGGAGAATGACAATCTGTAGGTAGCAGAGGCCCCATATATATATAGAACTGTGGCTCCCTCACCACTTGCGTATCATTGCGTATAAGCGTTTACATGGAAAAAAAAAGCTATGCGAGAGTACATACAATGAAAATTTAGTTGTTCCGATGATTCTTGTTTATTTAAATTTCTTCATATTTCTTTTAGTTAACAGCCTTTAACTTCATATAATCAAACAAAGGTTAAATATCTTTCAATTTGAAACTTGTTTTATTCATTCTTTGATATCTCCTTTGCTCAAAATTTCCCTCAAAAACTACACAAACATTTTATTGAATTTACTAAAGTTCTCGTTACCTGTTCAGAATAATTTATTTGTTTTTATCCTTAACTAGGTACATACTGCATACATCTATTAATCTGATATTTCATAAGTATCAGTACATAAAGCTAAAACACTTTTGTACTATGCATGTTATACATGGACCCAACAAATAATTTAACTTGTATATTGTCGCTCGTATATTGTTAAATGTAAAATGTTCTATTACTACACTACTTACAAACTTGATATAAATCGTGTATGTGTACTGTTATTTATGAAATTTACATATCTTCACCCGCTTATTCTATCCAATTTTGAATGTAATTCAGGGTATTTATGTATCGTTTAACATATTATTTACACACACGATTACTCGTGTTTATTTTTAGATTTGTATTTGATAAAAAATCGTAAGTTCTTTCGATCTTGGAGTAATTCAAGGATGATTGAGTGATCGCACTTAAAAAATATTGAATATTCTTTATCGTCTTGCTATTATGATACAAAATTCGTTTATACGGTTTCGACAAGTGTAGTAATATTATGATAAATATTTACCCTGTTCGGTAACAATTGTAAAAAACAAATCTTAAATCATAATCGAAAGGAATTTTCAACGTAAACGAACGAGAATATTGAAACCCTAGAAAATACATTTTCTATTCGTTCGTACTCTATAATATGTATATTCGTGCACTAAAACCTTGTTTTTATTTTTCCTCTCTATGTTCCAACTACTTAGGAAAAGAAATATAAATACGTTCACGTAAAAATAATATAAAATAAATCAAAATACTCGAAAATAAGCATCTTCTAATAATTAAAAAATACATATTATTGTTAAAAAAAAAAAAATAAAAAAAAATAAAAAAAAAATTTGTTTTATAAAACAAAAAGAAAAATTGGTCGTCTTCTACGTGTACACCATAAAGAAAATACTTTTATCGTCGATACTTTTGTTACGTTACACACGATTACTCGTTTAAATATAATCCTAAACGTTTAATTCTAAATTCGTGTCAGTCACCAGTTCGATAACATCAACTATTTGTTATGACATAATTAAACCTTATAGTTCTGCGGGGAAAGAAAAGGAACAAAGACGTTAAGTATCGACGCTTAAATATTAAATAGTAAAATTGAGAATCTGATCAAAGTTCAAATCTGAAATTACAATAGTTCTTTTTATTAAGTGAAAAGAAAAAAAGTTTCAATGTTGGATTCGTATTAATTTCAACGAATAACATTTTTGATTAATTTGTAAATTTGCAACTATACCGTTTATAATTTGAGATTTGAACTATATGAACTTGTTAAGATGAGGAGAACTTGTAATCGCATAGCCGCGGCGCGATAGTCAAAATCCAGAAATCTTATTCTTCCGTAAGAACGAAAGTAATCTAAGGACTAGAGGTTTCGCATGATTAATAATAATAATATTGTCGTGATAATATTAATAATGATGTTGATAAAAAAATAATAATCATAAGATGTAAATGGCAAGATAACACGCGGGTATAAATTAGTCGCTTCTTTGTCACGATGTTCCTGGAACATCTTTCAGGAATCGAATTGCTTTTCGTCTCTGGTCAGTGTCAGTTGACGAGCAAATGTAAACTAAATAACTTATCATTTACACACCTTGGATGTTCGAGCAAAGACCTCGAATGCTGTCCACGAGAGGGGTTCCTTACACACTTTGGTCCCCACTACTACTCCCATCTTCGTTCGGTTCCCGTAACACAGGTGAACCATTCTGCAACCATACGGCTCTCCCCACTTAATCTTCTACAAACATATACAATATACACATTCGATTTTCCTCTGGTGGAATCTGTGCATGCGAGCACCGAGTGGGAGACTGCCTGACTCCTTGAAGTTTCCTAAAGGGTTTCCTAAAGACAGCACAGAGCTAGAATTAGTGCTGTTCACGAATTCATGAAGGCTTGGCTCTTCCTTTGGTATACTTAACACAATGCACACTGATGGATTCATGGAGCACTTATACAATTATCTCGTAGAGTCTGTGGCAGAGACGAACATGTAATTGTTTCTGGGCTACTCTGCTAAGTATAATAGTTTTGGATAGGATTGTAAGACCTATTTTACAGGTGTAGAGTAAGTGGTAATACTACTGTCAGGATTTCATTATGGTAAAGTAGTAACTCTACTACTTGGCCGTTTACTCTACCAGTATAAACTAGGTCTAAGGATGGGATAACAGGGTTCGGATATAACTCGGCTGTGCGACCTCAAGAAACTGAAAGTAGGGAGTACCCACCGCTGTACCAACCAGGGTCTGTGCCCTCTTTACTACATTGCAGAGCTAGAAAGTTGGCCCGAGGGATAGCACAGGGGACACCACTTGTCCTCACCTTTGATGCTTTTGAAAGACACTTTATCCATTATTACCCATTATGGTATAACCAATCAGAGTCGCATTCTTACCGTGCGCCAACTCGCCAGCTCTGCGTTGTATTACCTGCTGATGCCTGTCTATAAGAGTGGAGAAAGAAAGAGAGAGAACTGTACTTTATAAAAGTATCCTAAAGTCTCTCGTGGACAGCACCAAGCTAGACCAACGTAGACAGTTCATGAGGGCTATTGGTGGTCGCAGCGCTGCTGAGATCCAATGTGGCCGCTGGTAATCCAGGACTAACGCTACCGCTGGCTTCTCGTGGCAGATGCTGCGACCTGTTTAGCTTGTTCCCAGGACTCGGTGGCGACCTGTCTCCCGGTGTATCAGGCGGTGTAATCACGTTCCTATGACTGCTGACGTTCAGATGATTGTGTGACGCTGTCATTGGAGCTGGCGATGAGATCAACAAAGGCGGAGACATCGACGACACGTGTCGATGATGATGATGGTGATGATAATGCTGATATTGAGCCGCTCTGCCGTGCGTCGTATGGCTGGCGTTCGGTTGACTGGCCAGAGAGCCCACCTTGGTCGCGCAACCAGGGTGGTGCATCGTCAACGGTGTTCGAAGCTGTTGTTGTTGTTGTTGCTGCTGCTGCTGCTGCTGCTGCTGCTGTTGTTGTTGTTGTTGTTGTTGTTGTTGTTGTTGTTGTTGCTGCTGCTGCTGTTGGTGATGCAGCTGCGGTTGATTCTGATGGTGTTGCAGCTGCTGCTGCCGCTGGAGCTGCACCGCAGCCTCGCACTGTTCGCGCGCTAGCGCCTTCACGGCGTTCGTCTTCTCCTGCAAACGAACACCATTACAGGATTAAAGTCTGCCTGTTATGTTTGGCACGCGAACAGCACGCATCAGCTGAGGAGAGTAACGGCACGTTGGACTGCCGTGATACGAATGTAAAAGCTGTATTACGGTAAAGAAGATATCGACGGAAGTGTAGAACCGCAATGCGCAATGATGGTTTCCCTTGGTAAGAGTCTTTACATAAATACTTAGTCTACTATAGTCTGCTAAGTTGGGTCTTATGAAACAAGAGTGGAGTCAGGTGAATGGTACAGTTTCTGTTAGCCAAAGGAAGGCATCATTGCACGCAAGCGTACCAGGCGATTCGAGTAAACGACTTAATCGAGGTCTTTTAACTGTCTGCCATTTGCTGATCGCGTGCGTTCGCGTAATCAGAGTTGTCTTTGATTACATTAGCTATGTGTCTTGGCCGATTCATGGAAGAAAGCTGTTGCTGAATGTAATCTCCGACTCGTTTCACGAGCAAAGACAAGATCAGATCGCGATAAAATACATTTTTACATCGTTTCTCAGATTCCTGCAGTTTTTGTACGATTTATATGGAAATGCTTACCCTCTGCCACACGAAGACGTTGTGGACCATTGCGCATCCACAAAACACGATGCCGAGGCCTATGAAAACCGACGTGACGATAGCCGGTGTTGAGTGGAACTGGATGAACGTGTACAATATCATGCCTGAAAGCATCGTGAAATTCAACGTTTCGAAATTGATAATGTAAATCTACCGCCTACACGTGTCGTCGGTTTAAATTAAGTAACGATTAAAAACTTTTTACAAAGCTTTTTATCCATCGTGGATAAATCCTGTTTGGAAACACGTATCGAATGATCGAAAATTTTCAGGTGACGACGACGACGACGACGACGACGACGACGAGGACGGCGACAACGACGAGGACGACGACGATTCCTTACCAGTTAGAAAGACGGGAATGCTAATGAAAAAGCCTCCGACAGCGCATATACGGCTGATGGACGATTTTTGCAGGTACTTGTTACTCCTGAAACAAAGAAAAATCGAAGGGAAAGTGAGTTTCGCGGTTCCACGATAATTGAATGAGTTATAAAGGAACAAGTTTTCTCTGTCAAACAGACTGGAACATCCTTCGAACGTTATCCGTGAAATTTCAAGAACCGCGTTCGATCAAACAAACGAAACACTTGACGAATACAATTTGCGACAAAAATCTACCTATGTAGCAACATTTCTTTAAATTCAATCATTTTTCTTTTTCGATATTCTATGTTATTCGACGCTTACGGTTTGTTAGCTGATTCGACCACAAACGGTGCTATTATAATAATTTGTGAGCCGAGACCACAAACGATTTCACCACAATTGATACCGTTCCGACATGCGAGACAACAGTCAGCTCGCATTCGTATTCTGAATATACGTTTCGTTTTCAGGAAATCATCATCCATCGAGTTTTCTTGGTGGTCAGATCGCTAGATAGCGAACTGCTCGGACGTCGCGGGTAGATTTACGATCGCAATGGATACACGACTCGATGGATGTTTCCTAGTCCAACGACTAATCTTCGCGTCTAAGAACAGCATAGCCGGAAACGAGAGAGAAGCGAATGCTTCCTGGAACTACTATGCTCTTCTGTTCATCCGTAAATTCTTTCCCGTGATTTTCTATCACATACCAACTAGATAAATTTCGCTAGTCGAATATTAATTTTACAACGCGCTAATTAGCTCTTCTGGATGAACGAAGAGTTCGTGCCGAAAAGAATAGCTGCGAACGAACAATGTACTTAAAAGGGGACGGTAACCTGTTAAATAGTTTCAGCCCACGATAAAAAGAGACTGGAAAGAATTCCAGCGAGCGAAGAATAATTTAAAAGGAACCTCGATTTCTTTCGCGCACATGCACGCGAATCAACCAGTCAATGTTCATCGAGTCGAAGTCGATTGTAGCGTAAAAACCGACGAATTCTCGGTTACGTGCTGATTTTAAACAAGCCTCATCCAACTCAGCCACAATGAGAAATTCCCACGAACCAGGCTAGCATCCCCTTTCGAGGTCATCGACCTCTTTGGATACGTTTCAAGAGCACCGTACCAATGAAATCATATCCTAGACTAATTCCCTCTCTACGTCCATAGCCTTCGAAAGAGTACAACCGAGTAAATTTAACCTTCAAGCCTTTCTGTATTCCGCTTTCAACGTCATTCAGCGAAACATGGACTAGCAACGACCCATTTGCCACCAGCAATAGCTTAAACTCGAGTTTATTGGCCACTACATAATTGGCGTAACTAGCCCAGAATTAAAAAATTTTAGAATCCTAATAGTTTCGTTTGCGTTTGCGTTTTCACACGTGGTTCCCTCGGCAGATCTCAGTCAGTAGCTTGTTCGTCCCCTGTAGAAGACAGAAATATCATTGTCAAGAAGCTAGAGCTGCACCGTCGTCGATCTTTATCTCCATTCAACTTTCTGAGCGAAACTATTTGACGGAGGGTGTTGAATAGGCTCAGACGGTTTTGTCAGGGTCCGCGTGTGTCAGCGTCGCTCGTACCCTTTTCCTTGTAAAAGTGAATGGAGAAGCCTCGTCGTATACGAAATCAAAGGGCAAGGAACTTTTTTCTTGCTTCAGCGAGATCAACGGAGGAGAAGCTCGTTTGAATGGTGCCTGTCTTGCCCTCTTACCTTACTATTCTATCTCCGTAAGAAGCTCTTTTATCGGCAACAAATTGAAATTGAAGCAAAATTTTCAACTAACTTTTACCATATATATTGTACCGTATTTCGGCGAGAAATTGCAAAAAAATTTGTTGCCATTTTAAGGCAAAGATACACGGTAATTTTACCATGAAACACAATGAGAGCGAGGCTATTAAAGGTGGTTTCTCGGAAGAGCAGATACATTGAAGAAATCCAAAGAGAACATCGTAAGTATCGCATCCGTGGAAACATCCGACCCAACGTCGACCGTGTCGGCGAGAAACGAAAATACCTTTACAAGCTGACTATATTTGCCAGGAGGATGTATCATTAATTGACCCTAACGACTGCATTTGCGGCTGAGAGTCACTGACCGACGCGACGCGACGCGACGCGACGCGACGCGAAAAATCACGTGTTTCCACGGAGTATGTATGTACAGCGTAACAAGGTAGTAATTTTCAGTAATTTGTAACAGATAAAGGGGATTCTGTTTCTATTTTAAATTGACAAGTAAATCGTTTGGAAGTCGATGCGACTGGTTTCGAGCTACCGTCGCTTCCGATACGGAAATTGAAAGAGCGCGATCGAAGTGCGCGGCTTGAAACCGGAAGTGCAGCCACGCAAACGCGGCTAGATTGCATTACGAACCACGTAAGGATCACGAGGACGAAATCGAATACGCAGACCGCATTTTAATTCGTTGTTGAAAGTTATTCGTTCATTCGTTTCTCATTTACAACCTGTTACTAACAGTTTGCAAATAATAAAAAATTATCCAAATCAGATTGAAATCAGATTGAAATCAGATTTTTTTCCTATTGTCAATTTGATGACTATGGACTTTTGAAAGAGACCATAAATATTGATTCGACTGGATAATAGGGATCTAGGTTTCCTGCGATTCTGCATTGGATTTCGATTGGGCGTTGCTCGTGGGCTTGTCGCTCTGCGGCAAACCGTTTCGCAACAGATTGCGTGCATTTCCTCTAACTACAACTACAATCACGAGACTATCCGTTCGAATGAAACGCGTTTTGCGGAATCCCCCTGTTCGTGGTTTTATCTAAACACGGAATATTTTAAAGAAATAATAATAACCATAGAGATTTTTGCCGAATCAATCATTCAGAAACATCGCATTATTCCACATCATATTAGGTATTATTCCGGTTTAAACAAAGAGGGCAAGAGGTAGGTGCCGAGAAACAAAGCACATTTGCGAACGATGGAAGCATTTTGACTTACGATCCAGACAACTCGTACAGAGTGTACGGGAATAGCATCGCGGATCGGCATTTCCACGGTGAACATCGTAAACGGTTACCCAGATGATGGATCATACACGTGGATCGTACGGACTACCGTGGATGATGGATCATACACGTTCCTCCTTTCGATCCTTTTCCTCTGGATTCTTTCCAGACAGCTGCCGCAATCCTGGAGACTTTTCAACGACACTTGTTTCAATCTTTTAAGGCCTTCATGGTTTAATTTCTTATAATTATAAATCATAGTGGGAGCCTTTAAATATCAAATCTGCGACAACGGCAAAAAAAAAGAAAAAAAGAAAATAAGAAACGAATAGAAGGTAGAATTAAATTTGCACCGCGCTGAAAATGAAAGATTTACAACTCGACTCCAATTACTTGTTTTGCGTTATTCTCTCGCACGCGTGTAGGCAGCAGTTGATGATATACGAGCACATCAACAACTACACGCGATAAAAACGAAAATCTACGGTCAATTTTCGATCCACCGAAGCAAGAAACGTAGAAAATTTCCAGCTTTCCGATTCATTCAGAGACGATGGGGGTAGCCAACACCTTTTGAAACACCTTTTCAACGAAATTTCTTTCGTTCCGACCAGAAGAAGCAAGGGAAGGTAGGTTTAATGACTTCGAAATTAAGGGTGGACCCTACGGAAGGGACAACCGTTACCGGCGGTTACTTACACCTGTTCCTCGACTAAGCCGGTGCATCCGAAGGCATTGTGCTCTTTACGAGCCTTTGACAAACCTGACCGTTTCTCGACACCCGTCCTTTCGTCAAATTCTCTTTGCTTTTTCTCAAACTACCATAAATCTTGTGGTTTTTGGTATTCCTCGTAAAATTCATTGGCTTATCTCATGCACGAAAGACTTTCATTCATTTTATATTAAGATAGACACCTACTGGATCAATAATTCACAATGTTATCCTATTAATTACACCCACGTAATCAGTCATCGATGCATTATCGATCGATCGAGCAATCATACGGTGCCTCGCGCCTTCTAATACCATTAAAACAATAACAATAAATTCGCAATGCACTCGTGACAATACGGTTGATATGCGACAAAAAATTTTACGTTAATTTACCGTAAAGTTACACGGCTGTATAAAGGGTTAAAAAGAAACTTCCGCAGGCTACCATTGAACTCGTCTGCTCGTTTCGCTAATTTATCGCGGGTAAAACAGTAGAGGCATCGTCGTTTGATCGAAATTAATCGAAAGAGAAAATAAATTACAAACATCGGGACACGATCGATGGCCCTCGTGCTCTCGATTGTACGCAGGGTGTCCAAAAAGTGCTCACGATTTCTCACTGCATACTACACCTGTTTTTAACAGTGAACTTAATCATTTTTTTACCGTCTTTTATCTTCAACTATCATAGTTTAAAAATATAACGTATATAAAAGTAAAAATTAACCATATGCCTTTTCAATGAAATTAGAAAATCGGATTTGAGCCCGTCAAAGTGGTACTTAAAAATGGTACTCAAGAGTTGAACTCAAAAAAAATACTACCTACTTAAGGGTTGAGAGATCTCTTCTGCTCGAAGAGGGAAAGAGTTCCTAGAACTTTCTGAACACCCAATGTATGAAAGCGCAGTTGTGCTCCCTGCCAAAATTTATTCTCTTTCCCTTGTCCAGAGGAAGAAAGAAAAAAAAAAAAAAAAAAGAAGAAGAAGAAGAAGAAGAAGAAGAAGAAGAAGAAGAAGAAGAAAAGGAACAGCAGACGCCAGATTCGAAGGCGTGGAATGCCAAGTAGTACTCGAGAGAGCACGAAACCGAACGAGCACGCGTGTTCAGCAGCTCGGTCTGACGCACGAGAAGCGACCGTGAACAGAAACCAGACACGCGTGTAACGTTAAACCGGGCCATCGATGGAAAAAGACATAAAAAAGGAAGAAAGAAAGAAAAAAAGAAAAAATCGAACGATGCGACTTACAACGCGATGGAGTTTTTTAATCACAGATAAAATCGTCGAGTTACGGATCCACCTAATCCGATCCTAATCTATTCCGCTCGAAAAAATTCAGATTAATCAACCGGGAGGAAATTTCATTCGCTACCCAAAGTGGAAATGATCAATTGGAAAAGTGCGTTCACACCAAGTTCGCGACGGCCGCGGCGTGCGGAGATGCCTTATCACGGACCATTTAAGTAATGAGCCGGCACTTAGCAGCGCCGCTTGTCTTTCATTCTCCGCATCTCCTATCTCTTCAAAGATGCTTACTTTTTTCCTTTGGTTCCTAGCGAAACGCCCAGTCGTCTAGTGACAATGACCGGACCAGGCCTACCATTAAGCTCGGTGCTTTCTTTCCAAGCACGTCTAGCACACCTGAGAGCTCTTTTCCCCAGCTAACAATGCCACTTTGCAGACTGGAGTTACTTTCAGCTGGACCATCTTCGTCTTTGGGCCTAGACGTCTTATGATCTAGCTTCTAACTCATTTCTTTTTTCTTTTTTTTCTTTTTCTGACGCGAAATTGGGAAATTTCATTTAACCGAGGGTATTCACAGCTGTACATACATACATACATACAAGAATAATTTCAACCTCTTTGTTTGCGAACAATAGGTCGACGCGTGTTGATAGCCGACTGTATCGATCACACGGCGACATTTTTAACGCGTCGTTATCACGGCGCCTCTAGGTTTGAAAACTGTGTCTACAAAACGCTCGTGTACCCAACAGATACGGTGGACGATTAAAATTGCAGCCTCACCGTCGCGATTCTTTCTCTACGATCGCGATGGTTATTCTCCTCTAGCTCCCGGCTTTCTAGACAATCCGACATTCTGATGCTAGATCTTTGAATCGCTGAAACTCTACTGAACGGTTGTAATATTTTAGATGAACAAACTCGTGAAATTATTGATTCTATTTATTATTATTTTGTCTTTTAAAATCAATGTCAACAATGAAAATTTTATAAAATAATAAAATGGTTACGCCAATGAGGAATACTTTAGAACGAAATTTTTCCAAGTCTTTGGGAGATATTCGTGAAGAGTGAAGAGGAATTCAAGGAGGGTGCGGTTTCAAGGGGTCCAGTATCACTATGCAACGATTTTTTTCCTCGAAACCATTGAATTCTTTAGATAGACGAAGAAAATGAAAATCGTGTAGCAAGCTATTGGAAAACTGTAACCTTCGATGTAAAAAAGAGATAAACGGGGACCCTAAAGACACCATGAAAATCTCCATGGACCGAAATGAAACCTTCAAGAATGTTAAGTATGATGGAATTTAAAAAAAATTTTTTTCATTAGTAAATCGCTAATGTTGCAACAGAGATAAGTTTCTTATTGTTCCGAAGATACTTTTGAATAAATTGAACTTGAATTGACATATTTCCGAGCGGAGTCCATATTTCCATACGGATTCAAGATCGTATTCTATGCTAATTTTATTATCTGAAATCATAGTGTACGAGTTTAATGTTCGAAAGACACCTTCACTTTCTTCCTTTCTCTGTTATTTGCTTTTGAAATGGGTTACCAGCCTCTTTATACATTCAAATTGTAATTGCTCTGCATCGCATTTCGAAATATTCACCAGTGACTTGGTTAGAATTTCGAGACGAATTCCATCGAGAAAACCGCGTTCTGGATATCTATTATACTAACGCTAAGATATAGAAAAAGAAGGAGGGTGGAAGTTTCTCAGGCGAATTGAACAATGACAAAGAGAAAGAAAATTGAAGTGCCGGAGAAAAATGAAAGCAAACATCGTAATCTGCATACATAATGCAGATCCTCGTAATTACCGTCCTCGGATGGTTACTTTGTTCACGAAGGGACACGAAAAAGCGATCACGAACCGATAAGGAAACGAAAAGACGAGCCTTCTCTTTAAGACGAGTCACGAAACGTGCGTATTGTGTTATGATGGCGTGCTACATTGGTAAAAACGGGACACGCGGCGATGTGTGTACCTACACAGGACGTGAATTTTTCCGTTTCGTCTTCTCGCCGCGTGAGAAGAAACACTAGACAGACAACGTTCGCTGATATATCGCACGGGGATACAGGACACCGGTGTGTTTCGAGGCATACGGATAGGGCACGCATGGATGACTGGGAACTTATTCCGGCACAAGGATAATCTTGATTGAGGACGTCGGCAACGATGTGAGATTACATATATAAATTAATGGTAATCGCTCTCTCGAATATCCTTTTCCCTTTTTACGGGTATCCAAGTGAAAAACGTTGCTGCCACCTTACGCGATTCTTCTACTTACATACATACATACATACGTTCTTCACTTTTTCATTTTTCTTTTCATTTCAAACTGAAACGAGTCGAGTGGAGATCCGCTTGCGAGATCCGCTGCGCACACAGGTACGCGCAGGCGGGTTTCTTTTAAATGCAACGCGGAACGCGCAAGCGCACTCCGATGAAATGACTTCGATAAAAAAGCTAACGACCCGGTTAAGAGATTTTGTAACGACGCGACGCACGGGGATCGAGAGGTCGCGGTCAACATTATCGTGCGACGCTTCTCTTATTGCGCTAATTAATTACGGATCTTAGTTGCCGGCGGTTCCATTAGAACTGAAAAATAATTGAACTGGATTCCAGCGTGTCAAACTTGAGTCGACGAACCCGATACCAGTCCCCCCCTTGGTCCAAAGACGGACGGACCAAACCAAGTGTCGAAAAGATTCAATAAATATTGATATACATATAATATATAATATCTACGACACCCATAGATGACTAATGTCATCCGGCCGACCACCACTGGAGGGTTAAAAAAAAAAAAAAAAAAAAAAAAAATGAAAATTAAGTAGCTACTCACCAGTGTCCCTGGTACGAAGTCTTGACGAGCTTCACGGTGAAGAGGAACTGTATAGCGCAGACGAGGAGACAGCACAAGTTGAGAGATAGAGCTAGGGCGCACAGCGCCAAAGTCACCTCGTATACGATCGTGTACTCTTCCGGGCTGATCAGACTACTCGGCGTGACCGTTAACGGGGAGATCTTTAGCAGAAAGATCAACGAGAGTAACGCCAGTAAGAGGGACACTAGACACAGCAAACCAAGGCTAGTGAGGGTCTCTTTCGCACCAGCCTCGTGGTCCTTGTGATTTCTGGACAAGGACGAGGACCAAGAGGCGTTCAAGGGTAACGCGATGGAACCACCTCCTCCGGTCAACTGTCCACCCAGGACTGTGGCTTGAAGAACAGGAGCTGGCGAGGGTGTCGTTTGGCTGGGTAGCCTGGACAGTCTAGAGATATCGAAGCCACCGTTCACCTTGGGTCTGTTGTCCTGGTGCACCGGTGCAGCAGGCACTACCGTATGTCCTAAAGCGTTCGACAAGTGGTTGTTGTTGTTATTGTTGTTGTTGTTGTTGTTGTTGTTGTTTCCACCAGCCACAGGACTGACGCTGTTCACCGAGTGTTTCGACGTGGACAACGTGGACAGGTTGAGAGCGTGCGAATGGTTCAACCGTTGGGAGAGATTGTTTACGCTCAGCTGAGAATGATTGAGGGGATGCCTGTGCGTCGACGAGGGTGTCGTCGCGGCCTGATGGACGTTAGCCCTCTGTTGCGACGACGGATGAACCACCGAGTCGTATACATCGACGCCGCGTCCACCGTTCCCCGATGGGCGCACGTTGCTGCTTTGGTTGTAGTGATGATGCTGGTGCTGCTGGTCCTGTTGATGATGGTGGTGATGGTGGTGTCCGCCGTGCAACGAGCCCGAGCTCGCCTGATATTCATTGTGGTGATGCCTGGAGCCCGCTGACGACGGTTGCCCCGTCAGGATATGCTTCAGCATTACTCGACGATGGGTTGCCGGGAGGAAGACTGGGCTTCTTCCTTCTCCTCTACATGGCCTCCTTCTTTCCTTTCCTCACTAAAATTGCTAGCTCACAATGATTTGTCATCAGCTGGTCCACCTGATTTCGAGGAACGTCTTAGCGGTAGGATCACGTTCCTGGGCTTAGGGAGTTGCTGCACGCCAGCTCCACCATGGCGACGCCGCTCGTCCGGTAGCCTACATAGCCACCACCTCCTCTTTCTACTTACACTGGCTGCGAGGTTTTTAACTGTAATTCTCTTCGAGGCAGCTTGAACATAATAAACATCATCGACCCAGGCATGATTAAACTGGATTCTGATCATAGATAGGCAACTGCATCGAAAAGTACCATATCTTCTTCCCAACAGGTCTACAACTTCCGTCCCGTTGAATAGCACCTTGTGCTTAGCAAAAACACGACGACCACTCTCATCAGAGTGATCGGGTAGGAAGTGGCATATCGGTACGCGGATAATTACCAGCCAGTGTCTAGATGCTTCCTTCAAGTTTCTATAGCACCGTTTGCTTTCAAATTCCAGAGGAAATACCATGGGGTAGCAACAAGATCAACAATTGAATCTCCTTTTTTGTCAATGCTTTTTGTCAAAGCATTGGGACCCATTCGCTGCAATTCGCTGCAATTCGCTTCAGCAGGTGGTCACTGCTGAATTAAACAGGACCTGTTCACCGGTCACGTTGCTCGAGGAAAATCGCGAGAAAAGAAGAAGCGCAGGAAACATTCTGATTAGATCCGGTTCGCTCGATGACCTTGCCAATGAGAATAGCGGTTCGTTAAGGCGGTTGCAGCCTTGGTCTGCTTCTCTGTCGATTTCCAGCTAACTCGTCAGCCGGCATGGCTTCCGAGATGCTCCCTCTGGAACAGGTCGAAGGAAATAATTAATGGACACCGTCGTCGTGTGCTCGCGTCGATTCATCTAGCGGCTAGAGGCTGAATCGTAAAAAAGAACGATAAACGCCCGAGGTATCTATCTATTCCTTCCCTCCCGGTTCACTGGTGACTGAGGATTCTTCTTAAGGAGACTTCTTGTCCCCGTCTATCCGGTGAATTAGAATCGATAGACTACTACCGGTTAAAGCCGAGCCGAGAAGAATAGATTCTACATATACACATATACAGTGTGTGCCGATTTAAACGGAAACGATACTTTTATTTATACATATATGTATACTCTACGAATTCCAACAGCTTAAGGTTTAAAAGGTTACGGCTAAGGAAATTACACGGTTAGATAGCCGACGATAGATAGAGTTACGGCAAAGTTACTCGTTCGAATTACGTGTAGTATCACCGGAATACAGTGACTCGTTTGCAGGTTAACTTCCTCGAGTAGTCTTCAACTGCTATATTTTCCGGTCGTTACCTTCTACATACATAATGGGATATTAAACAGCACCGACACAACGTTGCAATTTTTTCAACCATTTATTATGAAATTATCCAGCGAAGATTATTTACCTACACGGGGAAATCGTATCGTATTTCTTTCTGTCCCTATATGGGTCAGTCACAGCAGTGAGCAATATTGATTTAGCAATAACTGAGTTTTCTGCGCGATACCGTTTCATCGATACAAAGTCCCTCACTTATATATATATGTGTTTTTCATATTTTTATATTAAAAATGTCTTGAGAATTTGCAAATAACACGGAAATTTTTCCTATTTTCCTATTTTCCTATTTTCCTATTTTCCTATTTTCCTATATTCCAATTGTTCCAAATACGTACATAATCCGTCTCGGAGCTGTTCGCTGCGATACCGTTACGCTTGCTCGCTTCGAAGCTCGCAACGCTCGAGTTGAGACGCGTCTCGGTCGCACAAGTCGGAAGATCGACGTTATTTTCTCCTCTAAGATCGATCAATGGGAAGGCTGCACGGAAGACAGGCAAATACGAATGAAATATTAATGTTCGACCTACAACGGTATCCTATGTCTTCGAAGCTACTGTTCCTCGTTTTTAAACAGACACCACCTTAATAAATATCAATGAAATTGCACATCTAAAGTTTTCCAATTTACATTATTTTACAGGTTGTAAAATAATAATTTTCTGTGATAACATTGTAAATAGTGGACGTTGGTTCGTTAACGCGATTCTCCGTTAAGCAGAGGCATGCCATCTGATCGAGGCCAATGTTGGTTTTGAATTTTCACGGGGTAACTTGATCGAGATCCCTCCGCTTCTCCTCTGGACGATGTTCCAGATCACGTGGCAGGATCCTGAACCGCAGGATCGTCGAGGCAAGCAGAAGGAAGAGGAGAAAAGAAAATCTACAACGAGGAGAGGCTGTTGTCAATAGCCAGACTTGACTCATAGAAACGGGTTCCGCTCGCATTCCGGACATCCACGGTGCAGCCTGCTGGTCACGACGCCTTCGTTCAAGCTCACCATATTTATTCTATTTATTTATATAGGTATACATATGCATATGCATACGACGCAATGGACGTACGCTTTCAGCTGCTTCTTTCATTCGATAGGCGTATGGAGAACACCTGTGCGCAGCAACTGGCGCGGATTTACAGACGGATACAAGCTGACGAGGTCAAGATAAAGGGATTCAACAAGGGTCGCTTTCGATTAACCCCGCTTTCGGGTTAAGTAATGGTAAAGTAATTTCGGGAACACGCACGTCGAAGATGATTCGAACGTTTGCTAATTCGTTCGAAAGCAGGAAGAGAAAAGGAGAGAAACGGCACACCGCACCGGCTCGTATAATTCGAAGAACTAGACTTCCAATCGTCCCTGTTCACTTACTTCCCTACATTCTTTCGATTTACATTAAAACGATTTTAGGGGAAAAGTGTATCCTAATGGAATAATTTCCAATAACCATTGAAATTAATTTATCATTAACACGATGTTGGTAGATTCGGCTCGGTTCGGCTCGGTTCGGCTCGGTTCGTTGAAAAGTTCACCAGTGAACAATGCATCGTATTCAGGCGAGTGTGCACGCCGCGTGATTTATGCCGGTTCCTGGCCACACATCCACCGCTTGGAATTAAATTACTTTCACGTGGGGTGTGGGAGGATGGGGCATCTGCCTTTGTGAAATCGATGCGATCTTTTAACAGGCGTAATCTTATTATTAACAATATGTACCGGACGTCCGTTTCATTAAGCCACCAGTTGGACAATGCCGAGAGGTCTGATGACCCTATTCGTTCTGATCTTGAGAGCAACAATTAAGAATAATTAATTAATGGTAGGAGGTAATTGAACGAGACGTTCCCAATCATCTTCCCAAAATTATAACACGGAAATATTCTTTCGGCCAAATAGGTAATTAACCTTTTCCGTAAAGCGATTCTTCTACTCACCCAATTATAAAATAATGAACCTGTAGTAATCTTGCCAACTGTCGAAAGGGATTTGACTTGGAAAATAATAACACAACTTTCTTTTTCCTCTCCTCTATGATGTGTAGTACCCGCATGGGAGAAGATAAGGTGAATTTGTAAAATTGGATGAGACTCGCTCGGATAGGACTTCACCCGTCATCGGAGAAACCCTTCACCCACAATAATCTCGTAATAATTTTACCGACCGTCTGTGTATCGAGAAAAGCTGCTCTAGTGTAATTCGAGCTGCTTTTTCTTCATTTCTTTTTACCATCCCGTCGGGACAGAAAAATATAAACTGTATTAGTGTAAGGGTGTTTGTATATGTAGAAAAAAATAAACGGTAAGAAAGATACAAGGAACAAGTCGTTACGAAACAACTAGATAGTGAAATTTTTTATCTCGAATGTCTTAAATAGCTTATGCTGTTCAAATCGTTTCGTTTCGTTTCGTTTCGCCCGAGGGAAGTAGTAGACGTTTCAAAGATGGTAATAACACGTTTCGTTTCAAGGTCGTGGCACTATGGTATCCCGAAGTGTATGGTGAGTTGAAAAAAGTCTTTGGTAACGTGGGGAATTCACTGTTTGTAAGATGAGATTCGATCCGAGCATAGGATACTCCGATTCCGTAATAGCTACGAATTTTGGCCAAATTCGTTAAAAACAGAGCCGGCAACGCGTTTCGACATCGGAACGAAGAAAGAAAATCAAGATATCAAGGAAGTGAAACGAGTTAAAGGAAGACAAATCCCTTTTGTACATATGTAGAACCCTGAGAACGTCCTGAGAACGTCCTGAGAACGATTCGTTTGAATCGTCATTTCGTGGATGATTTATCATTCGATCAGCACCTGCCTCTCGATTAAGAAACGATATCATACATATAGCGATACCGCAGTGGATTACCATAATATCGTAAACTCGCAACCGTTCGGTCTTTTGATCGGAAATATCTAATCATCATCATCATCTTCGTAAGATTCACTTGATAACGGTACCGATAACATTCCAATACGTCTATCTATCCTGTCACCATATGACTCTCAATAAGATGCTCGAGACTTTCACGGCCAGGATTTACTACCACTCCATGCTTCCGGGTGTTTCGCTCTGTCGTTTACGAATAGCGCCCTGACGTTTCGTTAACTTTGCAGATTCTTCGGAAGAAAAGGAATAGGACACCTGAAGGTATCCACCAACGACGCTAGATCAACGGGAAGGTCAATGATTTTCCGAGCAGACCGATGAACTTGCGCCTCGCTCGCACCATCGTGCACCAACAGAACAACCATCGTGAGAGAGGAAGAAAGAGAAAGAATGAGAAAAAGAAAGAGAAGAGGCAAGGTCGTTGCCTAGATAACAGTTGCAAGGTACAGTTGGCTCGCATGCTTGAAACTATGCGACCAGAAGACACGATCACAGAAGAAGGGAAAGGGTCCTGAGAGAGTTCCTGCACGATATACATATGTAGATATGTATAATAAGTTAAGCCCGATCCGGTCATGGTCCGGTATTGGTTCAATTCAACCGGCCACGTGCGGATCACTTTTACAAAAAAAAAAAAAAAAAAAAAAGAGCTTCGAGAAAAGTTGCTCTCTAACTAAGTAAGTAAGAAGGATGCTGAAGGGAAAAACACGGTTGATAACTCGTCCATGGGTTGTACCGTTGGGTAACAGGATATTACGTGTTAATCCGCCCACGCGAGTGTCGTCCGCGCGGATAACCATGTCCCTGGTATGTACGATGGAAAGGACGATGATGGACACACCGTTTACCTTAAAAGGTTTCGACAATTACGTCGATATGGAAATTTGTTAAAATATACATATAATAGTTCTAATACTGACAATGAATAAAACGAAATCATCGTATTGGAAAACAAACGCAGGAGAAAGAGGAAGAGGAAAAGGAAAAGCCGTGTGCGAAACGGCGCGAGCGCGGGCGAAGGGTATCATTTATTATGGCTCGGGTATAACTGCCTTCGCGAACGAGTATAATGAGCGTAAACGTTGGCAAAAACACAGGAAGAAAAGGATTATTGATGCAAGTAACCACATTGTTGGAATGACTGTGCGAATTCGTCGGAGATATACGCTCCGAGCGATTCCGCGACATGCTTTGACGCTCTGTAAGAAGCAGCAGGTAGCGACGAGGGATATCCTCTCTTATACGCATTGGTAGCCGGTTTCAATGTAATTTTGCGGACTAGCCGGCATTGAAAGAAGCATTACGTATGACTGCTGCGATTGCTCGTCCGTTATAACAGTATATGTACACGGATCCCGCGTCTTAAACGGCCAGTTAATAGCAGAGACGAGACAACGAATATTTCATTCAAATCTCCGTTCACACTCTCCTCTTCACATTCTAAAGGGTGTTAATCATTTCGTTGTGTATGATATAATACACTAGAGATCCTCTAAAGAGATACATAATAGGAATGGACATATATGTAGGTACATATGTATAATTGCTAAACCGTTTAATTTTAGATCCTTAATAACATGGGGTTCCTTCCTTTAGCTACCGACTACGTATCGTTGAAAACGATGATGATTGAAAATTGAAATTTCACCGAAATACCGTGAAAAGGAAAGATAAGAAGTCGAAAATTTCAGTCGGTAAAACGAAGAGAATCAGATAGAGATCGCCGTATTACATTATCGGCGTGATATCTCTGCTTATTTTCTTTGGTCTGGCTCCATGCTCGGGAAGGACGAGCAGGCCAGAGTGATGTAAGAGAGATGTACTTCTTCCTTCCCTGTTGCCGCTCCTTTTCATCCTTTTCCATCTTATTAAACGAGCTAATCCTCATCCTCCTTATTCCTTCTTTCTCTTTCATTCACGTGTATGTATGTATGTATGTATGTATGTATGTATGTAGGTATACTCCGTTCGAAAGAAGCACCGATATCCAGCCAGCTCTGGCCCGGTTGAATTTAACGTGGCAGGTGCCTGCTGAATGGACATTCGGGCTCCGGTTCTTCGTTTAACCTCTCTCTATCTTCTCTCCTTACTCTTCGTTTTTCTTCGTCTTTTTCTTCCTTCTCTATCTGCCTGTCTATGCCAGCGTTTCCCAACGGTGTATTCCCAACTTCAAAACATTTCGGTATATGTAACTTTTTGCTAAACAAATGCATTTTCATTGTTGGAGAACGACGCTAACCAGTTTCGATCGCGTTTTCAATGGTAAATGACTATTTTTTAAGAACGAGAATATAAATATACGCCCTTCGTAGCGAAAGGGTTAAAGAAGAATAGCGGCGGGACCGGTGTATGTACATAACTGGCGGACGCCGCGCCGCGCCGGTTTCGCAACTCACTCGTCGCCGGCCGCTTCAAAAGGCAACAACTGTCCAGCGTCGTGCTCCTGATCATTTACAGAGAGAGCCATAGTTCTTTTTCTACCGAGTGAGTGGCCTTCCATCCTTACGATTCCGCAGAAGAAGTCAACATTGTGCTCCAACCGACCGACTACATACACTGTCAGATATGTACTTCTCTCGAACGCCGTAGTATCAGGGAATTTCATACGCGACGAATCAAAGATGGGAAAGTGAAACGACTCGATCCATGGTAGAACAAAAGTGGGTAAAAAGAGAAAAGGGAAAAGGGAAAAGGGAAAAGGAAAATTACAAAATTGCCGTGGAACGACCGCACAAGTCGACGACACGCCGCGCGAGTATCGCTTGACTCTGTAACCCGGCGCGGCGTTTTGATGGCATTTGCGCCCCTTAATGCGATCACTTTTCATTCTGCTACCGTTTCTCTTTCTCTCGCTCGCTTTCCTCCCTTTTTTTTCTCACTTTAATTAACAAATTCGTCATCGTTCACGGGATAACGTAACCTGGAAGGATTCAAGGTCGGGCCAGTTGTCCGATGCAAGGCCAGATTCCTGCTTCCTCGATTTTTCAATGCTTTTATTGTGGAAACACGAGATGCGCGCGCTAACCTCATAAACCCGAAACCATAATACTAGGTAGAAGGGAGTAAACTGCGCGACAAAGACACGCAGCGCAGTGGCCTGGCTTTTCGCCGTTTTCACTTGTACATACATATTTCCTAACTGAAAGTCTCTTCTGTCGCGGTATGCCGTTCTTCGTAACGACGAGACGTAAACCCGTCGGTGTGCTTTGGCCTCTTAATAGTCCGACCTTGAGCCAGAACTAAGGAGTGCCTTTGCTACAGCATAACCTTCGTATATGTATACCTTCATCGGCAGGGCTCAACCTACGACTGACAGAATCGATTTTTTCTTTCTTCCGTTCTACGTTAATTGAATCGAGAAATTAATTCTCTCGCTTTCGTTTTTCGAGCGATTCTCAAAACTTTCAGATTACACGACTGATTACAAGACATATATGTATCTATGTAATCGTAAGAATGTTACAATCCCTAAAACGGATTATCGTAATTGCCTGACAACTGCACATATGTATCTCCGGTGTCACCTTCAATCAGGATCCGGTGTGTTTACAAACAAGAAATATAACAGCATGCGTCGTAATCGTAAAACGAGATTGCGTTCAATTCTTCGAACGGGTTGCCGATTGACGGCCGGTTACGAAACGAAAGATGAATCGCGTTCCAACGGAAACGGAAGAAAGACGTGTACTTACTATGTACTACGATCTAACGTTAGAACGTCCGAAAGACAAATTAATCTTCGCTGCGCGATTCAACGTGAACAGCGTGAGATGGAATGCGTTCGAGGGAGTAACGGGTACAAAATATCCTGCGTACATACACGAATCGCGAGACCACCTCTCCTTACTCCTCGTTCAGGGACGACGTAAGTCTTCGAAAACCACCGATCATCGGGGGGACCATCAATCGCCATTTTTCTGACATCTTTTCTTCACTTGCCGATGTCTTTGCTTCGACCGGATAGATCGGCTTAATTACGCGCGAAAATAGCATATTCAGAGATCTAAATCACGATTGATCCAGCTACCGCCATATATTTAGACAAAATTATACGTTAAATGAATAATTAGGTCATTCGAGCAAAGTTTCACATAGATATGAAATACAAAACAAAGAGGATAAAGTTATGGCAATGACGTAACAAGCAGGCTAATCTCGTACGTGACCCCATTATTATGCCAACTGTGAACCATTTGGCTGGAATAACATCTGCCAGTCAGTCACATAACTGGAATTCTTTGACCCTTTTCAACTGGAATCCTTTTATCTTGATTATTCTTTCAATCAATTATGTATTCTTTCACGCATACCAACCAAAGATATATATGTATAAACTTTTCATTCATCGACTCTAACCATAATCTGAACAATTACTTTCTAATTAAAACATAAATAATTACTACTGTCTAAATATTATCGTAATTTTAAGATACATACCGCATCACATGTACTACACTTCCATTATATCGCTGTTGGAAACGACAATGTATCGTTCAAACGTATACTATCTTTCAAACTTTTTCACCAAACAGTTGGCGCGTAACGTATTTATCGATCGTATCTCCACGAATGAAATCGTTACGTTACCTTTCAAATAAAACTTGTCTAAAAGCTAGGCACTACAGATATTAAACTGCACAAGTGAATAATAAACGCACTGACATTTAGGTTATAAATTCGATAAACAGGAATGTTAACTATCGATATGTTCACGTGATCACGTGATCTCTATAACGATTACTCGTTTGAAAAACCTGTATCGTCGAAAAACATTACAAGAGTAATAAAATAGTTTCTTCGTTTCAATTCACTCTCATGTCACACGGATAATTATAATTATATCATTACAGCTAACTCTCCTAAAACGAAATGTCGTTGCAGTAGCTACACCATGACTACCAAACATCTTTCTCGAACAATCCAATAACTGCTCAAATTATTTTATTCAGAAATCATTACGTCAAATTTTCTAGCAAGATGGAGAGTTAGAGTAAGTCGCAAAACGTAAGAGATATAAAAGGGTCCACTCAGATCCGTCCCTGGTCTCGGCGAAACCGGGCGGGCTGCTAACTCACCTCGTGCCACATTCCGCTGGCTCTGCCAACGTTTTCGAAGACGAGAATGCACCGAACAGGCCCGAGCACCACCTTTTGCACTGAACAACACACCTGCACCACCCGGCACTTGCTCTTTTCGAAAATTCAAATGCACACGTGAGAGTTCAGCGGGCTCGCGTACACGCAACGCGATTCGTCCGCCCCGTTCGCGCAGACTCCAACGAGTTTCTCACACACAAGAAACGTCAATCGACGACTCTCGTTCTCGATAAGCAATTGCTAGGAAGCCGCCGGTTATATGCTTCAGCAACGAACAGACGCACACGACCTACACCGTGCAAACGATCAACACAGACTAAACCGTCGCGCCAACCGACTGATCGTAGTACCCTGCCTGCAGTTCGTTGATGGTAAAGGGGAAGGGGAACCGTACATCATCCGTTTAGTTTCCTTCTGAATCAAAATCAACATTCATTTTTATCGTAGATTATTAAGAATTAATACATTATTCTACTATCTACTTACTTGCATAATTATTTCCTGACCATGAAACCGATATCGTTAGTGTCATCTGGCGATATGCGCTGCAGCCGGAAAAACACAAAACCGTAATTACAAATACAAAAAAGACTGGACATGCCTTTGTTCTCGAGGAGTCTTAGCAAAAGATTGGAAAATTATTGAAATAATTCTTTGACAAATTTCGCTTTTAAACGAAGAAACACTAACGCTGTCTATCAGGAAACGGTGAAAACTAATTGTCAACTTATCGATCGACCCTCCGATAATCGATAAATTCTTGAGTAGTTCAGCATGTCCAACTTCGATCTGTAATCACTGCATAAAAATAAACGTTTTCCTCATATTCAAATTTATCATGAGTAAGGATCATAAAAGATCTAATAATTCAATTTAAAATGTATATTTTACATAAGTTCCAGTCTATATTTATTTCTAAATTTTTTTTTTTTTTCTATATTCGCATACCATCCATTCACGTGTGTAGCTAAATTGAATAATACCTTACAGATACCTTACAAATACTTCGTACTTAAAAATTCATCAATATGAATCAAACAATTTTATTTCGTAATATAATCGCTTGTACAGAATGCCTTGTTTAATAAAGTATACTGAATACACATAAAACTTTATTATAATGCGCATGGGTATTTATGTAATCGTACATCAATCAAAAGTATTAAAATTATAACTGTTTTTTTTCTTTTCTTTCCAATTAAGATAATTTACAACATTTACCTTTTTTTGTTTCAATATATCTTATTACCTAACCGACGATTACATTTCCAGTTTAACACATTTACATGTGATATTTCGTTAAATCGATCTTTTCGCGCGTTTCTCTATAAACAACCTACACCATAAAATTCTCGATCATCACGCTACAAATCTCTAAATTTGTATTTTAAGACATATAGTGCATAGTATTATTTTTATACGCGTACGATAAAAAACAGGAAGGGAAATGAAATAAATGAAAACAATATGCGTCGGCATAAAGGGGGAAAAAAAAAAGAGAAAAATTCACTTCTCATCGCCGTACATACAAAACTTACATGGAAAACACTAATGGATCACCGAACACTTTTTTTTCATCAATCAGAAAGAACAACTGAATTATGATTTCTCTTTGTTAGTTGAAAACCTTCAGTTTGTATCTTGACAAACTCGTTTATTTCTATACACCAAATGTTACTTAATTAATTGATAATTACCCCATACCCATTTCTGCTGTAAACATATCAACGTTTCATGCAATACATTTACTAGTATCATTACGTATATGTAAGCAAAAAATGACCTTCCATGAAATTTACAATCAACTGACCAAGCCAGAAGCATGTTTATTAACGGTAATCTATTTTCCATGCAGGTTCCACTGTTTCTAAGAAACACCATAAATGTACAATAACAAAGAAGAAGGATATGCCCTTCGCATTATGATCTAATGTAACTCTCTTTGAATATGTGATAAACAAATTTACACCGACGAAATACATTAACAGAGCTATCTAGTACTTAGAGCACATCGAGAAATACAGAATACAGAATTAAACTAGAAATTTCAATAGTGGACAATACGTGAACAAGTTATAAACATTTAGATATCAGTACTTGTGTTATCGAATAAGATAAAGTACCAAACCAAAATAAAAATGCATATTAAACGAATTAGTAGCGTGTATTCTGTCAAGAGTTGGGGTAGAAGTTTATAATTTGCTGACAGTCAGTTACCTCAGATATCTCTCACCACGCCTGTTGTAAGAGGTAAATAAGGAAATAATTAGAAATAGTAATGGAATAACAGTATTGCATATTGGTGGTTAGCTCATAGACACTTGTCCGTTAGATAGTAGCCGTTCAATAGCAGCATTTATATCTCCAAATGTAGCAATTAAAGCTGAAAATATCAATGCATATATTATTTATATTCTATATTATACTATCACCATTCTAAATTTTCCACGTGTTAACGTCGATATTTAATATACGGATGCAATTACCTTGTAAATTAGCGTCTCTGTTAACAAAACCCATTGCTGTAAGCTGTTCTAACTGTACTCTGTAACGTTCTTCGGGTGGAAGGGCAGCAGATTGACCATCTACACCTTGATTTAATGCCATTGCCGATACCTGACAAAAATGAATTTAATAATTCTTTCATTATTCATTATTTATAAACTAAACGACCTTCTTACCATGCGTGCCATAAATTGAGAAAACGCATCCTGCTGGTTCGTGTCGGTTGACTGTGTAGTTGGTGTACTTGTATTTGTTGCGCTTGCATTTGGTGGAGTTGTTGTCGTTGTTGCAGCTGGCATAGACAGTCCCATACTAAAAATTTTACATTAATAAAGGCAATTCTATAAAAATATTCCAAAAGTATAATATAAAACGTAAGATACAAAATAACTATACATATCTTTATAGCAACTTACTTTTCAACAAATTCGGGGGCAATAGTACGTAATTGTTCTATACCCTGTTGGACCTGCATAATAGCAGCTAAAGCATCAGGATTAGTGACAACATTCTGGATTTGAGGATTCTGCATTTGTTGAATAAATGCAGGCATCATTGTTCGCAACTGCTCTTGCATTTGTGGATTTGCCCGAAAGAATGGATTGGTAGAAATCATTCTACTAGCCATATTTGGATCTGCAGCCATGGCTTCTAACATGGACCTTGTGTATGGAGCGTTTAACATGTTTCTCATCAGCTGAGGGTTTTCCATCATTTGAGCTGCAAGACTTTGCATTCCTGGTGAATCCAATAGACCTCTTCCTTGTGGTTGAGCGGTAGAATCACTCTGATTTTGAGCCCAAGGATTTGGCAATGGATCTCTGTTTTCTTGGCCCTGTTGTGGATTAGCCTGACCATCTTGATTATTGCTATTATCTACTAATGCTGCAAAAGGATTGCGTTCGTTGGCTGCTGCTGCAAACATCGGTTCTTGAATGTCGCGATACATGCGACGAAGTGCACTATGACCACCAGGAATGCTTTCTAAATTAGATAAGGCTCTGTCATGGGAACGCATTAATTCTTGAAGCATCGCTGGATTACGTGCCAATTCCATTGTTTGTCTAAAAAATTATATATATTTATATTTATATTTATATTTATATATATAATTTGCATTGTATATTGTAAAACGTATCTCTTTTAAATTTCACTTGTACCTTAATAACTCAGGATTGTTCAACATATGACTAATTTCTGGATTACGTTGCATCAATTCTTGCATTTGAGGATTAGCAGTAACCAAATTACGCATATTTTCTGGATCATTCATCAAACTTTGTACTAATGGATTATCAAGTACTTGACGCATTGTTTCTGGATTTGAAAGTAATTCACGTTGCATACGTTGGTGCATATCTATAAAGTTAGCAGATCCTAACCCAAGATTTTCCAAACCTGGTAGTCCTCCCAGACTTCCTAATCCAAAAGGACTTGCACTTATATCGGCTAAACGATAGTAAAAGATAATAAAATAGTAAAAGAATTGAAATTATGCATCAAATAGCATATTTTTATACCTTGTAATCTTTGAGATAGAGATGAATCTTGACTTTGATTAGACGGAGTACGTGGTGCTTTAATAACCAGGTGTACCGTCAAACCATCCTTGACATTATGTGTACTCAAAGTTTCATGATCTTTCATAATCTTTCCAGCAAAGATGAGGCATAACTGCTCCGTTTGGGCGTTAAACTTTTTAGAAACTGCCTCTTTAAACTACAAATTAAAGAAAAAAACAATTATTAGACTTAACCCAACAATGACAAGTATTTTATTCTTGTTATGTTTCTTATCTTTTATGAAAATTACGAGTATATGATGAAAAAACTTACGTCTTTAATACTTGCATCTTCTTCAATTTCGACGCTTTGTTTTTCTTTTGACGTTTGAACATTAACAGTAATTTTCTTTCGAGTATCCTCGCCTTCTGCCATCTTGAATCGGTAGATGACTCGTTACTTTCGACGCTTTCGATTCTCCCTCGTTGAGGGCCAATTGCGCACCACTCTTCTTGAATATTCTTAACACTTTTGGCACTGTAAGAATTTCGTTTACGAACTTGTTTCCGAAGAAACTACGCTGAATTTTGTTAACAAGCTACTCCAAAGAACTATAAAGATCACATAGAAGGGTCAACTGGAGCAACTATTCTATACTGAGTCATAATGCACAAAATGATGAAAAGTACATACACGGCATGTCAAACACCTGTGTATAGTTTGTTTGAACGTCGATAGTTTACTAGGTAATCTATAATAGAATATGCAAATGATGAAATAGCAATCTTATTCTAGAAATGTTTAGGATTATTTATAAAAAATTACAAATTGTTGCAGTAAGAGGTTATGTCGCGTTGCCACTACCCTAACTTTAAAACACTATCACACACGTATACATTGGTATTTACATACGTATATGTATATACACATCATACATTGAAATATGTATGTATCAGATATATGTATGTATGTACAACATACATATGTACATATACATATTTACTACATACATTATTAAAGTATGATGTGTCTTATGAAATAATAAAATCCAAAATGAATCATTAAATGTTAATACTAGGTTCATGAAATTAATATTTTTCTTCTGTTTTATCATTACAGTCTATACATAATGAAGACATTGTTCCCAAGTAATACTATAGGTGCTATAGGCCGGCACGTGGATGCATTTCTAGTAATTATATTATATGGATTACACGTCATATATTGCGAAAAATAGAAAAATCCCTAGATGCGAGTTCTCAAATTACGTCGTCATTTCTAAACAGAATGCAAAAAAATTTGAGAGATGTGTTCAGGAGGCTCTAAAGAATATTAGTCTGGTCCTTATATCATCCAAATCGTCAAAAACTTATAAAATATTGAAATTACTGTCTGTCAACGGTCAAGAAAATGGCGGATCGGACTCACCTGCATTGATTTATTCGTAATATAAACATTTCTGTGAATCGTATGTCCAAATAGGTACCAGACTAATATTCTTTGGGTCGGATAGAATAAAACGAGCACCCAAGGGATGATGTACAAGTCTCCAGGTAGAAGTAATTTGAAAACTACGATTTCGTTGATTGTTCACTCGCGAAAGACGTCAACAAGGTAAAACAGACCAGAAATTTAGTTTCTCGTTCATTCTGTAGGGCGCAGTTCGTTCGTTTGATTAATAAACAATTGTAAAATTAAAAATAATAATTAAATAATTTTGAATAGACTAATTAAACAAAATTTTGCAACATACCCACGCGGAAATATAAAGAAATAAACAATTTAAATAGATATAACAATAATTTGATTAATAAACAATTGTAAAATATAAAATAATAATTAAACAAATATTAACAAATATCAGATAGAAATAGTTAAATCTACGGAACCGGTGAAACGGAACGTCATGCTTGATTGCGCGCGCCGCGCGCCGGTACACGCGCGACCTGTGGAGAGGTCAAATCTAATCAGTCTTATCGCGACCGCCGAAGGATACGGATCGAGCTGTCAAACATATACCGGTACGGGTTGACACTATGGATATTCGTGCATGGATTTATCAGTGTGTTACCCCCATGTGTTATTGTGTGTGCCTATGGTGTTTCCTATAGTGTTCCCCGTGTTTTGGAATATTTATACGGATATATTAGTGCGACTTATGGTGTGGTCACCCATGTGTTCTGACATTTTTATACAAGTGCATTAGTGTGCTGTGTGGTGTGGTACCCCATGTACCTGCATGTGCTTTATAGAACGTATAACTATAGTAATTTTATAGTTCCTGAAAAAGGAACTTGTATGATTTTTGACTAATCACCTCCTTCTTTTCGAAGTCGGTTAAAAATAAAAAATAAAATAAAAAGAAAATCACAAAATATGGAATTTAGAAAGAACGAAGCTGTTTGATACGCAATGGTAGAAAGAAATCAACCCTGGCAAAGATATTTCAAGCAGAGACGTTGTACATTGGAAATTTTGCAATATACCCACGCGGAAATGTAAAGAAATAAACAATTTAAACAGATGTAACAATAATTTCATTAATAAACAATTGTAAAGTATAAAATAATAATTATCGAAATAGTTAAATGTAACTAGCCGCGGAACGTCATGCTTGATTGCGGGCGCCGGTACAAGAGCGACCTGGAGAGGGGTCAAACCTAAATCAGTCTTATTAGGGAAGGCAAAGAATCCTCAATTTCGAAATTCGGGAAAGTCTCAGGGTGGAAAAGAGGGGATTATACATAAAAATATGCATTTTGACTTGAATCATTAATGTGTACTTAAAAGAAACAATTTATTCTTTCTGTATTTATACAAATTCTGTACAATGGAAATATACAAGTATTAAAACTGTATTTAACAACTTTACATGTATCTTACTACTATGTATAAAATATTGCAGGCATACTACAATGTGTATGTATGTATATATATATGTATATATGTATATATATTACTGTTACATCAGAGAACAAAATTGTTTATTATGTACTTTAATTTTAACATTTCGTTAGTTATAATTAAAACAGTTATATGAATTTTGAGAGAGCTATGATTAATTTTAGTTATGCTCTTGCATCATTTATTGTAGATGGTACTCTTACTTCAATTCCATCTAAGCTTTTAGTCATTACTATTTGACAGCCCAGACGCGACCTGAAATTTATAATTTTATAATTGTTAATTATCAAAATATTTTTAAAACTATTGTATTTTGGAAAGAAATGATGAAGAAGATTTTGAAAACTATGAACTACTATTTAATAAATAGGCCAATACCAAAGGTAAAGAACAAAATAGACAAGATCATGAATGAAGAACTATTCAAATTCATTCGTCTTAATTTTACTTTCATAGAATTGAAAAGAGAAATTTAAATTCTATATAGGGACACAAGGTTGGAGATAGTGAATTTTAAGATGAAACTCTTCAGTGAGGAAACCACCAGATGTAAAAAATTGTCAACTTACGTATCTGTTAATTCATATGCTAAATCCAACATATCTAATTCTTCATCCGTTGGTTTGTCAGGAAGTGCATCATAAACTTCTTTAGGAAATATTAAATGGCATGTGCTACAAGTTAATGTTCCTTCGCAAGCACCTATATAAATTCCATTTAATTGTAGATAATCCTACTTAAAGAATATGGTTTAACAATATAACAGACATAACTTAAGAACAGTACAAACATTTAGATGCATATATTACATATTACAGAAGGTTACAGTAACTTTTTAACAATGATATTGATTCCATAGGAATAAAGAAACTATAAGTTCATTTGAAAAAACTGTATGTATAAACATACCAAAGCCATCCAAATCAATTTCATTGTTTACTACAATATCCAAAATAGTATCTCCAATCTTTCCTTTTGCTTTGATTTTTTCTCCATCAGCTTTCACAAATGTTATACTCACTCTGAAAATAAAATGAGAAATATTTTATATAGTTTTGTTTTTGTTATGCTTAAAATATTAGAAGAACTATTTTCTTCTTCCCTTTTTCAAGATAATATTAAATTTTGTTACATTTAATTTATTATTTCTCACAGTGTTATATTTATAAGTTTTCATTTTCAATGCTGGTTCTATATATTAATATTCTTGCAACAAGTCTTCTATAGAATGCAAACATATTTCAGTTTTTGCTATTTTTTTATATGTTCCTACAATAAGAAATATCAATATATTTTCATGCTCTTGTAACAGAAAACTTATTCATTTTATTCATTAAATTTATACATTTAAGATGAGAGGTTGGTTATGTTACTTACTCTGCTTTTTCCGAAAGCGGTTGAGTAGTGGAGGTCTTTCTTATTGCCTGTAGAAATGGCAATGTTGTGTTGCTTGTACATTTTGAATAATTTGAAACAACACCGAGAATAGACCTCGAAAATCTTTGAAAATTATTTACTAACGCCATTCCAATATTAGGCTGACTGCTATGCCACGCAGAAAGCCTTAATTCACATGTGATTGCGAAAGTTTTTGAAATAGAGAACTACCTTTAGGATCTTGAAGAATGATTTTCCCCTATAAGAAAGATCGGTTTAGGGGACTAATTGTAAGAAGTTGGTGGAAGTTGTAATATTTTGGTTTGACAAGTCTTTGTTTACAGTTTGCTATCATTGAAAAAAAGATGTAATAAATTAACTTTTCAAAACTAATTGTAATATTTATACAGATAGAATTATTTGAATAAAATGGCAGATGATAATGTTCTATTTGTTCGAGGAAATGGAAATGTACGTCTGTATTTAATGTTAAGTTATATAAATAGAATAATAAACTTATTTCATAATTTTCATTTATATAATTATGTTTTTACTTTAAAAGGGCACAAATGCAGGTAGTGAAGATGTGTGGGACGATAGCGCATTAATAAAAGCATACGATAAAGCGGTGAATTTAGCAAAGGAAGAGGTTGTTAAGAGAATGGGCATGGATGTTCAAAATTCTCAGTCTAAACAAAAATCACAGAATGTCAAACAACCTCGACACACAAATAAACCACTTAAGGTTATGATTTATTAAGCATATGAAAAGCAAACTTTTATTACTTTATTAATCATACTTTTCTCTATGTAGAAATGGATTGTTGGAGCTCCTTGTCGTGCGGTATATTCAGAGGATGGAGAAGTTTATGAAGCTATAATATCAAAAATTCATGAAAATAGTGGGATTTGTACCGTGAAATTTGTAGGTAATGCTTTTGAAATGATCTTTTGTAACATAATTGATGAAAGAAAATTAATTTAAATGTAAATTATGCATATAATATATGAATTTTACAAACTATTAAGCACTGAAATAAAATTATGTTAACTTCAGGTTATGGTAATACAGAGAAGGTATCGTTAAGTTCTCTCTTAGAATCAGAAGGTTTGCAAAGTCAAATAGCGCAACAAAAGAATGCTATAGCAGAAAAATTTAGCGGAGAAAATACTGAAACTGAGGAAATTAATTTTTGTACAAATGCAAATTCTAAAAAGTATAATGGAGAAAAAATGGACTGTGAATCTGAAGATACAAAAACATATAAGCATCATTTTATGTCTGGCCGTTCTTTCAATTCTACAGCTGATATGATGCCACCTGCCCCACCTCTACCACCTCAATTAATGGCCAAGTAAACACAATATAAATTTTATACAATTGTATCTTTAAAGATAGTAGATGAAGATTTTTAATATTAGATCTAATTAAGAAATATTTTAGGTTGCCAGATAATGATGCAGATGCACTTTCAAGTATGTTAATGTCATGGTATATTAGTGGTTTTCATACAGGTATGTGCTTCAGTTTTCAATTTTCTGTTTTGTATTCAATTGTTAGTAAAGTATATCGTTTTTTATTGTAGGTTACTATCATGGTTTGAAACAAGCCAAAAATAATCAAGAGAAAAGAAAGAATTGCTGATTGTATATATCTCTTTCACATGAAATATAATTTTTACAGAATTACATAACGATAATACACGATTATTATATATTTATTTCATCACTTTCAATTGATATTTTATAATAATTTTTCATAAAATACAATACATGCGCTCCCTTTATTAACATAACAGAAATTAACTTTTTATCCAATCATCGTATTTAGGGATATTTTTATCCGTTCCTTGTATGTTTTTTATCGCGTAAACTAAACTCGATAAGCTGGTAATATTGAATTGTAAATTTGTTACAGTTATTTCATTATTCTCTAGACGGTTCCATGTTGGAGCTGATTGGATTATCCATGCTTCTTTGCAAATTAATTTTATTTCTGCAGCAGAGTAGTCGTTAGTTACCTCGACTAAATAATTTCCTTTTACCTCCATTATATTTGGTGAAACGTATGAGCTGAATAGATTAAGACGAGAGTGTTCATCGGGTAACGTAACATAGATTTGCTTTTCTAAACGTCTGAGTAAAGCTGCGTCGATGTTCCTAGTAAGGTAGATTATAAAACAATTTTTATACGTTCAAAATGTTAATAATAATAATAATAATAATAATAATAAAAAAAAAGATATATATATATTTATTCGTAAATTATTATATATCTTTCTTTTTTAGAATTTTATGTTGACTCATTACTACTTTACCTTCAGCAGTGAATCATAGTTGCTTATTGTACTTACCAAGGAGCATTAGTAGCAGCCAAAAGCATGACATTTGAACCCTCAGGTGATAATAATCCATCTAATCTAGTGAGAAGTTCTGCTCTAAATCGTTTTGCAGGTTCGGATAACGAATCGTTTGTGTTATTTGTAGATATCCAATCAATTTCATCAATAAAAATAATCGCTGGTGATTGATTGTAAGCGAGATCAAACAGAACCTGTTTAATTTAACAATGATTTTTAATATTGTATTCGTTTTATTTTTCAATAATGTTTTTTCTTAAATGAAGTATATAACTTTTAATCGTGTATAGATTTATAAATTGAAATGAAATCGACAACTTACACGGATATACTTTTCGGAATCGCCTCGCCATTTACTGACCAATAAACTAGCGGTTACATTGATGAACGTGCAATTACATTCCGTCGCAGCTGCCTTGGCCAACATAGTTTTCCCTGTTTCAGAAATTTTCGTGAAAGTTTCGGAAAGAAGAAAGGGAAACAAGCGTACATAGATATAGCTTACCTGTACCAGGTGGTCCATACAGTAAAATGCCTTTCCACGGGGAAAATTTGTCACTGAAGAAAATGGGATACTTAAGCGGATAAACGATGGCTTCCTTTATAGCTGCCTTACATTTATCGAGTCCTACCACATCATCCCAAGAAACGTTCAAATTGCCCAACACTATTTCCTGTACCAAAAAATAGGAATACGAATGCGCGTAAGTTTGAAAAAATTACATTTTTTCTACTTACCGTCGAAATATCCTCGGCTATTTTCCGAAGTTCAGAGTCAGACGGATAAAGTTTTTCGATACAGCTTAATATCTTTGATTTCGTAGGCCGGTTGTTTGGTACATCTTTTGTCAAATTGTTATTTTCATTGACATTTTCTTTGGGAAAAAGGGGTGACACTGTTAACCCAAAACTGATATCATTCTCTGGAGTGAAATTAGTCTGGTGTGCTGCGACATCTTCTTTAGCTGTGTCGTTTTTATTCGATTTGATGACCGTTTTAATTTTTTTACTTGGTACATAAAATTACATATTAGTATCTCGATCACTGAATGTTATCAGAAAAGTAGGAATAATTTTCATATCTAAAGTTAAAATTGCAGAAGAAATGTATTTTCATTGATCGAATGAACCGAAGTATACACTTACAGTTATATCTTTTTAAATCATGAATATTTTCTTACATTGGATTTGTGGAAGATGTTGATTCAACCGTTTTGTATAGTATTGGGTACTTGTTGAATTTTAGATGATAATAACTATCGTATTCCATGAGTATCATTTCCAGATCGATATTGTCGGCTATTTGAATGTCGGTAGGTAACTGGGCCTCAGAGAACAATGTGCCATAAGAGTCTGTTAATCTGGAAAAATAAATTTCATTATGAACTTTTTATATTTTATTTATAATTTTATATTGCAATTAATAATCTCTTATTTATCGAAAGATTTCGCATATTATAGTATAGTATTTGTTTGATTTTTATTAATTACCGTTAAATTATTTACGCGATTACTTACCCATGTTGCTTCAGATATTGAGCTATAAGGTACGGAATGCTTCGACGACGTTCCTCCGTACGCTTCTTCTCCTAATTTGAAATTTAACCATAAAACATTAAACATATAAAATAACAGTTAATAATTTTTTAGTTTAGTTATTAAGAGAATTTTCGATTTTTCAAAATCGATGATAAAATATTTGTTTGTTGATCAACTATAATTTAATTTGCTTACCTTCTCGCGTAATTTATGGTTGATCTGATTCAGACTTCCGTCCATGGACAAACCAAGATTCATGGTATTTGGAAGAATAAAACCGTGCTCTTCAATAAAAGACAATTCGGATAATGTTCTTGTATTTATGTATTTATGTATTTATGTAGGTACGAATTTTCTCGTTCACGGCCAACGTCTTTCCCTTTCGTCTTTAAAACAGTTGAAAACAGTTTAGACAAACGATTTGTTGCCATGGCAATGTCAGCGAGGGGGGTATTGTGAGCGTTTCAGACAAAAGAGACAAACATTGGGACGTTTATATGGTAGGCTGTATTTATCGTATAAAATTGGAACTAGCTGTTAGGGTGGGTCACGATCGTAGTCACCTCCACAGGGTGTGTGTGACCTGGTAATCATTATCTTGTTTAAAATATTTTCCGGAACATGAACTTTAGAAAACGATATTGATCTGAGAGTATTGCAAAATAACACTTATTAATATATTAATTTAAAAGCAGAATCAATTATTTATGTTTGGATTTATAAACCAAAGAGACGAGAATCGTTCTAGTATCGTATTTTCTCTGCTAACAATTCTCTTCCGACTGGTTTTTATCGTATCTTCCGCTTCTACTTGCTCATACAACAAAGTTAACGAATTCCCTGTGTCACGATTGTTTCTCGAAAGTCTAAGTCTTTCATTTTCCCCCGGAAAAAAAGGGAAACTAACCCTCAGGATTTTACGTGTATCTCTGTGTTTCCTTTAGGGTTTTCTGAATTCCACGAAAACACGTCGTTTCATGTTCCGGAAAAAAGAACATCAACAACAGAGAGTATCTTATTATAAAATCGAGTATCATTCGAACAGTATCGTAAAAGTTTTCAGTGATCTTACAGAGAATTGGCAAACTTCCATCTAGACTGGAATGTAAAACAACATCTGCAGGCACCTTCCATCTAAAGCATGTCATTTTTTATTTTATCAAGTATCCAGAGAGTGACAAATTATTGTTCAATTTATCTTTATTCATTTCGTGTTAGAAAATATGGTGCGACGATGAGAGTTTCGAAAGTGTACGATGACAATAGGGAGACATATTGGGCGTTTCAGCGGTGTAACAGAAGAAGAAGAAGAAGAAGGTTAGCGATTGCACCGATTGCACCGATTGCACCGTTGCGTCGGGGGTGGCTTTGACGGCGGTGCCGAGGAGAGGCGCAGAACGTGTTCGATCGACCCGTGGTATGCAGCCCGTGCTCACACTGCGACAGAGTTCACTTCAGTCAGTTGCTGTCTGACCGTCGACCGCGACAACTCGCGTCGCTCCGCGTTATTCTTCCACTGCTCCCTCGTGAACGATCTTATCGCGACAGCCGGCCTATCAATTTATCCTTTAATCTTATCTGCAATCGATCCATTCCTTTTCTTTTCTTTTCTTTCTTATAGAATTCCCGGCAAATCGAACGCTTGTACTTTTTTAAATAACATTTTTGGAGGGAACCGATTCAATTGTTCGAAGGTGGCGATTTTGGACACATGGGTCGTGAGGCACGAGGGATGAATGATGCATCAGCGTGATGCATTTTCGAGGTAACTTCTATAAAAAGTCTTTTTCCTTCCAAACTTTCTTTGAATCGGTGAATTTAGAACGTGTCATGTTTGAGGGGGTGGTTTTTTATGTTTTTCATGAAGAGTTTCATTTTTTTAAGATTCAATTTAATCTTTATTATTGTTTTGAAATTTGTTTGAACGACAGATTCGAAATATTAAGGTTAATCTCTTAAGAAAGTTGGGGGTGAGTTGTTTGATGTACATAGTTTTGTTGCCGTCGACAACGCGTACGTTTTGAAGCAGCAAATTAAGACTGATGTATAATAGATAACACGAGAGAATGACTTTAATCATCACAATTATTAATTTTTTCTTACTTTTTCAATGTGTTTTTAATCTATTTGAAATTAGGTATACATTAATTTGTTTATTAGTTAACATTTCAATTAGTAAAGAATGGTGTATTTTTTTCGTACCTGTAACAAAATGACGTATAAACATGAATAAATCCATCTTTTCTAATGAGAGATACGAGTACGATATGTCTTCTTCCTATTAGGTACAGGTACCGCGATAAAATTGAACTCTGAGCTTCTCGATAAATTAATTAAAAATATCGATCGATGCAGTGACAATTTAATCTTTAAAAAGTTTCAGAAATTTGTCAATTGTATTGTTCGAGTATTTTTTTATTATTTATTATTCAGATATACCTATTCTAATTAATTATGCATTCGTCATTTAAGAAATATTCTTATGTTTCGTCTTTATCACACGAAAGTAATCTAATTGCCGAGCAATTATAATTGGAACGAAATTCTCTTCGGTCCCGTCGCGTCGCGTCGCGTCGCGTCGCGTCGTCGTGCCAGATTACGCCCGCTAAATGATTGACCTTAATCACTTAGTGACAGGCACGATTCAGTGATACAGTCTTTCATAAGTCGGACGCTTTAAGCGTTTGCAGAAGACTCGAAATTGCAAGCTTTCCGGTGTCAGCATTCAATTTACATATCAGATAAAGAAATTTCAGTCTCGATATTAAATACGGTTGATAGGATATTTAATTAAATATACATATTAAAAGCATGAAGATCTAAAAAATTGTTGATCATATCCAACTGTTGTTGGAATACATACATATATTGAACTTTGTCCTTTGAAATCGTGAATTAACATAACACGCGAGCTGCTTAATTAATTAATTAATAATGGTTAGGATTAATTATTGTCCAGAGTGGCTACTGTTATGCTTTGTATGTACTATTCATCGTTCGATGTTAAAACAGGCTCATCTTGATATGTAGTAGAAATAATTAAATTTGCAAGTTCTTCCTTTTTTTTTTTTGCAATTAATTTCATTAAAGTCGGATATCTACAATTACCGGAACATTGCCTAACGAAACGATACAGCGATGACAGAGTATTGACGTCAGCTTCTGAAAATTTCTCTGCCAGCATTGGGTCGACTTATTTGGGTTAAGAATTTATTTTCAAGGTTCTGCAAATACGTGGAAACCGAACAGCAAATATACCAAATTTTCGATACGTCTCTCTTTACATTCTACTGCTTTTTAAATCACTAGTGAAAACGTTGTTTTAACAAACCACGTGAATACACTTTGTTCGATTAAAGCGAAATGAAAAGAGAAAAATTTGTCTTCCATCTCATTGTCAGCTAATAAATTTTGCAATATGTCACAGAAAGTAGTATGTACTTGTACCGTGATTGTAATATCATCTCCAAAAGTGAAAAAGGTATTTTTAAATTGCATACATCTACGAAACTGAACAGGGATCAGAGTTTATTATCATTATTTATTTTGAAGGAAAGTTCTGCATAGCTATCGATTTTGTGCAAACATTTCGTTTGCTAATATGTACTATATTTTTTTCCTTGATCGAACTTGGTAAAAAAGCTTTCCAACAAAGTTTCTTCGGATGAAAGAGAAGTTATTATTACTTCAGTCGATGTAATTGCGTTCAAAGGTAGTACATATGTATGTAGATATGTAGAGTAACAATGTCAAACGGGTGTGCACGCGTTCGAATGTGTAACGCGTGAATAATAGACGAGATGGAGGCAATCACGCGAACCCACCTATATGTACATAATATGTATGTAGTTCGACGTAATATTAAGCCAGAGTGCATAAACTGTAACCAGCAGCCTTGTAAGTTCAAAGAATTGCCGTTCCTTCTTCAATCGTATAACGTTGGTGTTGCATAAATCTGATTAATAAAACTGATCACATCGATCGATCGATCGCACTAATATTTATTCGATCAATTTAATAAAAATGATTGCCTTGAAAGTTTCTTCTAAAGTCTTTTTAGTCGACTTTATTTTATACGATGTAAAAATATGTTGAGGTTGCTGATCGACCAGCAAGCTTAATATATCATGTCGATATTAAAAGAAACGTTTTATTAACTGTGTAATAACGGTGTCGATTTCTTTTTAATCGATAACAACATTGAAAGCCATCGATTCTAATAAACACTTATAGTAGAAAACGATATTGTACATCGTGTTGGATTTAATTGGAAAAGTAAAGGAATTTATCATCGACGTTTTAATTAAAAGCTTCAAATAGAAAGTTGTGGATTCTTATGCGGTACAATGGAAGCTACCTTCGAACGTAATATCGCCGAGAGGGAAACGAGTGATGTTAACAATAACAATTAAACATGAAATAATTAAGGAACTTGAGATTGGTACCGAGTGCAAATGTATTAGCGATGAATTGTATGCAAAGTTGTCATATGTATCTAACTAAGTACGTCGCGTCGCGAGCATCGTCGGAGCGAAGGGACTAATTTTGTTTTTCAATTTATTTGCAATTTGCAATTTGCAATTTGCAATTTGCAATTTGCAATTTGAAACTGTCGGACACGATTTCATGTCAGGGTGTTACCGTCTTTCAATCATTATTTTATAAAAGATTCCAAACAACATCGGAGGATTAGCTGTATTATGTAACTTTTGTAACGTAACATCTGCGACTTCTATAAATCGTACAAGCGGATTGCAGTCGCATTTACACGTCATCTAACAAGTTAAAGAAATTTCAGTAAACGTTATCTAGATGTTCCCAACCTATTATAGTAATTTGCGATTCAAATAATTAGGGGATTTTATGAAACGCTTATTATTGGATGATGCGGATTTTCGTTAAAATCTGCTGCTTTGCTTGACCGCTGTTATTAATTGTTTTAATGGTGATTAATTGGAAAGGTACGCGCAAAGTTTTTTAACGAGATTTTTTGTCACACATACATAGGTGAAACTGGTACAAACGAAACGATCATAGATACAGGAAAAATTCAAAATTGATAAAAGAAAATTGAACGGATTTTTTATGATGCTATCAATTGCGGTACACTCCTGAAATTGATATTCAGTCTCTAAATACAGTCGACAAACGCAAAGAGTATGCTTCTTTCGTGTAATCATGATCGATTGCTCTGAAATTACAACATTGAATAAGAAAGGACTAACAGCGGTTGTTTAACCTTAATCGTAACCAGGTCATCTATTTCTAAAAATAATCGGAACAGCTGATACGGTGTGTTTGCCTGGTTATTTAAATATTTCTACTTGATTATTCACTTTGTCGTTGGAATATTTTCAATGATTTCAACGATTTCAACGATTTCAACGATTTCAACGATTTCAACGATATTACTATTTTTAATTAATCTTTCGAGTTAATCGATACTGGATGTTTGTTATAATACATGTTCTATTTTCATTTTTATTACAGTGTAAAAGAAGTTAGTGTCGTTATTGTCGGTGTTTAATAACAATTTTTATTGTTAGAACGAAGAAGCTTAAAATGATGAAAGAACATCTCAACATCAATTTCAACCATTTACGGACAATCATGCGTGGTTGGTTAAGGTCGTACGCGTCATAGGTGCAATTATCTCGCGTTAGGATCAATCACGATAGTCCCACGCGAAATTGATCCAAACTATGTGAAAACGTGTGTTCTGATTTCTGGCGTAGATAACACGCTCCTAGCCGCAGTGCGTGGATGGTGGTTGCTGGAATAGTTGGATCTCTTCGATTCCCCTGGCACACAGCCGTGAAGCATTCACCACCTTCGTCTTTCGACAACGATAATCGAGGACCATGAAGAGATCTTTGAGTCTTTACTCGAAGATCCTCGGCTGGACCGTCTGTCTTATTGTCGTTCTTCTCTTTTTCTTACCATCGAGGACGGGTAAGTGAAATTGAAGAACCTGTAGATATTCTACCGTGGATTTTGATAGAAATCTCCGCGGGTTTGTACTTATCGTTAGTTATTTCACATTTTAAACATATTCTGTTGGTTCGATTCTCATCAGGTCATGGCAGTAACCAATCATGCATATCATAGAATCGAATCTACGCGAATAATTGGTAAACGCAAACGCAGACCGGTAATTCGTATGTGAATAATTGAGGGGTTCATGGAAGAAGTCATTTAATTATTCTGACGTCTTTGACGTTTCGAGCTGATTTAAACTTCCTTCTTTCTTGAACCAAACGAAAATAACATTCGATGTATTGCTACCTATCTGTATAAAACTGGGGGAAAATTTCTTGAATATCGTTTCAGCCGCGTTGGAGGAGAACTGCACGGATTTCCAAGGTGCCATTGTTCGTCACGGCCTGCTTTATGTGCCAGGACCTGCGGTCTGCAGTCTCTGCGTGTGTTACCATTCCGAACCAATGTGGTGTCAAGCGATTTTCTGTACGCCACCCTACGTATGTATTGCTTTTTCGTAATAAGTAATAAATCTCTCGTTTAATAATTCGTCCGTGTAAGTCGTGAACAATAAATACACAGCAGCTGTCTGTATTGGTATCAAGGCGGAGAAAAACGAAGCGCGCTGCAACGAACCGTGTGTGAAATCGATTACTCGACACGGATGCGACCGGTGTAAATGATTTTAATGAGCACGTTTTCTCCTTACGAAATCCCGAATTGTTGACCTCCGTTTTTCCCCAACGTCTCTCTGAATAGTCATAAATATATCCTCGAATTAACGGGTCAATTACTCGTTGCTAAAGACGAGTAAAAAAGAAAGAAAAAAGAAAAAAAAAAGAAAGATCGAAGAGGAGCATTTTATCTTCTTCCTGTCGTGAGTTTATAACTCGTAAAACAGAGAGGGCAGAGTTTGTTCCAGGAATCAATTACGCCTCGCAGGAAATTGCGTTATCGTTTGAACGTCTTCGAATTACGTTCGCGATTATTCTTGGCCGCTTCCGTTTCCACCAATCGAATCCCACGTAATCGTTCGGCGCAACCTTCTAATGGTACAAACACGTGGTTCCTGTAAATGTCCTTAGAAAATATTAAAAGTTTATTTTAACATTTAACACTCGTCGAAAACACAGCTTTCATTCGTTAATTATTCCGAATCGAGTCGGTCTAACGAATCCAAAAAAAAAAAAAAAAAAAAAGTTTCAACAAAATTCCTTCAATGGTTTTTCCGTGTAATTTTCAAGCGGTAGTAATCTCGGAGATGTCACGAGCAACCGTATCCGCCGTTTTACGCGACGGTTTTAAAAAAATTTTTTTTTAACCACCTCGTGTTCTTTCAAGGCGTTCCGTTTACCCTCTGACGCGTGTTCGCATTTCAGCTGTAACGTTATTAAGCGGTCTCTTTCGAGTTCTGGTATAAAGATGAAAGGGAGGGAAAGAGAACTTGATAGCTTGTAAACTGTTCCAATGTCGCTTGAAAGTTCCAATGTAACTTTCTGTATTGATTGGTTTCATCGTTGAATATCGCGTACGCGAAATTTTAAGATTCTAACATTTCGCTAACGAGCACGTTGTTAATGGAAATTCAATTAATTAATTTTTAGTTTGGCTTTTAGGTTACGAGATTTGAATACCCTATACATATACCTATCAATTTTTCAATGAAAAACTAAAGCCGTGGGATTTAACGTTAAAAAAATTTTAGCACTTTAATCATTATCTCGAAAATCATATTATAATTTAACTGCTCCATTTTCTACAATACTTTGTTTCTAAGAATTAGAATTAATTTGCATGCGAGGTACGTGACTGCAAACCTTTTCTTATAATCACACGTCATACTAGTTGAAAGTAATTTTATGATACTAGAAACTTTTGATAGAAGAAATTTAAAGAAGAAATATTTAGAAAGAATTTTTTTCCTTTGAGAAAAGAAAAATTCTTAAACGTAACGAAGAAGTTGAATTGAAACAAGTCGTTAATAACGAATAGCAATCGTGAAGTTATTTAATAAAAAGGTAACAGCACAAGTCGAATTTGTCTCGTTAAAGAACTGTTTCTTCGGGGAGCAATTAAACGAAAATAGAAAACTAGCTGTATCTGCGAATTGCCATAACACGATTGTCGCTGGTAATACCGTTAGTAATCGCTTTATTGAATTTTCACTTGATGTGACATCGTCAAGCCCCTTAACGAGATTTTTTTCTCCTCTCGGGATCGTGCTTCCGTAGTTTCTGAGCTTTCAATTACGAAGAAAAACACTGTCAGCTTTGTTTAGACAAAATCTTTCTTACATCCTTCGTTTGATGTTTCTTATGTTGTTCCATTGTTTTAAGCAACTTCCACGGATTTACAGGGTAGTTGGAAAGCTTTCGAAAGTTTATTTTTCATTGATAAGTAGTCAGTTTTTGAGAGGACGAAGGTTACTGTATTTGGCTCGAAGCCTACGATTCTTTTATTTTAACACTGTACTCGAACGGATCGACGCGTCGCGTCGCGTCGCGTCGCTTCGCTTCGGATGCCAAAATAAGAAAGAAAAGTGTAGGACGACCAACGTGCCATGCATTTTCGTTTATAAAAAAGACTAACAGCAAGCAATTCCTCTCGATCTCGATGCTGCAGTCCGCACAATTCGTCCGCAGTGGCCTCGTATCTTCTTACTGTTCCATTTAATCAAGTACAATCGCGTGAAATTGTTTGCAAAACGATCCTTACTTTTACTTTTACTTCCAATTATCAATTAGGTATTCAACGCGTTCGATATTAAAATTCGATATCCTGAAAAGGATATTATACAGTGCGAAAACAATAGATTCCTCGTGAATACAAGCGATTGAACGATCGAGTTCAGCCTTCCGGAAGTCGAGTATTCGAAAACGAAGCGTTATATTACCAAAAACGGTAAAGGACTTTTCGACTCCATATCTGATAGGGAATCTGCACCTTTTGTTGTCCATAATTTTATCGAGGTTAACAAAGGTAGCGTGACAGTCAGCAGAATGCTTCTATTTTTCACGTTGACACGCGACGAAGAACTTTCGAGTTTAAATCGTGTAATTTCAGTATCGTAGAAATTGTTCAGTCTTCGCGATCTATTTCTACCGCGAAAGTAGCGCGAAGAAATAGGGAAATAGGGAAATAGGGAAATAGGGAATGGAAAAAATCGGCCAACAGGGTGTCGCGCATTATGCGTCGGAAAGCACGCAACTGCCAGTCACATCGTTGCTTGTAAACGAGAGAAAGATATTGTAATTGCACGGGATTAGCATAAAACTAGTCGCATGCAAACACCCTGAATGTGGTGGCCTGAATATCGCGCTACGTGATTTTACCAGAACCTTAAACGGAAGTCAACGATTTCAACGTTGCACTGGAGATCTTTTATAGTTGATAGAGTCAGACACTTTCGCAACGTTTCTGATGGTTTTTTTTCGAATATACCTATGTATAAACAGTAACGGTAGAAGGAAAATCGGTTGTCCTTAACACCTCATTCATTCGTTCGTTCGTTTATTCAATTCTTCGGTAGGTAAAGTACGTATGTAGGTACACCCTTAACACCTCTCACCCCTATTTCCTCCATTCTATTCGACTTTACATGACCTGGATACCGAACGTTCAAGCACGATTGAATAGCAATTGATCAGTGATCGATCTTCTGCCACAGAAATGCAAGAAGTTTCGAGTGGGTGAACGTTGCTGCGAGTTTGAGTGTCTCGACGACACGGACGCCAACTGGACCGGGCCAGATTTGATTATCGCCGCAGGATCATCCAGGATCAAGGAGCAAGGGACCGTATGGCTGTTCGGTTTGATCGCTCTTCTAAAGGTGCTCTAGTTTCTTACAAGAAAGAGGATCGTCGACGAGGATCGAAAAACGGCTCATCAGGGATAGGGGTAAAGGTACGACGTGTCAGAGTTTACCTCTCACAATCAGAGGAACCTAGTGACGCGGTTCTAGGATTAATTTCGTTTCATGGAATCGTTCTAAACTATTTTATTACTTTCCAAAGTAATTGATTAATACTTTTGTAACCGTGCTTGAACGCCGTGATCGATGATATGGAAATTCGTTTTATTCACTGATCGAATGAAGGAGAATGAAGAACCTTGAATGTTAGCTATGTGGAATTGAAAAAATTCAATTGAAGGATTACACGAAGCTTGTTAACCCATTTTTATATCAGCTTCGCGTATACAATCGCGTATGCCTTCTGTCCTTTATATGAAACCATGACTTTTTTTTTTCTTTTACGTACTTTACGATATCAAAAATTGCTTTCATTAAAAGAAACTGAACCACGCTGGAATTATTGCACATTTATAAAACGAAATAATAAAAGAATCTTCATCGATAAATAACGAGTAAGGTAGGATTTAGAAAAGACAGAAATATTTTCTTTTTTTTTTCTAGTACCATTTCCTATTTATGGCGATCATGAAAAAAGGACTAAAAGATAAATGTACGAAATACCTCGATTAACAATCTGTTTACAATAAAATTCTATTTTGCAAAAACGAAGCTCATCAGGCTGTACACTTTATTTACGAGAATTCTGAGCACAAATTAAAGAGAGAATCCACGGGTTTGCTGTTCGAGGATTAATACATACATATACGGTATATCCATTAACACGTTGGCTAGCTGAGATAAATGCACCATAAATGCATCGCGTTAATCCTCGCTTTACCTACTACGAGCGAATGAAACGTTTTAATCTCGAACGCGTCGCGGTACAATCTCGCTTGACACTGACATTTTAACGTTCGTTGTATTTCAATTTTATAATTTACCTATGTATACCTACATATAACACGATACGTATCGTTTCTCTTTTATTTAAGAAATTGATTATTACCGCGTCGCTTTCTTAGGAATTTTCCGAAGAATCTGAGAGAATCGAGTTCGTTTAAGAAATCCTTCGGAGCTTAAAGACCGTCCCTGACTTTCGTAGTGCTTTTATTCTCTCGTTCCGTCGAAATTGCGAAACTTCTCGAGTTTCTCGCGCCTCTCGAGGCGTGCGAATTATTCGAAAGAAAAAAGAAAGAAATAAAATGCTGCGAAACTAGAATCACTTAATTAATTTCGATCAATCCATCCATTCGTTCGACGGCCTACGCGTTTCCTATGACCAAACATATCACTTCCGGTCGGGAAAACGCGATGGAACGAAAACGAACAATTAATCGAAACGGTAACAATAAATCTGTTGGAACCAAGAGAATTTTATTCAATGAAAACACGGATAATTTTAAGAGTAAATGAAATTTTAACCAACTACGCGTGAAAGTTTAATGGAAAAATTGGAAATACAAGCATTGCTCATTTATTATTTTCAATGAGAAAAATTTTCACGCTACCGTACAATTAATTCTCTTTTAAACGCGTAAATCATTAAAAAGATAACAAACTTTTCCTTTTCATCAATTGAAACGCGTAAGTACATATGTATATGGCTATTACGAATTCTAAAAGGAATTTTAAACACTGTTTCGGCAGCATAAACAAGTTCAAAATAAGCGAATGTAACAGACATCTACCGCAAATTGTCAGTTTAACGATTTAATATTTCAATTGTAAATGTAAAACATTCGTCGAGTTATCGATACCTGTGCTGGCACGGTGAACCACACGATAAAACGAACAATACTGTATTTTCTACGTGTATGTATGTATGTATGTATGTATGTATGTATGTATGTATGTATGTACATACAAAGGTGTATATTATCGCATGTATATACTTTGTCGGATACGGAGAAACGTAGAAGAGAGAAAGAGTTCTTCGCGATCGAAGAGGAATATTTAATTATAGATATTAAGAAGAAAATCAGAACAGTAGATTTTACCATTTTACCCTCCATATTTATGTAATGTATGTAAAGTATCCGATCGATAGACGTGATATCGAGCAGCATCTTTTATCAAGTAAAGATATATCGATTGAGTATAGACACGTGCTCAATTAAATTTATCGTAGTAATATCTCCATCGAATATACATGTAGAGTTTTAACTAACGAGAGAGGGTTGCAGCGGACTCAATTTTAAATTTTAAATATATTATAAATTGTACCTCGAATACCGAATACACACTAATTAATCTTTCCTTTATTTCATTTTATAATTTAATATTAAATCGCAATCGACGTGTCAATTTCATAGAGCTTCTTTAAAAAACAATTGCAAGAAAAAACAAAGCAATCATGATCAATGATAAGTCATGTAATTTGCTAATTAGTATCGCATCGTGACTGAACTATTAATAAAATCTGGCGATTTTAACGGTAGACTTAGAAATTTTAATTAAAAGTATCTTCTTCTCTCTTCAGGGAACAATTCAGTACGGTTAAAAATATATGGCAGAAATAATTCGAGCAAAGAACGCGTAACACAATTTACATTTTTCTCTTCTTCACGGTCCGAGTATTTCTCAATTTTTTTTTCACTTTTTTCACTTTTTTCACTTTTTTCCCTCCTTCATAAAGATTTCGCTGCTTTTACGCTCGTCGAGTACTCTTCTATTCGGTGCATAGTAATTTCGTAGGCGGCGGCTGGTGTCAAGTTCAATGTTTTCGCACTTATGGTTGTAGGTCGTGGATTTTTTATTTTCTATTAACCCTCTGTGCTCCCGGTTCTATTCTCATTGTCAGCCACCCGCGCATTCTATTTAATCGTAACATAGTTCCTTTTCTTCCTTCAAATATGTATGTATTTCATAAATTCTACTTGAAAACGGTAATCAGATTATTAATCTAGATTACCGGGAGCTTTGAATCATTTCTATGGGGTTGTACCAATTCAGTCATGTTCTACGAGCTAGAATAATACCAGTATTCTACCATTAATAATTCAATGGATTCTCAATTCATCCAATTAGCAGAAATTTCCTTTAGACGACTTAAATTTACACCTTACTCGGTATAAGGGTTAACATTTATCAAAATTGGTGCTACGAAAAAGGGAAGAGGTATTATTTTTACCCAAAAAGGTTCTACAGGCGAACGATTGACGTAAATTGCTGTACTGTTAAATTTATCGAAAATAAATCCGCTTCTTGTTATTTTTTATCTTATACTGATTTTTATATACATGTATATACAGATTCGAGGAACAGACACTATAATCTTGATCGTAAAAAAAAAAAAAATAAAAATAATATCAACGTTTCCACGATTTTCTTACTCATTGATCCTGTTCTATTGAAAACTTCACGTATATTCGAATTTTGTCTAGCTTCGATAAGGTTTTAACGATACAACTTCAATCGAATTTTAATATATTAATTATATGTATGTATAATGAACATCATCGAAACTTTTTAATTGGTAGCGTTATTAAGCGAAAGTTTCGAAACGGTTTCAAACGACGAGCACTTAGGCTAATTCATTCGGTTTTTTCTTTTTTCTTTTTTCTTTTATTCTACCCTTCCTGATCAACATTTCTTCATTAAATCGTCGACGTCTTGAAGGGATTTTCAATTTCAAAATTGTTAAACCCCACAGAGACACGTTTCGCATTTATTAGGATATTTTTGATAAAGGATTGTCGATGGCCCGAGGCAAATTTCAATTGTAAATAAAACCGTTGCAGTTTTCATGTAAAAGCATCGAGGAAGAGGCAGGATATGCATGAGGTTTCAAGGAAGAAAAACAATTTCGTGCCAGCGACACGGTCACAGTGTTCAGTTTTCATCATTTGTAAAGCTGAAATATCGTTGCATCTCGATATTTCAGCTAACTTTTCATCAACGATGTAAATCAGAATTGTTTAAATCGAGATTGTTATTTATTCCACTGCAAGAATGTTAAAGAATAACTACATCTTCATTTTTCAAACACCTTTCGTTCCTTTCATTTACTTATTTCAACCTTTTTGGCAGAATTGAGACAAAGGCAGAAAAAAGTGTACTTTATCAAAGTTTAGTAGACAGGTTTGACGTCGAGTTGGCGAACCGGTCGTCTCTGACCCAATTCGTTAAAACAAACACCAAGAGAGAATTCTCTGATACTTCTCGAGGGAGAGTAGATAAAGCTTTCCGGTTGGTGAACAATCGAAACACTATTCTTCATTAAGTTTTTAGCGCGTTTGCATACTTGCTGTTTGACCTCACATTCAAGACACCGTCTATATCAATCGACCAATTTCTCTTAAGCTTCTACCATGAGCTAAGGTTTACGTGTATAAAAATTGGATTATTATGAATCTGTCTGAATGTAAATATATTTAGACGATAGATTTAATATTACTTACTATGATACGTAAACTACCTTTGATTATGTGATTACGTCGTTTGATCATTGAGGGGCCTTTTATGTATGAGTAATTCTTCTATGATAACCCAATATGAATTGTAATAATTTATCTGATCGATATTAAAAATATTCAAGACCATGGTGAACGTTTTTTTATTTTATGTACCCTTACTCTTATCTATAATATTGTTATTGACTATTTTCGAAGCGCTCTTTCGAAAGAACCGCCTCAGAAAGATGCTCTGCGTCATCTATTAACAAGTCTCTGAACTACGTCGACACCCCAGATGCTATAATGTCGGTATGCAAAGAGTGTCATCGGTGCTGCGGGGTCCCTAACACCCCCATATGATATCAGCTCGGTATCCAGAGGGCGTCGTTGGCGCAACGGGATCTCTGACACGAATGAAGAGGGTAAGTACAACCAGTATGATACTCGTCCTCTAATTTCTTTCCGGAAGCATTATTAAATAAGCTCATCGAAGGGGAATAACATTTATGATTGTATCCCCATTCTGGGGACCCCTTTTAGTTCACTTTTTCTAGTTATGTATATTGTAAGCCAAGGCCACCCCTTTCAGTTATTAATTATTTTATCCTTCTTTATGGGTCAAGACCCACGCTTCCTAACTATTTATTTATTATCCTACTTCTCTTTATGGACTAAATAAGTTGTAATATTATTATTATTATTATTATTATTATTATTTGGGTTAAGTTGGGATTGCAGAATATTATAAAAAAAACACAATTTTCTGTTTCGATAGTTTCGATACCCACCGCTGTATGGCATTAGTGATGCTTTACAAAGCGCGCGCGATGTAAAATTATAAAATTAGTGTATTAAATTTTCAATTGCATCAATCTTTTTTCCAGATAGTATCGTACAAATCTGTGCGTCGTTGAAAGAATGTAGGAATCTGCGCTCTGACTTCGTCCACGACTTTCAAATCTGTAAAAGAAACATTAAGAAAATTAAGTATCCCAGAAATCGAGCACCCAATATTGTTTAATCACTATTTAGCTTAATTGCATATTTGGAATTGCTCTCGTTATCAAAGGATTAAGGCAATTACCTATATCAGCGACTACCATGCTCTCTTGAGTTTCCAGATCGTGAAGAACCTCCCCCCAAGGGTTGGTTAATTGCGTATGGCCATATGCGACGTAACCAGCTGAAGGTACACGAGCCGGTGATATACAAGCGACGTATAATTGATTGTCATTTGATCTGGAACGCTGAAGCAACGACCAGTGCATTGGTCCAGTGGTCATATTGAATGCCGCTGGATATATTAGCATCTGGCAACCTGACCCAGAGAGACAGGAAATATGATGGAATTCGAATATCAATTATAAGTGTATGTACCGCATCCCATATAGATTATTTTATCGAGTTTCACCAACTACTGTACCTTTATTTCGATAAATGCGTGCCATTTCCTCGAATCTAATATCATAGCAAATTCCAATCCCTATTTTGCAGCCCTTCACTTCGAACATCGTTAACGAATTACCAGCACTGAGTGAATCACTTTCACGAAACGTAATTTTGTTAGGAATGTCAATATCAAATAAATGCACCTATCGTAATAAAAGAAGTGGTTATAATAGTATGTTGAGGTCATTACAGATTAAAAGGAAACTTTACTTTTCTGTGCTTCGTTATCAAAGTTCCATTAGGTCCCCATATAGTACAGGTATTATACAGTTTATTCCCATCTCTTTCTGGTATTGTACCACCAATTATATAAATGCTATTTTCTTTGGCAGCTTCCGACAATGCGACACTTGTTTCGCCATCAGGAATGCTTTCAGCATACTTTGGAAAGTGTTCTGTATAAATGTATGTATATTTAAATATGACTTAAATTCTTTATTAAACGCAAAAATGATTATTATTTTTCACTTGCGAATAAGTTAACTTATAGATTGCAAAGCGATAGAAATGGAAACATAAAATTGAATTATCATTATTGTGCTTTCAAATCTGAGTAATTTGAATTTTCAAAGCACAACTTCCGGCGCGTTCGATGACTTCAGTAGTATTATTTGAAGCGCGAACAAGATAAGTAATTTACTGTGGAAGTAAAGTTTTAATTGTTAAATTATTAATAAATAGCGAGTTATGCTTGTTTCATTATCATGTTTTGTATATAATAAAAAGCCCTTTTTTTAGAGAATTGCTATTAAAATAAATAGAAAAAATATTACGTATTCCGTAGGGTGAATTAAAGCACTCGGGAAGTGCGACAATGTCTGCGTTTTGTTTTTTTGCATCTGAGATGAACGAAACTGTTCGATCTATATTCTTAACTTTAATTTCATCAACCTGAAGTTGCACTAATGCCAAACGAAATGCTAAAAAGAATGTTAAAAATGATTAAATGCATTTCTTTTCATATTTTATCTTAATATTACGAATAAATTACTTACTAGACATTGTTCGCACCACTTGTTTAGCGATATTCACGATGACCATAATGTATTTTAAGGTTAGGTGCACGTATTATATCAAAATTACGTAAGCAAGTCGCGTCAGATTTAAATATTTATTTATTTTGATACAGTATAATGAACATTTTATTGGTTGAACAGTTTGATTAAGGATAAGAAACAAATCTGATTTTGCAAAAATATGTTTTATTACAAAATGTATATAAACAAAATTATACAGTCGGTCGCAAAAGTAAAACAGCAGAATCCATTTCCAAGAAATGTTACCGCTTACTAAATGATCGAGATCTTGATCTTCCTCGTTTTTTGTGTTTCCGTTTGTCTGTAAAATCTCTGGATTTTCTATCTTTCGTCTTTTCTCTTTCTTTATCTTTTTTCTTATGTTTTTTACTTGACCTTTCTGGCGAATTTCTTTTGTGCTTCTTTGATTTCTTCGATTTTTTTGATTCGTAAGAATCACTATTACTAGATGCACTCCTTCCTCTTCTTCTCCGTTTTCCATAATCACTGTCGTCGTCACCGCTATCAGATTCTGATTTTCTTTTCCGCCTTTTTGATTTTTTGTCATATTTATTTCTATTACACGAAATATCTTCCTTCTTCTTATCGCCCACGTTACTTTTATCATCATCTTCGGAACCTCCCGAGGATACAGAAGAAGCTGATTTTTTCTTTTCAACAGTTTTATGCTTTAGTTCCGTGGATGCTTTATCCTTATATTCTTCGTATTTCTTTACATCTAAAATTAACGCCATAAAATACTAAGGGCTAAAATTTCTATATTTACCGTGATTTTTATAAAAATTACAGGGACTTTTAAAACTCATGTATAAAATGATACTTAGAGCAATTAGACCACTCTTAACATTTCTAAGTTTTATTTAACTTAAGGAGATATGGTTGACGTTTTTGTTTTTAAAAATCCCCTCATGAAAAACTAATTATTTATACTAACTTAGAACTTTCGAGTTTTTTGAATATTCGGATTTAGTTACAGGTTGCACCATGAATTCATTTACAGAAATAATATTCCCTCCAAGAGCTAGTTTTATTATCAGCCTTCCAGCGTCCTCGTCAAATCCCTCTATTTGCCCATAGTTATTGCTTTGTTTCCCAGCTATGATTTTCACGAAAGTCCCTTTTTCAATTTTAAGTTCTTCCTCCTGCTTCTTAGAATCTGTATTTTTCTTTTGTAATGTCACTTTGTCTGCTCCTAGGCCCATACCTTTCGGACGTAATTCAGGTATAACAGCTGATACTACTCTAGAATGTTAACAATAACAATGTATCAAATCAAGTAATTATAGTAAGCGATGCTTAAATCTCACAGAAAATAAAATTCATACTTCTCATTTTTACCAATTCCCTTGCCAGGTTGCCATCCCATTCCTCTTAACATTGCTAATCCAAAAGCATCAACAGGAATTTTATCATAGTCTTCTAATGTAGACTAAAACAATAATAGAATATTTATTAGTAGCACATAGACATATAATGTATAAACATGTATGTGTGAAATAGTGAAAAAAAAATACCTGCTCTGTGCCTCTTAATGATGGATCATCTGTTAAAGATAAAGTCAATGTTTTTGTTTCGCTTTGTTGTTCCTTTTCCTTAGAGTTGAGATCTTCAATGATTTCTTTAGCTGCTTGTTCTTCTAAAGTAACAGCTTTATTTTCATCATTCTCTATTACTTCTTCTTTCACTGAAATCTGTGGCAATAAACTGCCATTAGGTACATCAACCTTTCCCTCCTGCTTGGCGCTATCATCTGTTGGTTCCTCCTTTGTCTTAGGTTCAAAAATATCAGCATCAATTTTATTAATAATTCTATCATGCCATGTTTTTGAACCTAGCAATGGAATAACAAGGGGTTCATCTTTCTTTTTCTCTTCTCTATAATATAGAAAACAAATATTAGTAGCCTTTATAGGTTAGGTTAAATTTATACATTCGTTTAAAAGATTTCTTTTTAACTTACCCTATTACTTTAATACCCTTCTCGTCAAGACATTCAATGTAATCAACCTTTTTTTCTTCTTGAGGTACAGTACTCTTTAACACAGGCTTCTTAATAGATTTTACAAAACCAAAAGAAATCTTCTTACCCTCTTCTGCCATCTTTCTACTATTCAATCCTCAATCGAGATGCTTTATATATTTACGAATATAAATAATAAATCGCTTGGAATATTTACATACATCAATTCAACAGCATGATTAGATTAGCTTGTAAGTTGTTTAAACATTATAACAACATTAATTCACATGCTTAATAACCTCGGAGTTACTAACCTATACGAGTGATTACACATTAAACGAGGCTGGACATGTCTTTGCTTTCGAGGGATCATAATTTACGGGGTCCCAGACACCCCGAAGAGATTAGAATAATCAAATATGATTATTTTTAATTTTTCTTAGTGTATTTCGTCTGTAAGTCTAAATTGTGAGTCTATTTTTAACGTTTGTGACAAATTAGTTCTTTTGTAATTAGCAATTTTATTTCAATCATGATGCGAGCCGAAACCTTTTAGTAATGTTTCATAATAAACAGATTTTGTGATAATTGATAACTGTAATTGATTGGAAATATATCATTTTTGTGATTTATAAATATATCATTTTCATTGCTTGTGAGTGAATGATTTCTTAATTATTTACAAGTTTGTTTTATAATAAATAATTGTCGTACCCATCACTATTCCGAACAAGTGAATTTCACGATTTGTTCGTTTTTCGTTCTTATATTTCGCTAGATCCGCTCAAACCCATCACTAGTCCGAACAAGTGAGTTGCACGATTTGTTCGTTTTTCGTTCTTATATTTCGCTAGATCCGCTCAAACCCATCACTATTCCGAACAAGTGAGTTTCGTGATTTGTTCGTTTTCCGTTCTTATATTTCGCTAGATCCGCTCAAACCCATCACTATTCCGAACAAGTGAGTTTCACGATTTGTTCGTTTTCCGTTCTTATATTTCGCTAGATCCGTTCAAACCCATCACTATTCCGAACAAGTGAGTTTAACGATTTGTTCGTTTTTAGGTCTTATATTTCGCTATTTGCTACGGGGTCCCTGACACCCCGGTGACATAATATCGATATGCAGCGTCACCGCTGCCTCGGGGTCTCAGGTACCCCGAATGCCGTAGTGTAGGTAAGCAGTATCATCGGTGCTTCGGGGTCCCTGACACCCCGGATGCCAAAATGCCGGTATGCAGTGTCACCGGTACTCCGGGGTCCCTGACACCCCGTTAGCCGAAATGTCGGTATGCAAACAGTGTCACCGGTACTTCGGGGTCCCTGACACCCCGTTAGACGAAATGTCGGTGCGCAAACAGTGTCAGCGGTACTTCGGGGTCCCTGATACCCCGGATGCCAAAATGTCGGTATGCAAACAGTGTCAGCGGTACTTCGGGGTCCCTGATACCCCGGATGCCAAAATGTCGGTATGCAAACAGTGTCAGCGGTACTTCGGGGTCCCTGACACCCCGGATGCCAATATGTTGGTTGAACACAGTGTCATCGGTGCTTCGGGGTTCCTGACACCCCAAGAGGATATGTCGGTATGCAGGGATAGTCACTGGTGCTTCGGGGTCCCTGGCACCCCGGATGCTATATTATTGGTATGCAAAGATAATCACCGGCGTCTCGGGGTCCTTAATACCCCAATATGATATCAGGTCCGTACGCAGTGGGCGCCATTGGCGCAGAGGGGTCCCTAACCCCCGTGGATAATATCAGGTCCGTATGAAGAGGGCACAACCAGTATAATTTTTTCCCAGAATTTATTTAATTTACTTCATTTATTTTTTTTTGCTTATTAAATAAGCTTATCGGAGAGGAATAACATTTATGATTATATCCCTCTTCTGGGTCTCAGCCGAGGACCCCATTTATTTTACTTCTTCCAGTTATTTATATAATTTTATCCCTCATTATAGGCCAAGACCATCTCAGTATCTCTTACATCTTTGCATTCCTTCCGTCCCAGCGTTCCTTACATTCCTGCAACCCTTAAATAACTCTTTTTTTTTTTTTTTTTTTTTTTTAACGTGGTGGAAATCTTCAGAAAGACACCTTCAGCCCCCTGGGGAGAGGCCGGAGGTAGTGTGGGATTTTTACCCACTAAAACCACCACGGTGGCCTGCACTAGGGCGGCAGGGAGGGTCCTTTGACTCTCCGCCATGTGCCAAACTCCACCGACATCGGGGGCCACGCCCGACGCCGGCACTTCTTGGGCCGCGTGCGGTGGAGACCGGGGCCCCAGCCCCGGACCCCTACGGAATTCCTTTACATCCTCGTTCCGTTACATCTTTGCATCCCTTACATCCCTGCATTCTTATCATCCCCACATTCTTTTCATCCCTACATTCCTTACATCGCTTCATCCCTTACATCCCTACATTCTTTTCATCCCTACATTCTTTTCATCCCTACATTCTTTTCATTCCTATATTCCTTTCATCCCTACATTCCTTACATCTCTGCATCCCTTATAATAAATATATTAAAAAGACTGCTTCGAGTAAAGGTAAGTAAAGGTAAGTAAAGGTAAGTTAGTAAATTTCGAAAAACAGCGCCCCCTAGCGGCAAAAATGTGGACTAAAATGTCGATGTCGGATCAGCGCCCTCTGGTGGCGAAAAAGGGAACTAAACCACGCTCAATTTCTGGCCCCCTGGCGGCAAAAATGTGAACTAAAATGTCGATGTCGAATCAGCGCCCTCTGGTGGCGAAAAAGGGAACTAAACCACGCCCAATTTCTGGCCCTCTGGCGGCAAAAATGTGAACTAAAATTTCGATGTCGAATCAGCGCCCTCTGGTGGCGAAAAAAGGAACTAAATCACGCTCAATTTCTGGCCCTCTGGCGGCAAAAATGTGAACTAAAATTTCGATGTCGAACCAGCGTCCTCTGGCGGTAAAAAAAGGAACTAAATGTTACAAAAATTTAAATTTAAATTTAAAATTATTTGTCACGAGACTTTAATTGTTATTTATTTGTTATGGATTTATTATAAGGGTTGAAAGGATATAAGAGATGCGGGGAGAATTCAGGAGTGTAAGGGATACAGGAATGTAAAGGGTGCAGTGATGTAAGGGGTACAGAGATGTAAGGGATGCCGAGGTATAAGGAATGCCGGCATATACAAGATGTAGGAATATAGGGAATGTAGTGATATAAGGGATACAGGGATGTTAAGGATGCAGACATGTAAGGGATGCAGTGACGAATGGTTGGGCCTCGCGAGGCCCTTATAGACAAAAGAATAATAAATAACAGAGAAAGTTGAGCCGAGGCCCATGAAGAGGGATAAAATAATAAATGACTTGGGAGGGTGGTCGATGCGAGGCCCGAAAATAGGATTATAATATTTTGATGGTACTCTATACTTTATGTACATACGTTTGAATCTACCCTAATTTATGCACCGCAGTGCATGACAGTGTCATCGTGTATTATGTCGTTCACAATTTATTCAACGCTGTTCTATTTTTAGACTATGCTCTCTATTCCGCTTTTATTGTATTCTGTAAACTTCTGTGTAGAGGTGCAAAGTGAAAACGATTGTTCATTAGTGTACAACAAAGTCTGCTCTTTATATATTTTCAAAAATCCTTTTGGAGGAGATCTTTATCTCGTGATTTTATTCTTTCGTATTTAGAATATATTTTAAAATTTTTCTAGGTAGTTTAAACTAAGGTAACATAAAAGTTGAATTTACTTTATCGATTCATAATTGATTTGACAAATTGAAAAAAAGATTGTATGGTTCTGTAAAAGTTCGATTCTCTTAAAGGAAGCCATTTAGTATTCTTCTTTTGCTAGAAGAATTACAGTTAAAAACGACGACCAATTGAGAACGAAAGTTAAGCCCGCAGGTAGAGGGGTAAGCGTGTTTTAGCTGGCGACAACAGTACGGTATGCAGATACGAAGCCGGGGTAAACCGGGAAGCCGTAGTTCTTGGAGCGTAGTAATCGTAGTAGCGCCGGACAGTCAACGACACTCCAAAGCTGTGGATAGACTGTGGAAATACAGGTAGATCCTTAATTATATTTTAAATTTAACTATAATTTTCTCCTTACTATCTCATAAATTTTCATAGGATTACAAATTCCACCGCATCCAGGTATTTTAACTCATTTGCCATCGCTCACTTTTTCATTTCTTTTGAAATTAGAAATGGGACTGAATTAATTTACAGTTTTATAGCTCTTTCTTCTGATTTATTGATTTTCATAGCCGGTAATTTTTAACGAATTTTTCTTTTATACGAACAATAAATATTTTATAATTCCGATGGTAAATCATTATAACGCGCATCATGATCACGATGTGCCAATGGTACTCTAGATCGTAGCGTAGTCCGTTACTTGCTTTCATCTCGTAGATCTGTTCGCCAGGTCAGCAATTAAGAAAGAAAGAAAGAACCGAAATATGTACAGTCGCAAAACAAAGCGGTTTGTGAACAGTTGGTAACTGTAAAACAGCAAACGTAACTGCGCGATGCTAACGGAGGAGGAGATCTTCTTCCTGCTGAAGATTTGTTCCGCTATGCAGAGACGTTCTAACATCTCTAAAGTAATTTGAGGACGTTCCTCGGAAAGAATATTTTCGAAATGTCATTGAACTTTCTGTTCAAGTATGGTCAAGTTGAATTCTGGTTCGATTTCATAGGAGGATGCAACGTTAAATGTAGTCGAGTGAACAATCACGCGACCGGATCTATGTGTTGCCCGGAACCAGACATAATACCGCGGAAACGAGTGGGAAATTATATTTGTTATGGGGAATCGGACTGGCTGCTTCTATAGACGGTGACGATTTTATCTGACCGCGCGTTTACCGGCACGGAACGGTCATTAAACGTTTTGCTGAATATTTTTTTTTCACTCGCCTCCTACTCTGTTAACAAAATTATTAATATTTAATTCCATGTCTACTTGATTTCAGACAAATATGCGGCTGATCCTCTTCGAACTATACTCGCTACTGTTCTTATTAACGGAGATCGATGCAGCAGGAATCGGTGAAGCATGGCAAGTTTCCCCATACGCGAAAGACTATTGGAACCATCCATCCTGGCCAAGATCAGACTCCTCCGCCTTCGAAATTCGCACTGTCAGTGGATTTGGTCACCTGAACCCTTTCGAAAACGTTCGAAAAAGCTCGAACCCCGAGGAAATCGAACCAAACGCCATCCCCGACGACGCAATCGAAGAGAAAATCATCCGCACAGGTATTATGATGACTGTTCTGCAACCGAATAATAAGGAAATCCTAGAAGGGACGAAGAAAATCGTGTCCAGGATGCGTCGTGACGCAGATAACGAGACCAATCTGGAAGAAATCTCCACTAATAAGAATGTACGAGAGGCGCGTCTCAGTTCGTCAGATTCTTGGTCCACTCAACCTCTGTCCATCGAATTTCCTCGTCGCAGTAGCTTGGATCAAATGATCCAAACGGTAGACGACGAAGAGTTGGCAAACAGCAGAGGCTATGCGATGCCGAGAGCAGACTTTGTGACCAGCCACCATAGAAGGAGCTACGAGCACCGTGAACCTCGAGACATGCCGGTCACTAGGAATTACGACGATTACGATTACTCCTGGTATCGCAACGACCCTATGACCTATCGTCGTGGCTTCAGTTACTACTACCCCGATCGTTACAGGATGGAGAGAGACTACTACACTCGTCTGCCCAACGACTACTCGTACTACTACGACCGGTACAGGGACGAGGAGCTGGACTTGTACGGCAGAAGCAGACCCACACCGAAGCCTAAGAGGATCATTTACTACGCCACGTTACCTGAAATCGTCAGGAAGCCCGTGGACCTCAGGAACTATCCCAGACCTTATGACGGTGGTACCAGGACACCTACCTCCAGGGACGGAAGTTATAAACGCATACCAGGGAACGTTGATCCAACCAGATATCGTTACAGACATCCATACGATAGTTACGATTCTTACTCGAAACGATCCAGTATAGCGGATAGACCTTATCCTTACCCTGAAGAGGAGAGTCGTCGAAAGGTGACCCTGGAGAACCTGCGTAACAACGAGCAGTTGGATCAGAATAATGATAGAAAAATTGGTAGTCAGAGAAACGATGGGAAATTACCTTGGCCAGTGGTGCAGATAGGGACTGAAGTCAGTGTCAAGGATGACGAGAGAATCCCTGGAAGGAAGATCTTTGGAGAAAGTAATGGATACGAGAGATATCAGAGCGCACAGCTGCAGAAAGCACCGGATGCCACCGGGTCCAGCGAACTGCAGAGCGACAATTGAATCAATTAGAATGTCTTTTCTTCTTTCCTGAGGATTTATGCGTTCACTGGGGCTTGTTGAAGTATTTTTTTTTATCAATAGGAATAATCATTCCTATTTAGATAAGATTTTGAGACTTCATTTACGACAGAAAGCCAAGAGAAAGTATTTCAAGGGCTGGTGAAGGTTCTTCAATCATTTTTATACTACATATTTTGATATACATTGACTCTGTAGCAAGTATGAATTTTATTTATTTTTCCAATTATATTTGTAACGATGATATTGTATTGTACATCTTGTTCATGAATAAACGATATGTTACGTCCTCAGTTTTTTCATTGCCTTTCTAAATAAAAAATTCGACAGGTTTCCAGAGAAATGATTTTCTGATAATATACGATTCAATTCGACTATCCAGGGATTGATCTGCACTTTTGAAAAATGAATATTAACAACATTGGAATATCAATTATTAACAAAAAATTACCGAATTAAACGTTTTTCCATTAATAAGGCCAGATAGTTCTTCCGGTGTCATATTTAAGATATTGCAAGCTGTTTCGTGAGCTTCCCTTTCACTCGCCTCGCTTTCGTTTTCATTTGAATTTCTTTGCGATTCGTATTTTCTTCGATTGTGAATTTTTCTTAAAAATTCCTTGTAAGAAAAAGAAGCTTTCAATTATGTTATGTCTTATTTAACGTTAATAAAAGTAACTTACTTTTATCGCTTTCGAGTACTCTAAATTTTCATTTGAAATAGCTGTGATCTTTATTTTCATAGAATTAATGGTTTCTTCGTACTTGGCTGTAATAATTTCACTTTCTTGCTGTACCGTCTGCGTTTTTATCTATAAATAAATTCCTATTGCTAAAACTTAATAAATTTTTAATCTTTCATATTTTTACCTTTTCAGTAATGTCAGTCTTTGATTTCTTGTTATCGGAATGTAACTTAACCTTTTCATTATTTAAAATTGAAATCTAAAAACGACGATCAAGCGACGATAAAAAGGGATAGTTAGGAAAAAAAAGAAAATTACTTTTTACTTTTGCTTTTAATTGTGAATTATTGTTTCGAACAACACTGATCTCGTTCTCCAAGCTGTTTATCTTCGAAACGAGTCGATTCTTTTCTTGGTTCAAATCAGTTAGTTGACTTTTGTAGCTGTTTAATAAAAATCCCTTATTGGTATTCGCTGATTCTGATCTCATTAACCTATGTGGATCGTCGGAATTTCACAATAATAATTAAATAAATGCCATTCGATCAATCAAACAACCTTCTTTCAATCACCTGTTTCGAAGTTGATCGATCGTCGCTTTGTCTTCGTCCAGTTTCTTCTTCAAATTCGACAATTCTCGATTTTTCTGAGCATCTCGAAGATGATTCGAAGCATGATGTACTTTTTCCGCGTTACGTTCCGCCAACCAATCTCTCGTGTCGTCTATCTTCTTTCTTAACGAAAGATTTTCCGATATCAGATTGTTCAAATTCATCTCGGTGGTGTCCATATCTCGTTTCAATTCGTCGAAGCATTTGCTGATCGATTCGTACATCTCTGATTTGTTTTTCAACGCTTTCCTCGCAGCTGTCAATTCACGTTTCAATTTGTTCGATCTCACCACTGCCATCCGCAGCTGACAATATTCGAACGAATGAAACGAGTTTTTCGTATAATAGGTACATAACATAACATAACATAACATAACATAAAATTCGTTATCACGTTATTTCCTGAACAAAAACTTCTATACATATACCTTTTTATGTAATTTACTCGAAATCTTCTCATGGTATTTTAAACGACCACGGCACTTGATTTGATAACTACTTTTTCTTTTGTCAACTATGGTGCTCGGACCAAACTTTTCCAAGACAGACGTACAAATTTGTACGATTTTTTCTTGCAGCATTTCGCTTTCTTCTCGAGCTTTCATCTTTATATTCTCCAATGATCTATCCAATGAATATAATTTAAACCGATAATTTATAACAAAATTTATTTGAATTTAAGCTTTCCTGAACTTTTCTGACCTTTTATACTTCTCTTTCACGAGAGATTTCGATTGTAAAGCTTCTTCAAGATCCTCTTTTATTTGAGCAAGCCGTGATTCAAGCTTCGAAATGATTTTCTGGTACCTGAAATATTATATTTCGTTAATAAAAAATAAAAAATGTAACTAAAAAAAGTATCGTGTCAATATCACATTTGACGCGGGAAATGTTATATTTGTTACGAATTTAAAACTCGTTGAATGAAATTTTCGTCGCGCTTCGGGCGTTACTGTTAGGATTACGTGTGTCAAGAATTTTATATCGAATAACTTGATAAATTCCATTCGAAGAAATCGATTTTATTTTGTACCACAGTTATAATACATCTACGTTCCTGTCAGAAATTTCATTAATCCAGCTACATTAATTTCAGGCATATTTTCACGAGCAAATTTTCCTGTAGGATTTCTGACAGGATGGAAAAAAATCACCAAAGCTTTTTTCGATTAAAAAACGCCTGCCATGGCTTTTATTCTCTACAAACTCACTCGATCTCCTTGCTCGACGATATTTTCCCCTTTGTCCATCGTTCGCTGCGCTGATTCGATTCCGCGGTCGATGTTTCGTGACGAACAAAAAAAAAAAAAAAAAAAGAAAAAAGAGGGAAAAAAGAAAAAAAAATGGAAAATTTATATTAGTCGTGCAATTTATTTCTATTTTCGAAGCGTCAGAATAAATTTATTTACTGATCCCCTGTTAAGAGCTTCTTCGATTAGCCATTGAGGCGCAGGTTCTTCATCGACACCACGAAATTCAGTAGATCTTTTTCGTTCGAAACAAACGCATGACGAAGATCGATACACGTTGCTTATTGCTTCGGTTATTTGCAAGTTTTTCTCATTTGTCTGCGCGAAGTCAATAGACGTTTGTGTGGAAGCTATTTTCGTCTGGGTATTCGTTCTCTCACCTGAAGCGTATAATGATAATTTATATTAAAATGTTTTTTTATACCCTCACCTGGGGGTGCCTGGGACCTCTCAAAATCATGACCCCTCGAGTATTACAAGGGTACGTCCAGTTTGTTGGATCTGTAGTGACCGATAATGCACAGGTGTTCCGTACGCTACTGCCACCTGGTGCAACTATCACCTCCTTTTTCAAACCGTTTCACCTGTCGCGTCGATAAATTCGCGTTAAATGAATATGTAAGTTATTGAAATTTTTGGCAATTTGTGCAGTGTAAATATTTCCGTTGAACAATTAGACAAAAGAAAGTACTAAAATGAAAAACGAAAATAAGATAAGAGGGGTAGTAAGTATTTGATGGAATAAAAGCTTAGCTAGAATTCCAGAATATTAGAGTAATTGAAATGAAAATTAAATTGGATATTTTTAATGTCGAGGAAACAAGAGAAAGATTTCTCCTTTCTCCAATCTGTTGCTCGGTCGTATTATCGGACATTATCGGACCATATGGAATTTGGGCCTGAAAATAGTCGTGGCGCAGGAAATTGCTAATGACTTAAACGTTGGGGCGTTACACAGGGACCGTGGGTCTCTCATGGGCCCACTCGTGATGGATGGACGTTGGCCACACTGTAATTTGAAGGCGTTATATGTGTACCCTAACGCGTAGTCCTGTAATGGTCCTCCATATGTCCCCGATTGTCCTCTTTACACGAAAAGTAACTCCATCAGATTAAAGAGAAAAAAAAGAGGTTAATGAAAAAATTAGTAGAGAAAGAGTGATTGGTTGCAACGACCAAGCAAACCCGTTTACGATCGAATAATCGAGTAGTAATTAGGGAGAAGGGATTACTACACACGGTATTCGTGGAACTGCCAATGAAATTTGTTTGTCAATTAAATGGCGATGCCGGTGAATTTTCCCTATACTTTACCCCGTCGGTACACTAATTAATTTCCACGCTCGAGTTCACTTTATTTACGCGCGACAGGCCTCAAAATTGCAGCAGACCGGCGCGGTATATTTACGCGGCCAGCTAGCGCAAACCACAGCCTGCAAAAATATCTCGCTGACCAAAACACAACGTGTACATTCTGTAAATTGATCCCAGCTCGAATTGATAGCCGTTGGAATATTCCAGCCTTTCTTTATCCAAAAAAAAAAGAACAAAAAGAAAAAAATACCAAAAAAATGGCGCGCACACCGATGTACACGCGTGTCAGGAATTATGAAATTGGACTAACAATAAGTAAAAAAATAGGAAAAAAAAAAATTGAATTTATCGTTTGTTTTGTGTTGCAGCGGATATTTCTCTTTTTTCTTTTTCAAAGGAGAAAAATATTTTTTCCCGACTCGGTTAGAGTTTGATTCCTAGGGTGGTCTGGAGGAATTTTCAAACTTTGACCGTACCCGGGTAGTTTGCCCTCACTCTTTGGCATGGAATTATTGTAGATAATATGTGGATAGTTAGTTCGCGATTAGTCTGTCCAACGGATTATACTTCTCCCCATTTCATTGCCGTGTTGCCCCAGGGCCAGCGGTGCCGTGATAAATGACCGAATCCTTTAGTGTTTTTTAGCCGCGGATCGCTTAGCTGATTCGTTCTCCTTCTCTCTTTTCTCCCTGTTCAGCCGTCTGCTCGCCCGTGCCAGAACCACTCCCGGAACCTGTGCTCTCCGGACGAAGGTCGCCGCGCCGCGCCGCGCCGCGCCGCGCCGGTACAATTTCGCCGTAAATCACTGCAAATCGTTGACGTAAACGGCACAGGTAATTAGATACACTTACCTGCGATAAGGCGTGCTGTTCCCTGACCGTCCTGTTCATCGGCCACTGTGTTTCTCTGAACCTTCTGTAACACACAACGAGATTCTTTTTTTTACGATTAATAAACCACCCCTAAAATAACGAGACTTTCCTTTTTACAACGCGTAATCCGTTAATGACACGAAATGAAAATATGATTTCCTTGTAAGACGCGGTAAGCGAGACTCTGATTTAAGGGTAGTCGACGCATTAAAACGATAACGATCCTAGGAAGAAAATACGAGCATCGTCGTTAAGGGGGTTCTCGGTCGCGTTAACGACGAGATTCTTTTCGTCTCTTTTTTTCTTGGACGCCTCGGCGCGGCGACCGGCTGCTTTCCCGATGGAACTTCTTACGAGCAATGTACCTTGTTCTCGGCTAAAAGGATTCGACAATAAACAACGGTGAGCCACGAAATTAGGCGTGGGTCGGTGGAGTTGCAATCTACATCGAAAACCCTCCTGCTCTTTTTATGTTTCCTAGGGTGGTTGGTCAATGGATTAATGATGTTACGATGAGGAATGATGGGCAGAAGACCAACTCTCTTTTAATTAGGATAGAAATGAAATTTGAATCTTGATTATTCTGTGAAAATGATTTCGTTCATCTTGTATATTCGAATTATTCTCTTTCTAAACTCGCAGTTGATTCCACGTTGCGAGTAATACGTTGAACGAGGCGGTAGTTAAGCCACTTTGAAGGGATAGCAAGAGAACGGAACTGTAGAATTCTGTCTGAAAGTGGACCTCGCGTTCTGCGACTCGGCTGTTGGCCTGGGTCACCTGATATTTATAATAGATGTGCCGTAGAGTAGCGGTGAACAGAGGAAAGCACGAGCAACGAGCGAATATAACGTTAGAAAATGGTAAAGGTAGCCGTGGGGCATCGAGACGGGTCGTTAAAGACACGCCCGTGGAAAATACGTTGCCTAAAGCCGCGACTCGCTTGACATTAAAATCGCATTTGCCGCTTTTCCACGGAATCACCACGAGGTGATTCTCGGCTCTTGCTCGGTCATCGATTACACAGCTCGTGGACGACGGTGTACGGCATTAAATGTAATTTAACAGCGACATTTACGTCGGCTCTAAGTGATTTCATTGCATCCGTGACAGATTGCGCGCCGTCTAATTCAATCGCGTTCCTCTTTCGTATGGGAGCGCGTAATGCGAGATGTAATTTACGATTTTCTCAAACGGAAACGGATTGTCACGAATTTCATTTCGTCGCGATTTCCCCCGCGCTAAAGGAAACAGGATGTTCTCGAGCGTCGCTGGAGCCGCAACGGAGGGAGGATAACGCCAAGTGCACATATCGGTTCCCTCGTTTCATCGGACTCTCCAATAAGAGTACACCTATAATTTGTAACGTGGCTCGGGTACCGGCCTAATGGAAAAATGCGTTCCGGCCAATTTTACGCGCAGCCGTCAGGCCAGGTTGTTGGCCGGTGTAAGAACACCGGGAACGAAGTAAAAGAAGAACTCTGAAAAATTGCACATCGCTGGAATTTCGACAGTTATCCAATATGTGTACTGTCGCGACGCGAATGAATTCCAGCGAAATAAAATGCCGACGCAGAGATGAAAAAAGAGAGAAAAAACCACCGTTTCAGGGTGGATCCCTTGGACGAATAAATGTTATTCGATATCTCATGGGTGCACCGTTGTTCGACGAGGTCGAGCCGACAGATTTTCATTTACGGATTGCAGCCGCGTTGTATGGCGTATGGGGATATATGTAGGTACAGTGTATAAAAGCGAACGGGTGGTATCGCTGTATCAGCGTTGGGGAGACACGAAACGATTCGTGGTGTTCATTTCCATTCGCTTCTAATTGAACGCTGTTCAATATTGACGAGTTAAATAATTGTCTTTGGAAAACTGATCCCGCGTAACTCTCGCTGGCCAGTCGTTGCACACGATCCTATAATAATTACGCGTCTTGGTGTATTATAAATAAAACGGAAAAAAGATCAAGTTCAATATTTGTCCGTCGCGTCGTTTGTTGAAACGAATAGTAAATTATACCGTCAATTTCATTCGAAAAACCGAGGACTTTTTTGTTTAAACAAGAGCGAAAGAAGAAGAAGGAATGAATGAATGAATGAATGAATGAATGAATGAATGGTGATCATTGTTCGAAAAGGACTCGAGTTTTCGAAACGTTTAAACGAAGCTGTTTGAACATCTTAGAAAGACATCGAAATGCTAAGAAGAAGGACGACGACGCGACGGTAAGCGTATACACGTATCCATGGTGTTTCGGCATCAGAAGCAAGTAACAAGGCGCGCATTCTCGAACGTAAAGATGTCTCGGCAGTCAAGTCGGTTATATGTATCTTCATTATAAGGCCGGCAAAGTTACGTAGTGGCGCGCGGTGGTGAAAATGATGCGCCGCCCGCAGTTATCATTGCCTTCAGGGTCAGCCGCACGAATAATTGGCTTCCACCTATATGTATTTATAATATCCCATCGTACTTGTGCCCGTCTTGTTCCGTGGCAAAGCTCGCGTCCCACGATTATTCGCCTTCTAAACGAACGGACGCGACGCGACGCGCCTCCGTTATCGAATTAAAAACCTCTTACCCGAGACCGGGTAACGGGACAGAAACGATTCGTCGGATTAAATTGGATATTCGCGTTGTTTCAACCAGCTACCATATCTCCGGGGAACCTTTCCACGAAGATTGACTCGATGTAATCGCGAAAGCATTCCTTCCTACCTACCTACCTACCTACCTACTGTTGAAAATGGAAGTGCAGCAAAAGTCTTGATTATCGTCCTTTCGATGCTTTATTTTCTGAAAGAGCGGTATCAAAGGATTATAACAGAGAGAAGGATCGTCGAATTTATCGTCGAATCAACTTTTTATATTCCCATAGGTTCCGGTGTTGGCAGGTTCGTGTTTTCGTGTTCTCGCGTTCTCGCGTTCTCGCGTTCTCGCGTTCGCGACATCAGGAGAGTTTATCGAACTCTCTTCCGAGTGAGACGGTCGCAAAGTCGTAGTCGTTGGCCGATTCCGAGTGCTCGCGTTTTCTTACGAAACGAACGGAATGCATAAGTATTTCCGGCGGTGGTGTTCCACGCGGCGCAGGCAGGGAGGATCCTCGAGGCGACTTCCGGCTGCGAGGCGAGCTAGTGTCCCTAATTACCGTGTCGGTTCATGAATACGATTGCCGCGGCACGGAAGCTAGCCTGGCGTCACCGGTTGTTACTCCGCTCATGAATTTATGTATCTGCATTCTCGAACGCGGTTCGAAGCACCCCGAAGAAGAAGCAGCAGCAAAAGAAGAAGAAGAATCGTCCTCGGTATGGGCTAGTCGCTTCCTTTACCCTTTGCCACGCCTCGGTACCCTCGAACGATGTCGTCGCGGTGCATCGCGGCGCGGATTCGAATCAGCCGGATGAGAGCTCGACGTTTGCTTATGGATTTATTACCAACTCTACAAAATTATTTCATTAAAATTTCATTTAGGTACAATCTACCATCGAAATCGAGATCAAACTCGACGACTTCCTTCTAAACGGTAATTAAAGTAACGAAAAGACCTCGATGCTTAACGACGAAGAGAGGACAGTCCCACGATGACTGTCAACGAGTAGAATAAGTGGAAAGGCGAACAGACTAGCAGGTTGTTGGTTACGAAGACGGGGCGTGCAGCTCCGGTCGGAAACGACTTTTGAATATGGATGAGTCGAGCACAAGAGAGCGGACACAGTCTCATGCTCGCTACGCGGAGACATAATTGCCTTAATTAACGCTAATATGTTAAGTCGCGCTGCTTTTCTTTTGTTCATCGTCAGGCTGCGAGTCGACCGGCACGACGTTCATGGTATCGCGAAGAAACCGGTGAACGCGACTGAACGTGATTCCTCTTGGTAACTAGGCTATCGCGTATGATATTCCTTCTTTAAGGATAGGAAGGAGAAAATATCTGATCGGTATATTAAAATCAACCCTTCTATACCTACTTGGATGTATCAACGATTGCAGCCACAGTCGATACTAGTTCGGCACCAGCGACGCGGAGACGTGGCGCGCAAAAAGGGAAGAAGAAAAAAAGATAGTAAAATCGAGATGAGGGTAGAGGGTAGAGGGTAGAAGAGGGTAGAGGGTAGAGAGGAGGTAGGAAAAAGGAAAATAGAAAAAGAGAAAGGAAGGAACGGCGGAAGGAAGAGAAAGGATAAAGCTGACTGGAGTTAAAGGGAGAAGAGGGTGAAACGAGGTTGGCTAGGTCGACTGGTATATACATAGATAGAGTCGAAGGGGTGGCTGGCCGGAAGAGGGCGAAGAGGACAAGAGGGTAGAAGAGAGGAAAGGAGAAAACCGGGCACGTCTAGGTTTTGCTATGACCAATGGCAGACGGGGACACAGCCCGCGCCGTTCGTATCGATCCAAGAGACTACGTTGGACTTGGTCGAGTACCTCTCTCCCGGGTCACCTCATCCGTCCTCCGCCTCATCTTCATCTTCCTCCCACCTTTTCTACCCTTACAGACTCCTCGCGTTACTTTATTCTCTTCTTTATCTTCGATTTCTTTACCACTTCTCCTTTACCATCCTTTTGTATTTCTATTTTTTTAACCAACCTTTTAAATTCGCGATTTTAATAAATTATGCTCTTTAAGCTAACAACCACCCGACAAAGTGTAATGCAGGTTAGGTACTTGATGTTAGAAAAAAAGAAAGCGAACAATCTTCCTATTTCTCTTAACGCTTTCTAACGTCACTTGGTCCGTGGGTGGAAGGACAAGAGTTGGCCAGGTCATAGACGTTCTCCAAGTTGTTGGAGAGAGGGATCGGGGTGTATTTCGAAGGAGTAAAGAGTATAGAGAAGCTGTTGAAGCTTCAAGAGGAAAAGCGCTTGCGCGAAACCCTCGACAGGATCCAGGCTAGGTCCTCCCTGCTCGGGGACACGATGAATCGGGAGTTCACTCACAGGGTGTAGCACGAGAGAGGGAAAGAGGAATAGTGTGTCATCGTGGGTATGTGTCGCCTCTCTGGTGACACTCTACTGGACATGCGTACTCTTTCGACCTATCGT